GCACAAATAGTTCACTATTGTGCATTTTTAGTCTTGACATATATATTCTTGTGAGTTCTTTAGGGATAGTTGGAAACTTTTTGTTGTTGTTGTTGTTGTTGTTGTTGGTCCTGGGTCTTGAACTCAGGGTTGGGCTCTGCGCCTGAGCTTCTCTGTGCTCAAGGCTAGCGCTCTACCATGTGAGCCACAGCACCACTTCTAGCTTTTTCTGAGTAATTTATTGGAGATAAGAGTCTCACAGACTTTCCTGCCCAGGTTGGCTTTGAACTGCAGTCCTCAGATCTCAGCCTCCTGATTAGCTAGGATTACAGGTGTAAACCACTGCTGCCTGACAGTTGAAAACATTTCTAAATTATCTAGAACAAGAGCTTTGCAAATAGAAAGTATTAAATACATGCACTTTTGACCAGCCAATACTATATAATGGACCACAAAGGCCACAGTGTCAGCATGTAACCTCTCCCAAGGTGGGGGAAGGGCGGGAAGAGAGAGAAAACAAAATAAGAAATGAGGTTGGGATATTTACTAGAACCTACTGAATCTCATGTTTTTTTTCTTTTTAAGAAACATACAAGCAATGCCCATGCCTTTTAAAGTCTTTGGTTATTTTACATACCAAAAATATTGCTGTGAGATTTTGGTAGTCAATGAATTCTATGGATTGAATTTCACTTGTGGTAAGTATTCAATTTTGGAATATTATTTTAAATGTTACTCTGAGTAAGCAATTTCCTGAGGGAAGTATACTCAGAAAATGTATATTTTTGTAAATATACACTAACAATATATTATTTTGTAATAAATATAGTTTTGAAATATAGCCTAATGTATACTCTGAATTTTGTTTTATTTTTTGTGTGGGTCCTAGGGTTTGAGCTTAGGGCATAGGAGCTGTCCTTGAACTGTTTTTTGTTTTTGTTTTTGTTTTTTTTGGCACTAGCACTCTACTACTTCAGCCAGAGTTCTACTTCCAGCTTTTTGTGAGTTTATTGGATATAAAGTTTCACAGATTTTTCTGCCCAGGCTGGCTTTGAGACATGATCCTCAGATCTCAGCCTCATGAATAGCTAGGATTACAAGCATAAGTCACTGGCACCAGCTTTTCTGATTTTCTTTTTTTAAAGAAGATAAGCAGTGGTCAAGTTGGTCTCCTATGAAAGATCAATAGCTTATGGTCCCTTTGATGGTATTAGGAAAGTGACTGGCCTTATGTATACTATAGTAAACACCAGAGTATTCCAGATAGACTCAGTTCTGCTATCTACTGAACACACCAAGGCAGGCTAAAGTGGTTTCTTCTTCCCGAAATATACATAGAAAACAGCTGAATGCAGCCAATTTGGTGCCAAAAATTATTACAAAAGAGAGCATTGGGAACTTGAAAAGATCCTCATGGCCACTCCAAATCCCAGCACTACTTCAAAGACAAGTAAAGAACATGGTAAATTTTACTGGCTGTTTAAAATATGTTTTGATAATAACATCAGTTACTTTAGAATTGGTGGTAAATGATCATTTTTCACCAGGAATATGGTAATGACTCCATGTCCAAAATAGAAACAAATCCTTTTCTATATTTAAGTCAATCCAGGGTCCAGAATGCTCACTCTTATAAATTCTAAATTGTCTAAAATGTCCTACTTAGGCAGGTTAAACATTTTATGAGCACTAGGGAAACACCTGTTGATTAACTAATGTACCATAACTGACACTGTCAATCTTTTCTTTGGCAGGCAGCTCAAATAATTCCGTGATAATTAATCCAATGTGTGCCCTCACTCAAGGAATTCAATACATTGAGGAGTCTTTCCCAGGTGCAACATCCAGATTCACAATGAACTTTCTGATTTTATATTCATTTATCCCACTTCTTGTCATCCTAGGGATAGTTGTTTTCAAAATAAGAGATTACCTCATTAGCAGATAATAAAGAATATCACTGAGAAAATGGAACTTAACCTTAAATATGCATGACTGCTTTGAACACCATGGATTTCTTCCTGATGGAACTTGTTAAGATTTTAACCTGTAGGATTCCATTTGTGACTGTTGGATCTATACAGACTTCAAGTGCAACGGAAGTGCTTCACAGTTCCTTGGTATTCCAGCTTGTGGGACACTGGGTATTTGGGAATTGTGACCAAGCTGGTCCAAGAATGTAAATAATAATAATTCATAAACTTTCAGACTAGAGTTTGGCTATTTGTTTTCTGTGTTCTAAATACAAAAAAAAGAAGCCAATTTAAAAGTTACGTTTTCATTTGATAAAGAATCTGGTTTAAAAAAAAGAAAAGAAAGTATGCAGATAATTATTGACTAGAAATAATAGTTTTTAAAGGTTATGGGATAAGTTAAAGCAAAGCATCATGCAGAATTGGCAAGAAGGCTATAGCTGTCATTTAAAGCCCACATTTATATGCACTTGTCCCCAAGAGAGGTCTAAGTTACCTGATGATATTGAGAGGATGGTAGACAGATGTTGGATGGTGAACACCACTCAATCAAGTTAAAAGCTGCAGGAGGGGCTGAATGGTGACCACCACGCACAACACTAATCTGTGGTGATGTTACTATTATATTAGCATCTGTGGTGATGCTATCATTTTTCACTTTTAGCTTAATTTCCTTTTAAAATTAGAACTAAATATTCCTAGACTAGGTATATACACCCAGAAATGACCTCTTAAAGTACAGAGAATGACTGTTACTTAAAGTTATATAGCTGGGTGCTGGTAGCTCACATCCGTAATCTTAGCTATTCTGAAGATCATGGTTTGAAGCTTACCCAGGCAGAAAAGTCTGTAAGATTCTCATCTCCAGTGAGCCACCAAAAAATGATGGAAGTAGAGCTATGGCTCTCAAGTGGTGGAGCACCATCCTTGAGCAGAAAAAGCCACATGAGAGTGCAGTGTCCTAAATTCAAGCCCCAGCAGCAGCATACATGTACATGTGCACTCACGCGAGTGTGCGTGCGCACGTACACATACACACACAGACACACACACTAATAAGTTCATACAGGAAAAATGCTCAATTGATACCACCTGTTGTGTCAACCAAGAAGAGAGGCATTCATGTTCTTTAATTGTAGCGAAAGATAATAAATAAATATAATACTTACACCTTTATTATATATGTCCAGGGATGAAATGATGAGTGATGGATATATGTCATTAAAGATAGATTGTTGAACTATGGGTTATGGCTCCTGCCTTGTAAGTCTAAGGCCCTGAGTTCAAACCCCAGTACTGACAAAAAAAATAGGTTCTATATTAAATGATAGATTATCTTTCTGACTGATCTTAACTAATTCATGAATAATTCTGAAATGAACTGTCTCAATGTTACTATGGTAACTTTGAGCAAGAATATTGGGAAGAGCACATGAACTTGTTCAGTTACTGTGACCTAACTTGGAAAGAATGATAAATTATAGCATTTGAAATGTCTTACATTATAGTTGGAAAGATCATTTCATTAAGGAAATCACAGTAACATTCTGTTGCTTAGAACAGTATTTAAGGATCTGGAGACATTGGTAAATTACCGGAATAGTATTGTCAATTTTTATAAAAGGTCTGTGACACTGATGATTATGGTATAATAGTTACATCATGCCGTACAGATTATATATGTCACATCAGTTATAGACAGTTCTGGAGATGATAATCTATTCAAGTAGTTCAAAGAGAGTCCCACAGGAACCTCTTTTGAAATCACTGATTTCAACTTACTAAAGATATGGGTGTACAAGGTAAGTGGAAACACTTTCTACTATTCATATGCAGATGAATTTCATTCTAGCTCAGAAACATTTGGAAAATTGACAATGCACGTGACTTCAAGCTATTAAATGTTAGTGATAGTATCTTAGCAAACACAAAGGCTTTCAACATGTGACAGATTAAGTCTCTAGTAAAACGGACAGTGATGTGCAAAAAATCACATTATATAATAAAAATTCCTATTACTATTGTAGAAATAAGCTGTTTCTCCCTACCAAGACAGTGATGTTTCTGGAATCCTAATGTTCACGATAAAAATAAAGGCAGCTTTTCCACAGGCAGGGAAAGCTAAGAACTGAGATTCCCGTGAAGCATGCCAAGCACTGTGTTCTCAAGAGTGAACCATGTTCTAACTTCATTTCATTCAATAATCAGCTGGCTGTCTACCCAGATGCTCTTTACCAGTCAGCATTCTCAGAATTAGTAAACAGGCTTATTTGTAGCTAGGTTCATGGCATTTTCTATGTGGACACAGAAGAACAAAAACAAGTAACTTTTCTGACAAATGACAGCAATTATCTTTACTCAAAATTGAACTTGGCTGGCAGATACACAAATCTACAGGATTGGGAAGAGTTCTTCTTTTTTTTGGGTACGGTCATGGGGCCTGAACTCTGGGCCTGGGCGCTGTCCCTCAGCTTTTCACTTCAAGGCGAGCACTCTACCACTTGAGCCACAGCGCCACTTCCGGCTTTTTTCTTTTTGCTTATGTGGTGCTAAGGAATCGAACCCAGGGCCTCAGGCATGCAAGGCAAGCACTCTACCACTGAGCCACCTTGGGAAGGGTTCTTAAAGGTTATATATCAACTTGGAAATAATCCTGCTAGCTTCAATATATGAAGTTTTGGTCATCTTATTGACAGGTCATCCCCCTTAGACTTAAAAGATGACACTAAATAAATGTGTCTCTCTCACAGTAATGACAATGAACACAAGCCACTCATTCATAGCCTCTAGGGTCCAGGGATGTGCAATTTAAAGAAATGCTTTCTGGTACATTCTGAGCCTCAAAGTGTTAAAAGCTTGAAATCAGGACCTCCGGTAATTTCCTACTAGCTACAGCTCAGTATTCCTTCTAGAAGGGATGCATCCAACAGAGACACTTCACTTTACATATAAAACTATTACCAAATACTCTTGGCTTTCATATTCCCAAGAACATATAAACAGAAACTTCTAAATACTGACCTGAATTTATACAACGTTCATATTAGATGTAAGTGGTGAAAGATTCTTTTATTTAAAAAATATTGCATGTAGTTGATGTTTTTCCTTTTTAAAAGACTCCAGAATATTTAACAAGAAGCTCAGCTTTGCTCTTGAGAAACTGAATATCCTAACTTTTGTCACATTTATACAATACTTATTAGTAAGATAATCTTACTTGAATTTAGAAAAAAAGAAATAAACACGTAATAGTTGAGTTAGGTTTAAGAATCTAGCTCGATTTGTTTCCAAGTCTTGGAAGAATTTTTCTTGTACTGCTCCAGCTCCTAAAACAAAAATATACATAACTTTAAGAAAAAAATAAACATAAGTACATATCTTAAAACTATTAGCATTTCCTAAATTTTAAAAATGTACCTCTATAGCATTACTCACAAAACTTCTGGATGAATTTTCATAAGTGACTAAAGATTTATTTTCTAAAAATAGAGTCTTCAGAATTTCTGTGTGGCACTTACAAATTTGTTATAAAGTTTCAAGCAAAGGTATTTATTTATTTATATTTTTTGGTGCCAGTCTTGGGGCTTGAACTGTGGGCATGAGTGCTTTCTCTGAGCTTTTTTGCTCAAGGCTGATGCTCTACCATTTAAGACTTTTTGGTGGTTGGTTGGAGATAAGAGTCTCACATAGCCGGGCGCTGGTGGCTCACGCCTGTAATCCTAGCTACTCAGGAGGCTGAGATCTGAGGATCGCGGTTCAAAGGCAGGGCAAGCAGGAGAGACCGTGAGACTCCTATCTCCAATAAACCACCAGAAAACCGGAAGTGGCGCAGTAGCTCAAGTGGTAGAGCGCTCACCTTGAGCTGAAGAGCTGAAAGACAGTGCCCAGGCTCAGAGTTCAAGCCCCACGACCAACCAAAAAAAGGAGTCTCACATAGTTTTTTTTTCTGCTTGGGCTGGTATCAATCATGATCCTCCTATCTCAGCCTTCTGAGTTGCAAAGATTACAGACATGAGCCACTGACACCCAGCAAAGGTATTTATTGTCCAATGAACATTCATTGTAATTTAAATATTTAAAAGTATCTTTTTAAAATTTGTTTTCTGCTAAGCTCTTTTGAAAATCTTAGGTATAGTTAGTGAAATGTAAATATTTTATTTATTTATTTTTTTGGTCCGGTGTGGAGCCTGAACTCTGGGCCTGGGCGCTGTCCCTCAGCTCTTCAGCTCAAGGCTAGCGCTCTACCACTTGAGCCACAGCGCCACTTCCAGCTTTTTTCTTTTTGCTTATGTGGTGCTGAGGAATCGAACCCAGGGCCTCAGGCATGCAAGGCAAGCGCTCTACCACTGAGCCACCTTCCCAGCCCCATGAAATGTAAATATTTTAATATATATATTCTTCTATACAGTGATTCCTGTTTTAGAAACATCAATGAGCCAGTCATGTTGGTGCATTCCTATAATACCAGCAGTGGGGGAAGATGAGAGGATGAGGGTCACAGGTTTAAGACCAATGCAGGCTACACAGGGAGTTCAAGGCCACTGTGAGACCTTGTTTCAAGATAACCAAGGTCTAGGGATGTAGCTCAGTGTCCTGCCCTGCTTAACATACACAGGGCTGTGGGTTTGATCCCTAGCACTTCAAAAAAGAAAGAAAGAAAAAAAGAAAGAAAGAAGGAAAGAAAGAAAGGCAGAAAGAAAGGAAGGAAAGAAAGAGGGAAGGAAGGAAAGAAAGAGGGAAGGAAGGAAAGAAAGAGGGAAGGAAGGAAAGAAAGAGGGAAGGAAGAAAGGAAAAAAGAAAGAAAGAAAGATCAGACAAGTCAGGTACTAATGGCTCATGCCATCAAGGATCAAGGTTCAAAGCCAGCCAGGCAAGGAAGTCTGTAAGATTCATCTCTAATTAACCTCCAAAAGCCAGAAGCAGCATTGTGGTTCAAGTGGTAGAATGTCAACCTTGAGTGAAAAAGCTAAGGGAGAGTGCCCTGGCTTTGAGTTCAAACCCCAGGATTCACCCTTCCCCTGATCTCCCTCACAAATCCACACAAAAAGATCACACAGACTCATATCGACGTATACAGAACATGAACAGAAGGAGACTCCTTGAATTGTATATCTCCTTGAATTGTATACAATTGGAAACACCTTAGTATTCCCCAGTTGGTTACATACATTAGTGTTTATTCATACAAGGCCACACAGGCAGTCAGCAAAAATAATGGTGATAAATGAACCACTTGAAAATAGCGTATAGCCAGAGAGACAGCAGGACATTCTCATTTTCTACTCTATATACTTTACATATACTTTCACAATGAATATGTTAATTTTACAATTGATAAAATAAGGATAAATTTTTGTAGAGATGTGAATCCTGCATGAGACAAATGTTACTCAAAAGGGATCGTCTAAGCTCCTGACTTCCTCTGTTATTCAATGTCCAAATGACTGTACAAAACAAATTACCATTTGAGATAAGCAAAAATGATTACTCTGCAAGATGACATGATCACTGCCCTTTGGCTAGGGTAACTTTAGTTCATAGTTGTCCTGAAAAAAAAAAATCTGTTCTTGTTTTTAGAAAAACTGGTTATCTCTTTTTTTCGCCTATACTTTGTCACTAAAATTAGATATAACAGTTTTAAAATTGTGCATGATTTTAGAAGAGTTTTTAAGGTAATAACTCCAAAGTAAGGTAATAACTCCAAAGCAGTCATTTAACTTGGTTTATTTTTTTCCAATGATGTAAACCCAGTCTATATGTTATCTGTTACTTGTGGTTTAAAATATTGTTAGCTTATAAAAAAAATTGGTACTTCAAACTTTAACTGGAAATGCTCCAGGATTTTCATCAAGATAAAGTTGAGAGCATTGCCTTGGGATGCTCTGTGAGTGGTGGCGCCCTCCTGTGGCAGCATGGGAAAATGGGGCTGGTCATTCCTCAGGGTGCAGAAAGAGCAAGTATGTGGGTGGGTGAGGGCTCACCAAGGCCACCAGATCTTCAGTGTTGCTACCTGTGAGCTCAAACAATCCATGTCTGAAAGGTGTAGCAGGTCATGTTTGCTTTATGCTGTAATTCTTCATGGCTGTTTTACAGAGCCACTTAAAAAGTTAAAGCAGTCAGGTACCAGTGGCTTATACCTGCAATCCTAGCTACTCAGGAGGCTGAGGTCTAAGGATCACAATTTGAAGCCATCCCAGGCAGAAAAGTCTGTAACTCTTATTTCCAATTAATCAACAAAAAAGCAAAACCAAGGGCCGGGCACCGGTGGCTCACACCTGTAATCCTAGCTACTCAGGAGGGTGGGATCGGAGGATCTCAGTTCAAAGACATCCCAGGCAAGAAAGTCCATGAGACTCTTATCTCCAATTAACCACCAGAAAACCAGAAGTGGCACTGTGGCTCAAGTGGTAGAGTGCTCTCCTTGAGCTGAAGAGCTCGGGGACAGCACCCAGGCCCAGAATTCAAGCACCACAATTGACAAAACCAAAAAATAGGTATGGATCTATGGCTTAAGGGGTAGAGCATTGAGCCATGCCTCCACACAAAAAAACAAATAAGAGCAAGTTCAAGCCCCAGTAATGGCACACGCATGCGCACACGCATGCACACACAGACGCACACACACACACACACACACACACACACACACACACACACACACAAAGTGAAAGCAAAACTGAGAAGCTTTCCATCGACTCTAGAAACCTCTGAATTTTTTTAGAGATAAAAGGTCCATGGACTCATACCATCTATAGTCTTATAAATGCTTACAACATCTTCAATAAGGGACAGTAAGAAAATTTTTCTCTGTGTGAGTCACTGTGTATGTGCTTAACTAAATTATAGACCTATGTATCATCAGGAAGAAGATTTTTCAAAATCAGGAATGCAGAAAAGGTATACATGGTTGATCAAAGAGACATTAAAAGTAATTATTTAGTCAAACTTCCACTACCTTTTTTTTCCTTCACTTTCTTTAAAAAATATTGAAAAGAGGTAGAAGCTCTCAGCAAGCACTTTCCATACTCACATTCCCTAACACCAGGAATGATTTAAAACTAGAGGGTTCTAGGGCTAGAAAAGTGGCTTAGTGGTAGAGTGCTTGCCAAGCATGCATGAAACCTTGGGTTCGATTCCTCAGTACCACATAAACAGAAAAAGCCAAAAGTGGCATTGTGGTTCAAGTGGTAGAGTGCTAGCATTGAGCACAAAAGAAGCTCAGGGACAATGCTCAGGTCCTGAGTTCAAGCCTCAGAACTGGAAACCACCCCATTCTCCCCCAAAAAACCCAAACAAAAAAAGGTAGAGGATTCTAGAAAACACTGGAATATATATCACTGTATTTTCTGGTGTCCATATGAGATCTGACCTTTGAGTAACGAGAGAAAAGAGAGCTACAGGAAAGGTCCCTATGAGTCTTCTGGCTTGTGAAAATCTCTATAGAGCTACAAGAACTAGAATCGATAGATTCTGAGCTGTTACCTTATTAGACCATATTAGAATGTCAAACTGTGGGATCAGATATTAATAATTATGCATCAAATGGCAATCACTGTTATTTTTAAAGCAGAAACATAAATTCATGTAAAGATTTTGTATGTGTAGTCTGAAATTAATGTCATTCATCTTCCAAAAGCAACACAAATAAAAATGGCTTAGACTTGAAATTCAGACATTACAACATCTCATGTAGGTTTAAAAAATCTGTCAGAGCTGGGTGCTGGTGGCTCACATCTGTAATCCTAGCTACTCAGGAGGCTGATATCTGAAGATCCTGGTTCAAAGCCAGCCCGGGCAGGAAAATCCATGAGACTCTTATCTCCAATTAACTACCAGAAAACCAGAAGTGGTGCTTGGCTTAAGCAATAGAGCACTAGCTTTGAGCTGAAGTGCTCAAGGGACTAGCACCAGAGTTCCAACCTCATGAATGACCAAAAAAAAATTTTTTTAAATTTAAAAATTTAAAAAATCTCAGACAAGAGATTATAGTCTTTAGTACCCTGCTCGCAATAAAGTACAAGAATGTGGAAGGATACAGGCACTGTGGACCTGCCTTCCCCTATCATTCAAAATTTAGTCAGTTAGGGAAGACAGATTTCAAAGTGGAAACTCCGTGTTCGGAAATACCCTAGACCTTTAATAACACCTCTGCATGTGACCTTAATAAAAGTGATCATTATGAAATATAAACAGATACTCTTATCAAGAATGGCAGTTAATCATGAACCCAGAGAGGACTTCCAACTAACCTCTACAGCCAAGGTTCATATATAATAAGGGTTATAGGAGGTCATTCTACTGTCTTCTACTTTGCTATCACTACAAAGCATTCTGAACATTCATGGTGTATTTTTCAAAAGTCTTCTGGACTACATTTAAAGAAAAAAACAACTTTTATTCATTCTAGGACTCCTTAAGGTGAAAGATGAAGACTTTAAGAAAACACCTGGTCACAGTTCCCAGCAGATAGCTGTCTCTTGGTTACCCTTGGAATGATGAGGCTGCCCAAGTCACAGAGTTCTACACAGCCCACCCAGAGACTGTCACAGATAGTTTCCATTTCTAAAGTTTGCCATAGCTTCCTTATACAAGGGCAGAATTGCAATGTCCCACTGAATCAAACTAAAAGATCTGAGAAAAGTCTACACATAGTATTTGAGTCATAGTGAATTTATCAAAGTATGTTTTCTTACACCAGACTCTATATTGAAATGGGCATGAAATATTGGCATGGGTGGAACTGTAGCCTTCACTTCTAAGCACTTCCTTGAGAGATCCTAGGTTCTGTCAAGTATGCTTGTGTGCTTTCTGGCTGGACAATCCTTAATTGGACAAGGCAATTTTTCTGGCACAAGAAAAGTATGAAGCCAGAAATGGTGGGTTATGACTGTAATTCCAGCTTTTGAGGATAGGATCATAATTTGAGGCTAGCTAAGCATAATGTTAGTGAGCCCCTGCTTCCCCATCTCAATAATGAGCCAGGATAGGTGGCATATATTTGTGATCCTAGGTAAGTAGGATGATTGTAGTCCTAGGCTAGGTGAGGCAAAAAACATGAGAACTTATTTTAAAAATAACTAAAGCAATGAAGGGAGAGAGAGAGAGAGAGAGAGAGAGAGAGAGAGAGATGCAGCTCAAGTGGTAGGGTATCTGCCTAGTAAGTGTGAGGTCCTGAGTTTAAACACCAGAACCACCTCAAAGGAAAAGAAAATCTGAATATGACTGAATGGCCTGATGAAAAACAAAACCTTCCCGATAATCTCACAGTCAAATGAACTACAAAAGTGTCTCCTAACTGCAAAACAATGACCACTCCCCCTCGTTGACATTTAGTAAACTGAAAAGTGAAAAGGGATTTATAAACACTAAGTTGCATGGGTAGTAGAACAATAGTGATTTTTTACTGAAGTTTGAACTCAAGGCCTCATGCTTGCTAGGCTGGGGCTCTGTCATTGAGCGTATATCTCTCGCCTCACTTTTCCCCTGTTATTTTGGAGATGGATTGTGTCAAACTTTTTGGCCTGGGCTGGCCTCAAGCCATGATCTTCTGGATACTAGCCTCCTGGGTAGCTAGGGTTCCATGCCAGCATGATAGATAAGTTTCAAGTTTCTTTTTTATGTATATCAGAGGGTCCTTTTCCCTATACAGCCTATTATTTAAATAATTTTACAACTTAAACCCAGTAGGCATAATAGACTGGAATAAAACTCACAAAATTATGGGAACGTTTTGATTAATACCTGATCCTTCTGAACTCTCATTTCATCAACTTCACTTTCAGCATACTGAGGATCTCGAGCAGGGTCCTTAGTAGCTTTCAGCGTGCTGATACTCTGAAATTACAGTTCACCAAATCATTTCATGCCCGTAACCAGAAACTTTCAGTGGCCACCGTGTGTCTAAGGAGCCAAGCTCTCATCCTCCCCCGAGACACCCTTGCCTCCCTCTCCTTTCAGATATGGTCTTCCTCCTCTAACAGCAGGGAGCTGTTTGAAAGGGGAGCCACATCTTACTTGCATTCTAACCTCCACAGTGATTTATTTATAATAGAGCTTAGCAAGTGTTAATGTAATATTGGAGCATGCGCAATACAAACCAAGTTAATGTAACAGGACCTCTGAGACATTTTCTATGACTGGTGAATAGTGCTAAAAACTCATGCTTTGAAAGAATTAGAAGTACATACCTTTGGTGGAAAGAGCTTTTCATATACTTTTTTCCACAACTCCATTGGTGAATGAGCGTGAAGCTTTCCAATGTCATTATCAGGAACAGGAGGAGCCCCTAAAATTAAAAGTTGTATTCCAAAAGACTACTTCAATGGAAGCATTATCATCAATTAAACAGATGACACATAAAATTGTAAATCTGGACCACTCAGTTACCTAATATAGTCACCACTCAAATGGAGCCCTAGCCAGCAGTACAAGGCACTGGGAAATATTCTAGGGTTGTAAGAAGAGATAAGGAGTAAGGTAAGTAAGCTCTAGCTCTCATTCTGCAACATGCTCTACCTACATATATCTATATCCTATCCAGAGTAATTCCAGGTTGTGGGTTGACCCCAGAAACATATGCATATCTGAATAAAGGCCTTCACATTGTGGCATCATTTGTACTATGCAAAACCAACCAGTCAAAATGACCATCAGTAATGAATAATGAACTAAACAAACATGTATGGCCATGCTTTTAAACACTGAGTTAAAAAAAAACAAACAAAAACCAGGTAGCTGGGCACCAGTGGCTGACACCTGTAATCCTACCTACTCAGGAGGCTCTATCTCAGAAAACAGAGAAAAGCCAAATGAAAAGCAATTGCCAAAATGTTTTCCAGAGGACTGTGCCATTTTATATCCCCACAAGCACAGTATGGGCAACCCAGCTTCTCTGCATCCTCAACGATGTCACTATTTCATAATATTAGCATGGTGCGTGAGAAGTGATATGGCATTCTGGTTTCATTAAATTTGCATGCCCCTAGTAACTAATAATATTAGCCATGTTTTCATGTATTTTATTTGTGATTATATGGCTTCATCAGTGAAATGCCTGCTGCAGTAAGATATCTTTGGCCCATTTTCTAATTGGATTACTTGGGTTTGTAATTGTTGAGTTCTTCACTTATCCTAAGTATCAGGCAGGTGGTTGGAAAACATTTTCTCATTTCTTGCACATCTTAGAATGTCTTATATCTTCCCATAAGCTTTCACAGAACAAAAAAAAATTCAGTTTTGATAAGGTTAGAGGTCTGTGATTGTTAAATTCAATAATGATCAACCTTTCAGACCTCTAACTACTCACATAGGCAGAAAAATTCCATCAGTGTTATATACCAGTGCACAGCGAGTCTCAGTGCTGCTGAAATAAGTTGCCATGAATGAAAATTATCAAAATCAGTCTCTGTGACTGCTCAATTAGGCAACACCATCCCTACTCATTTCATTCCAATTCAATCTATAATATTATTACAAAGATATTTACATTTGAAGTCAAGCTATCTTTAATTCAGAAGAGTAACAGAGGATAGGAAATACAAAAGAAAACTACTACCTGACAATGTTAAAAATCAAACCATGCCGACGTTGAACATAAAGAATTGGTAGGCCCAAAGATCTTCAGAAAGAAAACAGTTTTGAGTCTTTAACTCTCATTTCATGCAAAGTGAGCAAGAAATGTTTCTCTCTCTAAAATTTTCCCATTTTAATCATATTATATTAAAATAAGCCCTTGTTAAAAACCAGAAGAAAGGGAAGGGAAGAAAAGGGGAGGAGAGGGGAGGAGAAGGAAAAGGGAAGGGAAGGAAAAAGGGAAGAGAAAAAGAAAAAAGGGAAGGGAAGAAGGCAGGGAGGAAAAACAGCTTCTAAGAAAAGATGAGCTTGGTAAGTGAAGTTCCATTCGTTGTAGAAGATCATGGAATCTGAGCACAGGAAATATATCTCATTGAATAAGCAAGTTATTTTTATAGTGGAAAGGTAAAACATACCTAAAAACTGGTACAATTGGGTTCTTTTAGTTTATTCTAATTAATTCCATCTCATGTATCTGTCCATTACTCATAATATGCAGCTTTAAATTTGATTTAAAATTTAAAAGTATCTAGAACTCACTGTGGAAAGGGAACTACATATAGCATTTTTAGTGCAATAGAGGTGAGAAATCACTTATGTGGCAACATCTCCTCTACCACAAATATGTCAATGTGGTGTATCAATGCTGTGTATATAAATATATACACATGAAATAGCCACAGTGATAATGAAACCAGAAATAGTGGTGTGCTGGAAACAAGTGAACAGGGAGTAGCGTGAAATCAATAAGCAATTTAAAAAGCTTAAGTGATCTTAATAAGTTCACCAACCTATTTGACATAAAGAATCCAATCCTGCTGTGATAAACAGTGGCTTATTCTGATCCACACATATCGATTTGCTACATGGAAAAGAAAAGAGATTCTAATTTAGTTGGGCAATCGAACATGCTGCCATACTCACTGTAAGCAGGCTAAGTAAGGCTAAGTTTATATCTAAACCAATAATGAGAACATTGTACCAGTGAGCCCATGAATAGCAACTGAAATGATTTCAAAAATTAAACTGCAGTGTAAATAAAGGTTTCACATCCATATTACCTTAAATCCAAACTCAGAGAAATGGCAAAGCTAAGAAAAATATACACTAAAGTTTTCAATTCCATTTCAAGTTAATATAAGAAAATAATAATAAAAGGAAAGCTACTAAAAAGGAATATAATAATTTCATTTTGTTCCAGTTTAAAACTAACATTATATGACATTTTACTTGTAAAGTTTGAGGAACATTTAAATAATAAAAGAAGCAGACTAGCAGAACAGCCATGTGGAGCACCCTGTTGATCAAGAAACAAGACTCAAGAGGATAATTACAGGATGAGGCAACACCCACAAGTACAATAAAATAAAATACTTAGCAGTACCTTTTATCAATACCAAATGCCAACTGGTTGATCACTCCACGGATTTTTAGTAGTAGAGCTTCTGATTTACTAGTAAACTTAAAAGAAAAACAAAAACCAGATTAAACTATATAATCTGATACTGTATCAGAAAACAAGTAAAATAAATATAATTCAGAGCAAGTAGAGATGGTAGAGATAGCCACATTAATGTATTTTCTCCAGAAAATACATTTGAGTAGACAAAATAAAACCTATAATCAAGAAAACTGGATACATTTAATTCATACTTCAAACTCCATGAGGTATGATGGGGAAAGGCCTTGCATTTATACTCTGATGATCTCAGCTGCTCAAATGGATCATAAATACTTCCAAAGAACAATGTAAAAGTCTATATCTACACATTTGTGGTAGTGTTAGATGTGTATGCGTGTGTGTGTGCGTGTGTGCATAAACATACTCTTAAGGTCTAGAAGAAAAAAAATTCCCCAAAGGCAATTGGATTGGTTAAAAAATAAGAGGTACATAATAAAAAATAACTTTTATAACCAGGGCATATTTCTGTCATCAAACCAATCAATGTGGGAGCTGCAGAGCAGACCAAGGACACTAATGCTCATGAAAACAACTTTCTAACTTGTCTTTAGAGTTGCCTTCAGAGCCTGAAAGACATCATACTGAATACTTTCATTGATGGTATATAACTAGGATTATAACCAGAAGATTTTTTTAAAGAATGAAAGGAGGTAGATAGGTTTATAATTAGGCTCTAACATCCTTTAAAAATTTTTCATCTTCAAATGGTTGTACAAGGAGATTACAATTTAACATAACCGTTTATGTATACAGTGCATCTTCATTAGTCACTCTTCCCATCATTCTTCCCCTCTCCCACCTCTTTCCCCACCAGTTCCATTCTCACAAATTTTTTAAGCCTGTAATCCTAGCTACTCAGGAGACTGAGATCTGAAGATCAAAGTTTGAAACCAGCCAGAGCAGAAAAGTCCCTGTGAGACTCTTTTTTTTTTTTTTTTGATCCGGTCTCGGGGCCTGGACGCTGTCCCTCAGCTCTTCAGCTCAAGGCTAGTGCTCTACCACTTGAGCCACAGCGCCACTTCCGGCTTTTTTCTTTTCTCTTATGTGGTGCTGAGGAATCGAACCCAGGGCCTCAGGCATGCAAGGCAAGCACTCTACCACTGAGCCACCTTCCCAGCCCCCCTGTGAGACTCTTATCTCCAATTAAATGGAAGTGGCTCTGTGGCTCAAGTGGTAGAGCGCTAGCCTTGAGCAAAGAGACTCAGGGACAGCACCCAGGTCTTGAGTTCAACTGATCAAAAAAAAAAAAATTCTAGCCCTGTGCTGGTGGCTCATACATGTAATCCTAGCTACTTAGGAGGGTGAGATCTAAGGATTGTGGTTTGAAGCCAGCACTGGCAGAAAAAGTTCCCAGGAGACTCTTATCTCCAATTAACCACCAGAAAACAGGAAGTGGTGCTTTGGCTCAAAGTGGTAGCATACTAATCTTGAGTGAAAAAGCTCAGGGACAAGGCCCAAGCCCTGAGTTCAAGCTCCAGGAACAACCAAAAAAAAAAAAAAAAAGATTTGATTTCTGGGGCTGGGAAGGTGGCTCAGTGGTAGAGTGCTTGCCTTGCATGCCTGAGGCCCTGGATTCGATTCCTCAGCACCACATAAGCAAAAAGAAAAAAGCCGGAAGTGGCGCTGTGGCTCAAGTGGTAGAGCTAGCCTTGAGCTGAAGAGCTGAGGGACAGCGCTCAGGCCCAGAGTTCAGGCCCAACAACCGGACCCGCCCAAAAAAAAAGATTTGATTTCTAATGACATGAAATCATTTAGCCAAATCAGAATGACTAACATACACAAAAGTAGGAAAAAATTAAACTGAAATGAAATGTAATTATGAAACAAAGATGTCAATTTTCTGATTCTAAGAGCAATTCCACAAGACAACTTCATGGTAGAATAAGAATAGGATCCCAGGGAAAATACTCAAAGGAGAAAATATAAGACCTGATTCTTGATTTACAAGAAAGTATTGAAAACAATGCTATTAGTGAGATATAGAGAGAAAACAATCGGAATTTTTAAAATACATTGCTCATTTTAATTTTGTATTTATTAGAATAAGTATAATACTAATATGACCTTAATTTACTTTATATACTGCATTATGTTTTATTATAGTTTTTCATTTTTTCCTGAGAGAGGAAAAAAAAAACCTAACCACAAAAGTATTTCATAGAATGTAGGGTGTACTGGGCTAGCTAGAATTTTTTTTTTTTATTGTGTTAGTAGTGGGGCTTGAACTCTGGGCCTGAGCACTGTCCCTCAGCTCTTCAGCTCAAGGCTAGCTCTCTACCACTTGAGCTACAATGCCACTTCCGGTTTTCTGGTGGTTTATTGGAGATAAGAGTTTCATGGATTTTCCTGCCCAGGCTGGCTTGGAACCACGATCCTTAGATCTCAGCCTCCCGAGTAGCTAGGATTACAGGCATGAGCCACTGGCACCCGGCTAGCTAGAAACTTTTAAACTCAGTTTTTCCATTTGCTTTATCCATCTCTTCTAAACATCCTCCATGTAGAGCTGTTGACCCTGAACAAGCTCTGCCCTGGTATTCTTTATTTCCTAATGGAACTTATTTGCTGTTGTTGTTGTTACCAGGATTTGAATTTTAGGGCCTCATGCTTTCATTTGGTTTTTCTCCTCACAGCTGATGCTCTACCACTTGTACTATACATTCAAGTCCAGCTTTTGTTGGGTAGTTGGAGATAAAAGTCTTGAGGCTTTGTCTGCCTCACTAGTTTGGAACCACAATTCTCAGCTTTCAGCCTCCTGAGTATCTAGGATTATAGAGATAAGCCACTCATGCCTGAAAGTTCTTTCTTATTTTGAGTAACTTCTTTTTATTCTTTTCAAAATAATAAAAGACATTTTCTGAGGCACTCTGTCAATAAGCAAATAGAATTCAAACACAAGGTAATGATTTTAAGAAAATATGCCATAAAATGCACTTAGAATGTCCAAAAACAAAAAAACCCAGGGGCTGGGAAGGTGGCTCAGTGGTAGAGCACTTGCCTTGCATGCCTGAGGCTCTGGGTTCGATTCCTCAGCACCACATTAAAAAAAAAGCCGGAAGTGGCGCTGTGGCTCAAGGGGTAGAGCGCTAGCCTTGAGCTGAAGAGCTGAGGGACAGTGACCAGACCCAGAGTTCAGGCCCCACGACCGGACCCCCCCCCAAAAAAAACCCAAAGTTGAGATTACAGGATGTACACAGTAATTTCAGTTACAATATTATAGCTGTGAAGACAAAGTATAGACCAGATTGTGTCTAGATTCATCTGATCGGATTTAGAAGAAGAGAGCATTATATAATTATTTAAGTGTGAAGAAGTGTTTTTTTTAACAAATATGTTTTTGTGTTTTATCTTTTAAGCTAGCTGGCAAAATTTGGTCATGCTATGTATCCCTGTTAATCCTCATAAGGATCCTATGAAGAAAGACTTATTTTTATCTATTTTACCTGAGAAGAGAGTGGAGCTAAGTGGTAAAGGGCTTGAGTAAAATTACCTCTCCAATAACCAACAGCAATGCGTTTACATAAAAACAAAGCCCTGTTGTCAAAGTTGTTGTTGTTGATGGTGGTGGTGGTAGAGGTGGTGGTGGTGGTGGTGGTGGTGGTGGTGGTGGTGGTGGTGGTGGTGGTGGTGGTGGTGGTGGTGGTGGTGGTGGTGGTGGTGGTGGTGGTGGTGGTGGTGTGTGTGTGTGTGTGTGTGTGTGTGTGTGTGTGTGTGTGTGTGTGTGTGTGTGTGTGTGTGTACTGCCAGTACTGGGGCTTGAACTCAGGGCTTCCAAATGCTATCTAAGCTCTTTTACCCAAGGCTGGCACTGTACCACTGAACTACAACTCCAATTTTGGCTTTTTGGTGGTTAATTGGAGGTAAGAGTCTCACAGATGTTCCTGCCTGAGCTGGCTTCAAACAGTGATCCTTAGACCTCAGCTGCTTAGGAATAGTTAGGATTGTGGGCAGAGACATCAGTGTCCAGCTTTTCTTTTTCTTGTAAGTAAACACACTGTTCCTGAGGTGTGTTTTGTTTTGTTTTTCAAGGCTAGTAGCACTCTACCACTTGAGCTACAACTCCACTTCTGGCTTGAGTCTCACAGACTTTCCTGCCTAGGCTGGTTTTAAACTATTATCCTCAGATCTCAGCCTTCCCAATAATTAGGGTTATAGGCATGAGCTACCAGCACCTGACTGCAGATTCTAATTCTTAAGAGGAAACGAAACATAAATAAGCCCATAGGCAATTAATCTCTAAGTGTGACTAGGCTGTAGATGGAAGCTGAGTGTACCCCACAGGCACAGTATCTAACATTTTGAGAAAGAGGTCTTTGGCAGCAGCAAAGGAAAGGAGGAGACAAAGTGCCTCAGTGAGAACATTTAATATTCGTAGCTGTGCATCAATGAGCTACTTTTCCAAATTTCCTATTCTCCCTTCAGGCACCAAGGAGAGAAAATGTACAAACCATTAGAGATGCTCCATAGTAATGTGCAACAAATCGGAGTGTCTTGCATATCACCTTTCTCTTCTCAGAGTCAAAATCCTAGAGAAATGTTAGGAATATTAGAAATGTAGAAATCTAGGAACATCAGAAATAGAAATATTACAAAAGAAAACACAAGATGAGGAAACTAAACATCCTGAAGCACCAAGAAGAAAATTATTAGGTATAGAAATAGGTTATTTCTTATTTTTAAAAACCCACCCAGAGGAGTAAGATTCTATCACTCAGATATTGGTTTCTATAGAGACTGAACAAGAGCTACAGTTGTCAGATCTTCTCTTTGTTTAAGCACTTAGCTCAAGAGAATTCAGATAGAAGCACAGACTTTATTGTGTGGAATACCCTAAGGATCCTCTGACAAGCAAAGATAAGAAGAAACTAATTTTCTCTTTCTTTCAATTTAACACTTGGGAAGTAAGTCCTATCCCTCAGTGGTTGAGGATTCATTTTCTAAATCTGCTACCTTATCCTCATGCTAAGTACTACATTTATTTCTTTAATTTCCCTGTCCTAATTATATGTTTTCCAAAAATCTTTAAGATGGGTGATTGCTTAATCTACCCTTTCCAGGGCTATTTCTCTTTTTTCAGCATCATTTTGGTGCTCCCTGCAAAACCCCATAAAGCAAAGCCACACATGTCAACAGAAGCGGAAGAACTTACCTGAAAAATATCATATTTACTTCCAATTATGACCAGAGGGATTGGAAATGGGTCGATTAACTCACGATCCTGTTAATAAATGTATTCAACTTGTTTATTATAATTGCTTATTTCTATGTACTTAGTAATTGCTATTTACTTCCAAATATACCATTTGCAGACTTTCGTAGATGTTGCTCTTATGTGTTACAGAATGTGTTGCAGTGTTAACTTTCATTTTCTAAACTACATTTCTGAAGTACAAAATTAGAAATGAGGGAGTGGAACTGTGTTTCAAGTAGTAGAGCACCAGCCTTGAGTGAAAAAGCTTCTAAGGAAGGTCAGGCACTGTTGGCTCAAACCTGTAATCCTAGCTACTCATAGGCTGAGATCCAAGTACTGTAGTTCAAAGCTGGCCTGGGCAGAAAGGTCCATGAAACTCTTATTTCTAATGAACAACCAAAAATCTGGAAGTGGAGCCATGGCTTAAGTGGTCGAGCACTAGCCTTGAGCTTGAAAGCTCAGGGACAGTGCCCAGGCTGAGTTCAAGTCCCAAATCTGGCTTTTAAAAAAAAAACAAAAACAGCCAGGCGCTGGTGGCTCACGCCTGTAATCCTAGCTACTCAGGAGGCTGAGATCTGAGGATCGCGATTCAAAGCCAGCCCGGGCAAGAAAGACCGTGAGACTCCTATCTCCAATAAACCACCAGAAAACCGGAAGTGGCGCTGTAGCTCAATTGGTAGAGTGCTCGCCTTGAGCTGAAGAGCTGAGGGACAGCGCCCAGGCCCAGAGTTCAAGCCCCAAGACCGAAAAAAAAAAAAAAAAAAAAAAACAAAGCTAAGGGCAGTACCCTGGCCTTGAGTCCAAGCCCTAGTACCAGCACCAAAATAAACACAAAACACTAAAAATGACAGTTCCCTAACTTACTGTATTCTTTTCTTGATTTGCCATTTTATTTTTTATACAACAGATCATATTTTCAGAGTCTTTTCTACTTCATGTTAAATATTTGTTGTATTAGCATTTATACTGCATGAATTTGTTTTACTCTAATATCATGCATATCTGGGCAATATAAAATGCTGCTCTTGGTTTTCTAAATGCTGGTATTTGTGATAGTATTTTAAAAACTTGTATAACCATCACAAAAACTTTGTAATTTAATCAGTACTCAGATGATCAAAAGATACTAAGTATGGGACAGACGGTAAACGAATGTGGACTACACCATGTAGAATCAGCTATTAAAACTCCTTCCCTGCTTAAGGAAAGAGTAGCTTCATCTAGTTTTTGCCATTTGACTTTTATAGAGCTGGATTTTTATCTTCATTTTACAGAGATGATCAAATCAATATCAACTACTACTTTAAAAATATATTTCTTTTGGTGGGTGTAATAAACCATAACAATTTCACTAGACATCTAACAAGAAGATCTAAGAAATCTTTTCCCTTGTTTTACCCGCCCTTGTTTTATTAAATTACTATAATTTTCCAGTGAACAAGTTCATCTACATCAAATGAATTTCAATTCATGCATAAAAATCTAAAGAGTTTGTTTGTAATATGATATCAGTGAAGTATAGGGCAAAGGATTCCTGCATCCATCTAACAGCAACTCACCGGATGGTCCTTTGGCATAGTACTCCATATCTTCTGCCTCATTTCAGATGTTGCTTTAGAATGCGTCTTTCCAAGTTTCATGATCACTTTATCTACATGGTTTTTTGTGGCTTGCAACAGATTTTCCATGGTGGTCCAAAGATCATTAGGCTTTGAAAGATCCAAAACAAGAACAATAGAAAATGTCCTAAAGAAATAAAAACATTTTTAAAAAAAAACCCTTAAAATAGGGCTCATTTTGAAATGCTATTGTACTGAAATTCATCTAAGAATAACATTATAGCTTACAAAAAAGTTGTTTTAAGATGAAAGAGAGAGAAAACATGTAAAAATGTATTCCAATGTTTTACTCTAGTGATATTTCAGTTTTACAATCAAAAGTGACATTGTGTTTGATCTAAAAGCAATCTTGTACAAATAGAAAAACTGCAAGCAGTTGGATCCAACAATACCATGTTCAGATTCAATTTTACTGTGCGCTCCAAAGAAGGGAAACAAAAATATTAATAAGAGTGGCGGCAGCAACACAGCACGGTGGAGGAAGAGGCAGATTCATGCCTTGCTAAGGATCCACCTAGTTTATTCAGTCTTTACAAGAACCTTTCCTTGAAGGCATTATGGATCTGAATTCTGAAGTACAGATATAATATATATGAAGTGATATTATCTTCTGTCTGAAAGCATACCCATGACTGGATGGACCAGTAACACCATATGCTCTCTGTTCATACACATCAAACATCAATCTAAACTCAGAAACACAAAAAATGATCCAATTTAAAAATGGGCAAAGGTCTCAATTAGTTTCTGAAAGAAAATCTATAGATGCCCAATAGCACATGAAAATGAATTTAAAAATCATTAATTATTAGGGAAATGCAAACTTAAACCACAAGGGAAAAGTACCTCACAGCATTAAGATAGCTACTATCAAAAGAAAAAAAGCTACAAATAACAAGTGTTGCTAAGGATATAATAATACTGGACTTTTTAGATTGCTGATGAGAACATAAATTGGTACATTCACTGTGGAAAACAGTATGACAATTCCTCACATGTGGCATAGAATTACCACATGATAGCAGTTCCACCTCTGGGGCCATATCCAAAACCCTGGGAGCTAGGATCTGAACAAATATTTATATACTGTGCACCAATGTTCATAGCAACATCATCACAATAGTCCAAAGTTATAGAATAACGCATGTCCCATGGATGGATTAGTGGATAAGCGAAATGTGTATATACTTGTAAAGACAGGACATTCTAACATGTGCTACAATATGAACCCTGAAAATATTATGCTAAGTTAAATAAACTACTAGCAAAAAGACAATCAATTACACCACCATGAGCCATTCTAATTCCTAGGAAACTATCTCCATTAAGAAGATTCAAGGCTGGGTGCTGGTGGCTCACACCTGTAATCCTAGCTACTCAGGAGGCTGAGATCTGAGGATCGCGGTTCAAAGCCAGCCCGGGCAGGAGAGACCGTGAGACTCCTATCTCCAATAAACCACCAGAAAACCAGAAGTGGCGCTGTAGCTCAAGTGGTAGAGCGCTCGCCTTGAGCTGAAGAGCTGAGGGACAGCGCCCAGGCCCAGAGTTCAAGCCCCACGACTGACAAAAAAAAAAAAAAAAAAAAAAAAAAAGAAGATTCAAGTTAAAAACTATATGACTATAAAATTCTGTTTCTGAAAATTAACGTCACAGGAAAAGGGTGTTTGTAAGCAAGAAAGCAACATCCAAATATGTACATAAAACATTCCAATCCAGCAGAACATGATAACTCATGCCCATAATCCCAGTTACTCTGGACATGGAGATCAGGAAGATCATGATCTGGAGCAAAATTAAAATGATAGCCTGATCCTATCTCAACCAATAAGCTGAATATGGTAGCATATGTGGATCATACACTACTTGGAGTTGGTGGTTCAGGCCAGGCTGAGGTAAAACGAGATCATCATTTGAAAAATAACGAAGGAAAAAGTGCTGGAGGTGTGGCTCAAGTGATAGAGTAACAACTGTGAGCAAGAAAAGCTGAGAGTGTGAGGCCCTGAGTATAAGCCTCGACACCCACACACAAAAAAGAAAAAATTAATCACTGGATAAAGCCAACATTATTGATATCCAGCTACCACTGGAAAAGCAATTGTCCAGTGAGTATGAAATAATTCCATACTCGCTAAGGATTTTAGCATCCAAAATATAATAAGAAACTGGCAAACCCTTTGTATTTGGTCCAGGCAGCAACAATGGTTTGTGTTAATCTCTGACAAGAATGAGATATTCCAGATTTTTTAATTTGTTTAATTTGTTTATTTCCCTTGGCTACCATCAGTTCCCAGTTCCAGGAACACTGTGAGAAATGTCACAATTTTCCACGTCTGATTTGGCCAACATTTGAGAGTCATTGTCAGGAAAACACTACCAAAGGGTTTTGAGGTTTTCCCCTGGATTCTAGTGCTTAAAGGACTAGTCGGCAAAGGGAGAGACTTTCTCCTCCTGGAAGAGTCTTTGGATGGAGCTCAATACTACTAAGCCACATTAAATTCCTAAGTTGACTTATACTATCCAGCTGAAGAAAAAGCTCGGAGCTTAATGCACACATATTGAGATAGATAATAGGATTAAGCTTTTCAAATTTGCTTTGCAAATGAATTCCTCGGTTCCAGTATTATTTGACAGAGCTGTTGTTAGCTGGTTTGCAAAGTGTGTTACTTGTGGGAATGCCAGCTATCTCCCTGTAGCGCAGCCAGAAGCTAGGTTCTTAAAAATCTCTTTGCAAGCATTCATTTAAGCACATGGGAAGAAATATACAACTGTTTCCCCAAATTCTGACCCACAAAGCCTACTCCCATTCATGTTGTGAACACTGAGTATACTCACAACTCTTCCTGGAGCTGTTCACTTACCGCAAGGTGTCACTTGTGATAGGGATGCTAATTAAGTCCAGTAAGGAGCTTCCTCCACCCAGCTCCCAAAAGTGAGCAATATCTTTTGGCTGAAAAGGAATTTGTATAAAAAAATACATTAGGTTGGGAAGGTGGCTCAGTGGTAGAGCACTTGCCTTGTATGCTCGAGGCCCTGGGTTCAATTCCTCAGCACCACATAAGAAAAAAGCCAGAAGTGGCGCTGTGGCTCAAGTGGTAGAGTGCTAGCCTTGAGCTGAAGAGCTGAGGGACAGTGCCCAGGCCCAGAGTTCAGGCCCCACGACTGGACCCAAAAAATAAAAATAAAAAAATACATTAAAAAATATATGTGTCTTATACTTCCTGAACATCTGCCAGTAATAATTGCAGTATTACACAAAAGATTGCAGCCCTTAATCAATACTCTTTGGCAGTTAAAACTTTCCATGATCCCTTCCCCCTTGAAATGCACCAAAGCATTTCCAAGCACAAGGACAAAACACTTATGAATATATTCTTTCAGACTCCAGGACCATAAATTCTCTTTTTCAGAGGAGTGTGGCTCAGGTGCTAAAGTATCTGCCTAGACATACAAAGCGCTGAGTTCAACCCCCAATACAGCGAAATATTTTGTCTACACATGTACATAAATGCCAATTCTGCTAATACTTTAGTAGAAAAAAACAAAAACAGTGTCTCCATTCTGTATCACATTTAAAACACAAAATTTTAGTACTTTAGACAGAAATAAGAGAGATAAATAGGACAACATCCTGTTTTAGGATGACAGATGCTCACAAAATGAATCAGACATCCAGGTAAGGCAGAAGGAAAAGGGACAAACAGATGTCAGTCTTGGTTGCACATCAAGACTACCTAAGGAAAAGTACAAGTAGGAAATCTATTCTATGCCTGCTTCCCATGGGTAATACAAGGTCTACAACTGACAGTAACAAATGTCGGTGAGGGAATAAGATAAAGGTGACTTATTATCTACTTTTCTTTCTCTTAAAGTAACAGGGGATTGACAGGGCTAGGCAGACAAGTAATTTGGAAACAGGCCTGTCTGCTCCATCTCCCATCCTTCTTAGGCTGTTAAGGCATCTCTGCTTCTGCCTGACCATGCTGAAAAATCTTCCATTCATGCAAACTGTGAAAGGACTGACAAAGTGCTGCTTTAGGAAACATTAAATCTGAAAGTTTCCAGGACCCAAAGCTCCCATTTATGGTTCAAAGTCTAGAGGTAAAAAAACTCAAACAAACAAATGAACAGTCATAGAGGTTTTTATGTATTTTACCATGAACTGGAAGAGACAATTATTAAAGCAGGTTTAGATAAAACATATTAGTTTGCATTTTGACAAATTTTCATCTTCATTGTATCTCAGAGTAGTAACATAAAATCTCACCCCCCCCCACACACACACTTTCTCTCTCTCTTTCTTTCTTCTTTAATAGGGGTGCCCTCTATAGCCCAGGCTGGCCTAAAACTCTCTGTGTAGCCTAGGCTTCCCTAAAGTTTTCAATCCTCCTCCTTTAGTTTCCTCAGTTGCAGGACTATAGGTATAAACCACCACACCAGGCCTGAAATAAGATTTCTTTGTAACTTTACTCTGAAGTTCATTTGTCTACTAATATTAATCATATTCATGTGACTTTTTCTACTTTACAGATAAAAAGAATATTGTAAGTTATTTTGTCTCTAAAATCTTAAAAATAGGTTTGGCTTATGAAAATTTGTGAAAATGTACTGCTCAAAATATAAATTATCAGTATTAAAGAATACAGGAGATGTAGCTCAGTTATAAAGCCTTACACAAGCTCTTGGGTGGTTCAATCCTTAGCACTGAAGGTTTCCAATTCTGTTTTGTTTTGTTCTTTGTTTCTGGCACTAGGGTTGAACCTAGGGCTTTGAGCATGCTCTGCAGGCACTCCACCACTTAAGCCGTGCCTGCAGCTGGGCTTCTTACTGGTTATTTTGGAGAAGAAGTTGCATGGACTTTTCTACCTGAGCTGGCTTCAAGCTGTGATTCTTTGGATCTCCATTTCTTTCTTTTTTTTTTTTTTTTGTCGGTCGTGGGGTTTGAACTCTGGGCCTGGGTGCTGTCCCTCAGCTCTTCAGCTCAAGGCGAACGCTCTACCACTTGAGCTACAGCGCCACGTCCGGTTTTCTGGTGGTTTATTGGAGATAGGAGTCTCACGGTCTCTCCTGCCCGGGCTGGCTTTGAACCGCGATCCTCAGATCTCAGCCTCCTGAGTAGCTAGGATTACAGGTGTGAGCCACCAGCGCTCGGCACTGATCTCCATTTCTTGAGTAGCTAGAACTATAGGCATGAGCCACCAGCACTGACTCGAGCTATCTTAAAGTTGGTAGTATTATTTGAAACCATAGGCCTTAATCTTACTTTCACTTGTTTTAGGAACAGCCTGAGAAATAGTCATTTGGGACATGATAGGGAAGATATATGTGCTTTCTGTATGCTTCTCATTGGCTGCTCATGGGCTGTCTGCATGTAATAATTTTATATGGGCCTCAAATATGTTTTAAATATCCAAATGACCATTGGCTTTAGAAGGATGTTAGAAACTGTTCAGAAAGAGAGGAAGAAAGGAGGGAGAGAAATAGGTGAATCTTATTTTAGCACTGAGATATAGTGAATGAGAGGCTGAAATATTTTCTGTTTGGATGGGCTTCATAGCAACTGAACTGGGACACAGCTATTGCTATGATAAGATGGAAAATGTAATACAAAGCCAGCATCTCAACTCTCCCATGTATGACACAGCCATACCTCTGAAGACAACACTCACTGTGTTATGCCCCTTTGCTCTTCTTCCATATGTATATTCCAAAGCTAAGGTTGGTTTCGCTGGCTCATCCCTGTAACAGCAGAAAATATTACCATAGCGGGCAATATCAGTTTCTTATGATATAATCTTACTTGATTCATTTTTCCTTTGTCTTAAACAAGTTATTAGCAAAGAAGCTACTTTGAATACTAGTAATGAGGTACAAATTATAAAAGCTGCATATAAGCATCTCTGTGGTTATATAATGGCACCCGTTGGGGGTGGTGGAAGTGGTGATGAGCTGGCAGAGATGACAGCCATGCTGGGCACGAGGTCATGTGGGAACCACTGCCTGAAGTTTATAATCAGCCTTGTGCGGAGCTGGCAACCTACTGACTTGATGTTTTCTACTGAGAATATCAAAGGAAGATGTTTATGTAGTTCTCTATTTCAAGTCACAGTTCAAATATGGGCATCATTTAGCATGTGAGATTCATAAACAAATTATATCGAACATGTCCTAAAACAAATGACTGGAGACTATTACAATGATTAAATGAACTATTTATACTAGTTTATATTGCTTGATAAGCCATCTTACCATGGATATTTATTCTATTATATTAATGTAGTAAAAAAAAACACTTAAAATTTACCATTAAAACTTTTTAAGTCTAGTAGTAGTAAAAATATTTATATTATTAACTTCCTGTAGCTGGGTACTGGTGGCTCACGCCTGTAATCCTAGCTACTCAGGAGGTTGAGATCTGAGGATCGCAGCTCAAAGCCAGCCTGGGCAGGAAAGTCTGTGAGCCTCTTATCTCCAGTTAATCACCAGAAAACCAGAAGTGGCGCTGTGGCTTAAGTGGTAGAGCATTCACCTTGAGCTGAAGAGCTTGAGGGATAGCGCCCAGGCCCAGAGTTCAAGCCTCATGACCAATAACAAAAAAAAAAAACACCCCAAAACCCACAAACTCCCTGTAACATCTAACAATCATAATCCTAATTCTTAATCTGATGAAATGCTTGTATTGTATACAAGGTTAGGGAATAATTAAAACAAATGGTAAAAGGTACAGTTGGAAAACCAACATCGTGCTTCAGAAATGTACCCCTGAACAATTACAATTATTATTCAATTATCATTCATTACATGAACAAAAGTAACTTAAGTACCAAAGGAACATAGCCCAAAAGGATGTAAATGTTCTTGTAGGCTAGGTAATTATGGTAATATTTCTCTTTCCAACAAGAAAATCCAGGATTAATCCCATACCTTTTGGTTCTTTATTAGTCTTATCTTTAAAGGAGCTCTTAAAGATCATGCTAAAGTCTCACTGAGAATTAAATATTTTGAGTCTCAAAATCCTTCTCTTTCTATATATCTTTTAGACTCTACCTTGTCCTTGTATAAGTAGAATACATATAAATACAGTCTAAGGTTAATATAACACTTACCTGTCAAGACACCTTAGAATAATAGTAGTCTTTCCCTGAAAATTAAAAAACAAAGAACACTGTGTAAATGTCACCCTTTTGCAAAATTTGATTAGTGTTCATAATTGTGGCCCAAAATAGCTTCTTAAATCATTTGAATGATAAATTACCTGGAAACTGAAAACTAGGAACTTTCAGAATTGTTCTAAAGTTTGATAAGTGGAAAAAGTTAACTGTCAACTTTCCATCACAGTGTAACTACACTGCTATTATTATAATTATAAAGTCCTACAGATGACAAATATTAGCAAATCTTATCTCATGTTAGTGGTCAACTTGGCAGCTGTCTTGAATTTTCCCTTTACTCAACAATGCTAATTACTAGGTAAGCTGATGATTAGTGCCTTCTAAAATGTTTTCATTCCAACTGTTGAAGTGGAAGTAAAAGAGAAGATAACATACAAATAAAGGATATGGTGCAAATATGCTCAAAATCGGTAACTGAAGCAATAGGCTATACTACTTGTTTAATTCTGTGGGATACACTTATTCCAAGTTTCTTTTTAGGAGGCAGGAAATGTAGCTTCCGGCCCCTTCTCTGCCACTGATCACATTTTATCCAAAGGCTGGTATGGTGGTTTGAATCATTGTGTTGTCTTTGTTTTTGTTTTTTCAAATAATAAAACTCTATACAACAAACTACAAATGATCTCCTACTCTTGTTAAATGATTCTTCTGGGCACAAAAAAAAATGTTTATAAAGCAAAAATTTTTATCTCAAGACACCTGTCTTTACGGGAAGCATCCTTTCTCTACAGAGATTTTTGTCAGTCATGGGGCTTGAACTTAGGGACTGGGAACTGTTCTTGAGCTTTTTCACTCAAGGCTAATGCTCTACTACTTTGAGCCACAGCACCACTTCCGGTTTTCTGGTAGCTACGAGACTCACAGTCTTTCCTGCCCTGGCTGGCTTTGAACTGCGATTCTCAGATCTCAGCCCCTTGAGTAGCTAGGATTACAAGTGTGAACCATCAGTACCTGGCCCTGTAAAGGGATTCTAAAAATATCTAGACCTAAACTTATAAAGTGAACTAACATTGCTATCTCTGGGTTCAATTGTTAAAACAGTGTATCATTCTGTAAAATAGAATGAATAAATATACCAGGTATCCGATTAAAGGGGAACACTCATCCTAAGGTGAAGTTGAACCAAACCCAACCTATTATTTCACCATAAATACTGGTGAATTAGAGTACTCTTGCACCTGTTTTCAGATGTGCCCATACAAGGTCTGGGTTGTATACTCTTTCTGTGGTTTGCTTTACTAATATAAACTTTCCTCATCTCTACCTCAATACTGCCAAAAAAAAATTAACAACAATTTGGTTGTTAAATCATCTCAACAATTCACTGAAAAACACACACACACACACACACATTACCCCATTTTTACTGCCAATGAAGAAAACAGATTTTTCTCCAATTTCAACTCCATCACCTTCACTTCCATTATTTCCTCTTTTGTCCACTTCAGCTTTGGCAATATCCCAGAGAGTTTCACTATACAAGAGGCAGTAAGACAAATTCAAAGGTAAAAGATTTCTCTTAAGTATTTATTTCAAGCAGAAAATTTTTACTTCAGCAACATTCATAAATCAAAACATCTGAGAATTAGTCATTTTGTGATTATTTTTTCTATGACCTCATTCATGAAGGGTACTGAAACTGTATCGTGGAGCCTAACCAGGATTGTGGTTTGTCTTATTCAGGACTTCCCAGTGAGGTTCTAAGGCTGTTCCCAGACTCACTTGACAGCAGGAAGGCTTTAGGATATGTACAAATTGGAGATGGCTTAATAATCTAAATAATCTGTGTTGCCCAAAATACTTTTTTATTTTTAAGTTATAGTTATGGCCCAAAGTGCTGCTTGAAAATATGAAAGTATAAAGATAAAAAAGAAGTCATCTAAAATTGCAAACATGTTGAAAGTCATCCTTTCATTTGTCTCTTTACTCACATACATAATTTGACTCATTATTTTATCTTTTTCTTTCTTTCTTTCTTTTTTTTTTTTGCTGCCAGTACTGGGGCTTGAACTCAAGGCCTGGGCCTTGTCCTTTAGCTTTTTGTTCAAGGTTAGTGCTCTACCACAATTCTACTTCTGGCTTTTTGCTGGTTAATTGAAGATAAGAGACCCATATAGAGTTTTCTGCTGGGGGCTGGCTTTGAACTGTGATTCTCAGATCTCAGCCTCCTGAATAACTAGGATCACAGGCTTGAGCCACTGATACTCAGCTATATCTTCTAAGTCTAAGTGAAAACAGATTGCTGTATTAGATAGTATATTAACAGACTTGGTGGGTCTCACTCTGACTGAAATCTACTAATATGAATCTATTAATTCATACAAAGTACAATACTTGTTGTATATAGTACTTAGTATGAATGTAAACTTCAGCATATGGCCTCATCTCTCTAGATCTCTTTCATTTCTTTACAAATTAGGCAAATATTTATTGAGCACTTAATCTATGCAAACCTCTATTCTAGTTCTCAGCTCAGTCTCTCTCCTCTCTCTCTCTCTCTCCAAACACACACACACACACGCTTTTAGAATTGTGATTTTTGTTACAATTTGATCATTCATTTAGTCTCAGGGTATAGTCTATAAAATTACCAAAATTCATGGCCTACAACTGTTACTAGTTAAGAAGAACCAGGAATTTTAAAAGGGCCCAAATAGGAATGTAAAAACTGAAACTGAAGAAATGTTTGCATTGAAATTCATGCATTTATTTCACAAGTGAGGCTGTAAGAATCCAGTCTGGGCCTATCTACTTAGATTGTTCACTTCCACATCATTCCTTGTAAATGTGGTACCCAGCAGAGAGGGAGGAGGTGCTGCACTCAGACATGCCACCTGTGGACATCTCTAACAGTATCCATCGCTTTAGAACTGTAACCAATGATAATGCCAGGGAAGGTTGATAGTTTTTACTCCCAAATTCATAAACACATCCAAGATCACACCACTACTGTTCCAAAGCTGAGAATACTGACCCTGCTGCTCTGTGACAGGCTCCCCCATGCCCTTGTAGGTTGTTTGGGGGGCTAGGTATTATCCCCTAGTGCAGGTAATTTAAAGCACCTCATGGACATGAAGAGCTCAGAGGTATTATTCAGGCCATCACCTCCTGCCCACTCTCCCTCCCCAACATGAGATTATACCGTCCCCAGTGTTTTCCAAGTTTCCTCTCTTGCTGACCCTGTGAACCCCGCGCCAGGGAGCAGAGGGCGGCCTAGCTCCGTTGTCGAAGCCTCAAAACACTTTTACTGGCTCAATGAGTGGAGTCGATGGCCTCTGAGCATCTCTTACTTTTCTGCCAGAATCTTCATGTCTGAGGGGAAGCCCGGGACCGTCAGCCCGGTGCATGGCCCGATGTCCAGCCCGCGCTGGACAAACCCGCCGCAGAATGCCCACCCTCCCACCCCACTCCCGGCCCCAAGCCCGCCCTTCCGGCTTGGAGATGGAGAGGAGGGTTTTCCCTAGGGGGCGTAGGCCCGGCGCAGGTCGGGGTTGCAGGAATACCTGGGCATAGTGGCCGGGTGACCCCAGATGTGGCAGGCTAGGCGTGGGGGCCAGCCAAGAACTCCGTGGGCCACGGGCTCCGGAATCAGCGGGCGAAAGCCGGCTCCTTGGTTGCCATGACAATGACGTTCTAGCGGTCGTTGCGTGCGGAAATGGCCTTGTGGGAAATGTAGTTCTCGACATTCCTTTTCCAGTCTCACACCTCAACCCCTGCAAGGCAAAACAGTAAGGTTTCAGTAGTTACAAATGTGGGACCTAAAGGCAACTGTGCCTGGCTTCGAAGTGTTATTTTGTGAAAAAATATTTTTGCTTAGCCAAGCTGAATTTTAGAGTTCAGTCCCTCCAAGGGCGGAGGCATACAAAGCAGAGGAAGGTGTACAAAGCAGAGGAAGGTGACTTAGCGGTAGGGTGCTTGCCTAGCATGCTTAAAGCCCTGAGCTCGATTACTCTGTACCACATAAACAGAAAAGGCCTGAAGTGGCACTGTGGCTCAAGGAGTAGAGTGCCAGCCTTGAGCAAAAGAAGCTCAGGGACAGTGCCCAGGCCCTGAGTTCAAGTCCCAGGACCGGCAAAAAAAAAAGTCTCCTTTTGGGAGAAGCCCTTCATCCCACTCCCCGCACCCTCCGTTCCCCAAGCCTCTACCTTCAGCCCAACAGAATGGATTTTACTCTGAAATATAAATGCATTTACTCTGAAGGAATGTTCTTGTTGAGTACCAACTACGTGCAGGAGTCTCTGCTTTTTCTCATATTTTACTTTTCTGTCACATAGCCAGAATTAAGGAATGGAAGTTCTAGGAATTAACTAAAAACATAGACTAAGCCTTAAAACTGAAAATAAGGCATGTGATTTTAATGTTTTTCAACTTTCTGAATGTTTACTTGTATTATGTTATATGCAGCAGTGACATATTATTTATTAATAAGTTAGTGAGGCATGTACATCTATATACTTCATGAGTGCAAATTTTTGTTTGATTTCTAAGAATTTTTAAATCAATAACAAACATTAGGTTATTAATATATGAAAGGATTTAGTTACACAGGGTAAAATGTAGAGAAGACAAGATCCTAACCTGTGAGAAAGATGGACAGTTAATTATATCATTATCTGAGATGAGTGATATAAGCTATTGCAGAAGAGGTACAAAACTAACCTGAGTGGGCGGGGAAAAAAAAAAAAACTAACCTGAGAACAGAAATACCGAATTATGTCTGTAAGTGTTAGTGAAAGATTCTTGGCAGTTACTGTATTTGATCTGTGTTTGAATGCTGGGTAGACCCAGACACTCTTATTTGAGATGCCCTGAATATTTGAAGATTCTCTCCAACCCTCTAACATTCGATTTAGGTTTTGTTTTTTTTTTAATACCGTAATGTTTAAGAAAAGATCTGAAAATGGATCTTAGATTCAGTAGGATGTGGTATCTGAGGCAGGAGGATGGAAAGTTCAAGGCCAGTATGGACTAATATTGAATTCCAGGCTGGGCTACACAGTAAGATACTAAAAAGAAAGAGAGGGAAAGATGGAGAGAAGGGAGAGGGAGGGAGGAATGAAGGAAAGAATGAGGCAGAAAGGAAGGAAGAACACCTAGATTCCTGACTCAGCCATACAAGTTGCAATATTGCCACATTGTGTAAATTACTTATCTGAACCTTACTTTCTGATTCTGTTAAAGGAAATGCTTAGGAATTTTAAATGAGATAAATAAATGCAAAGCACAACTTAAATGTGTGACACATTATAGGCACACATTGCAGGTACTTTATTGTTATGTGATAAACTGCAGGTCAGTATTTTTTTCTTTGCAGTGCTGGGGATCAAACTCAAGGCCTCCTGCAAAGCGAGGCAAATGTTCTACCATTGAGAGCGTCCTCAGTCTGCATGGTGACTTGGAATAAAGACCCATTAAGGAGTCCATTCCCAGGAATGAGGCAATTTGATTGATGGAAGACAAAGTTTTTGCAACATAAAGAAATTCTGTGAGCCCTTTGGTATAGTTGGGAGGCAGAGAAGGCTACAGTTGCACATGGAAAAGAATGTAATGAGAATGCAGTTCAGGGGGAATAAAGATGATTTTAAAAGAGGCTGAAATATCTCTCACTGAATTAACATCTATATTTCGATACTAACCAGGCTGCAAGTGCATAAACTAACATGGAACAGATTGTAATGAATTATGATTTTGGTTCTGGACCTTTAGAATCCTTTGTATGCTTGCAAGGAATTCCTGTTGGTCTTTTAACAAGAATGGCATCTGGGTTTTGTTGTGGTGGTTGTTTTTTACCAAGTACATGCTATGTAGTAGACACAGTACTTTTTTTTTTTTTTTTTTTTTTTTAAGAATGTAACTGTTTGGATACCAGATATGTACTTGGAGGGAGCCTTAGTTACAGGAAAAGTAAAGGCTGAGTTCTCTTTTTACCAGAGTAGGCACTTGGACCAAGATCCTTCTACTTTATGATTTCTGTCATAGCTGGGATGATAGGCCCACACCACCATGCTGAATTTTTATCAAGATGGAATTGGAAACTCTTTTTCACCTAGGTTGGCCTTCAACAATGATCTTCCCAATCTCAGCCTCCTGAGTACCTAAGATTCCAGGCATGAGCCATTGTGTCTGGATGAAGCCAAATAAAATTTAAAAATAGAATTGTGCCGTGACTAGACCTGAGTTGGAGTGAGATAATTTTTTGCAGCTGCATGAACGTTATTTTCTTGGAGCCTAGAAAACCATAAGGAGGATATTAAACAATAGCCAGGAAAGTGACAAAAGTTTTATATTTTTTTCTCTTTGTTTTCAAGGTTATATAAGCTTCTTGTAGGAAAAAGAAGTGTATAAAAAAAGAAACTGGATGAAATGTCAGCCCCCAAAATAACCATTAAACATTTTGACGTGCTTTAACAAAGTGTTTTAAGTATTGGGATTATAGTGGGTGGAGATGGGAGGGAAAAACTGGGAGAGAGAAAGGGAAGGGATAGACATTGTCCTAAAAGAAATATACTCTTTACCTGACTTATGTAACTGTAACCCCTCAGTACGTCACCTTTATAACAACACTAAAAAATTGAAGAAAAAAAAAGATTTGGGATTGTAAAGTTCATTAACATCCTTACTTTAACATGTATATTTAACCCATATCCATTACAAATGTATCCTGACTATAACTTGCATGGTTTCATGTTACATTTGGAGATTTTCTTTTTATCAAAAGGCATTTGCATGATGTTAAGTTTGAGGTGGCCCTGAGTGAACACCTATCATGATTTGTGTTCATCAGAGTCTTTCCTTGGAATTTTTTCAAATTAGAATTGGGAAAAGCAAGCTTCTCCTGCTTTTTAAGAGATTAGCATAGGCTCTGTTAAGTGAAGAATGTCACTTTGTGGAGAACACAAAACAGATGTGCATCAGCGTGGTGTCTTGGCACACATCTCATGGTTCTGGCTGTCCCAAAGGTGCATCCTTACTATGATTTCATTGTTCAGCTCTCCCTTTGATTATATGAAATATTCTAGTATCTTTGTGGGAAAAAGGTCTTTCTCACTTTCATCTAAGTTAGTTCACATCAAATGTTTGGAAATTATAGTAAAAAGAGGCTGTTCAATATAGTTACTAGACTGTAGAGTAAGGCCTGAAGAAAAAGGGAGAAAAATGCTTCTCTTGTATGATGAGCTAATGTTCCCACTAACCAACTCTTGGGGGCACAGAGACTGAGAACCAGGCATGGAGGGCATGGTTAGTTTAGATAACATCCAGGACACCTGGACCATACTCTGCAGTTAGATCACTGGCAACCTTAAAAAAATATTATGCCGGGTGCTGGTGGCTCACACCTGTAATCCTAGCTACACAGGAGGCTGAGATCTGAGGATCACGGTTCAAAGCCAGCCCGGGCAGGAAAGTCTGTGAGACTCTTGTCTCCAATAAACCACCAGAAAGCTGGAAGTGGCACTAGTCTTAAGCTGAAGAGCTGAGTGGATAGCCCTATGACCACCACCAACAACTACAACAAAGATATTTTAATAGACCAGTGGAGGCTTGGCATAAGTGTCATAAGGGTGAGGGGAGAATGAGAATTCACAAGCTCTTATGAGGTTATACACTTTCCATACACTTTCTGATAGAGGCAACTCTTACCAGAATTTGATAGTGCTTTCTGAAAATTCAAGCCAGTAATTCAAAGCCACTGACTCTATTACACAGCATTCAGTTCTTAGGGGATTTATTAAGAGCCACATAGAGAGTTACCTTTCCCTAAACACTGTGACTACTGACAAAGGGTTATCTGAATGTCAGAAAACCACAACACAAACCTGGCAGTTCTTTAGAAAGCTTTCTCTCTTCCCCATCCTCCCTCCCTCTCTACCACCATTTATTAGGTTATGTTAGCAAAGCACTAGAAGGAAGGGTACTCCATATTCAAATACTGCGATGAATATTTGTGTCTTACTTTGTAGTTATTTGCTAATAGGTGTTTCTTTTGCTAATTGATATTCCTTGCTTACTATTATTGAATTATAAAGTAATTAGAAAGCCATATAATGATGAGTTTGGGATTGGTGATGATTGTAAAGGTAGCTCTAGAATCACTATGATTAATTTAGGCAAGATTAAATTCAACAATAAAACCACAGTTTAGAGCTAGTGTAGATCTCACCACTTCACTCAAGCCTCCTGATCGTGCTTAATATTGATGGACCAACCTTTCCAGTTAAATCCTCAAGAATCTGTTTCTTGGTACCACTGTGAAATGGACATATATTACTTTACCCTAAATATCTATGTGTAAACTTACCTTAATTTGAAATTTGAAGGACGAAGTTTCTGTTAGTCAAATCTCTTCCCTCTTTGAGGGAAAAGAGAGTGGGGGAGATGTGGAAACCTCCTCAACCCTTCTTCCTGCTCAATTCCCCCACCCCCACACTGCTGGAGCCTCTTCTCCACAGAATCAATCCAGGGTCCAGCAGCCTTAAGGAGGGTGGATTCCAAGGAATCTGAGAGGAAGGTGTATGAGGGAAATGTGTTCTTAGCATCCCAGGAACAGGTACATCCTTTTACTAGAAGGATTACACTTCAGTTCAATTATGGTTTATGCACTGTTCTAAGAATCTAAGTATTTTTTTCCTATGACAAAAAATTCCCAAACATCTCATTTATAAATACATTTTTGGAACAGTTTCCTAAAATATTGTGATTAACTACTCTTGGAAACAGAGTTAAATTCATTTCCAAGCGATGACAATATTTTACTTTACATATACACTTCAGAATATTTAAAATAAAAATTCTGAACATAATCCATTAAACTGATCTGAGAGAAATAAGTTCTCTTAAGGAGTTTATTAATAGAAATCATTGGAAAACATGATTTTGTTTATATAGTATATACATATTATGTGCATACATATGTATTAAAGTTTCAATCCGCCCAAACAAGTTCTTTTTATATGGATAAAACAAAGAAATGCCAAAGACAAAGCATGAATCAAAGAAGAAGAGTTATAACTACCATTTTCATCAAAGTACACCTCAGCTTTTGACAATGAAAACATTAGGTATTTCTTGAAGATTATTCAAAAGATAATGCTCAAAGTTGGGTTTTGTAAATCATTTATTATGATTGAAAGGAAAGAAAATGATAGGAGACAAATATTACAATTAAACATCAAACATTCTCTTGAATAACATACTTTGAATTTTTAAATGGCTATAGAAAAGAAAAAATTTTCACATCATCAGTTACAGAAAATTGATTTCTTTCCATCAAAATATTTTATTTTAGTTCTATCAAAACTAAATGCCAAGTCTAAGGTACTACGGTTTGAGCTATGCCTTCACAACTTAGTTTTTAAGTTAGAGGGTTTGAAAAGGTAGAAGGGCTCACTAGATGGTGAATAAACTATTGCCTGAGAATAAAATTTTTGCACATAGTTAACAGCCTTGCAAAACCTCTGGCTCACCAGCTAATGACTATGAAATGGATTTCTGGGAGCTCTGGAATGCTACTTAATCACAGACAAAAGACTCCTCTGAGAGTTCTTCCACATTTGTTATCAGTTTATTCTCAAAAACATATTTGTTTACTCAGTGAGTGATTATGGCTCAAAAACTATAGGGGAAATAGTTAAGGGAAATTCATTTCTATATGTTTTAAGAAATCTTATCATTGCCAATAATACACACTATTACTTGGGCAATGTATTTCTTGGCTCTGTTCCTTCAAGGCTGACTTTTAAAAGGCTTAGTGAACAATACATTGCCACAGTGAGAAAACAGCAAAGAAAATATGAAGGTTCTGACAAGAAATTAACTCAGCAGCTAGTATTTTTCTCAAACGGGTTAAAAAATAAGACACACAAAGTGACACATACATATCCAAAAATAAATACAAATATTCTACACATAAATTAAGGATATTCATGATTACTATTAAACATTTCTATAATTTTCATGACTTATCACAGTTTCATTTTTATCATGAATACTAATTACACCATTTTGACACACACTGGAATATACTGACCACTTATGTAACCTAGTAAAGTAATATATTTCAATTTAATTTCAATTAAAATTTTACTTCCTTTGTGGGAAGAATATTTGCTTCTTTTCCTTTTCTCTTCCTTTCTTCCTTTTTCTTTGCACTACCTTAGATTTAATCTTAGGCCCCACCCTTCAAGTTTGCTTGCTGAAGCTCCCCCTTCTGAGCCTTGCTTTTTGCCAATTATTTTGGAGAAGGGGTCATGGAATTTTTATGGTGGACTGACTTTGATCCGCTGAACCTAAGCCTCCAAAGTTGCTATGGTGACAGGTATGAGAACCACAAGTACCTGACATAAACTTTTCTTTAAAAAAATATTTTTGCTGGAGCTGGAGATCAGTGGTAGAGTACCAACCTAGTATATATGAGGCCTTGCATTTGCTAACCAGATTTTTTTTTTTTAATGACATGCCTGTAATGCTTGTACTCAGGAGGCAAAGACAGGAGGATGTTTGAAGCCAGCCTGGGGTACATAGTGAGTTCAATGCTAGTCTAGGATACAAAGTAAAACCCTGTCTCAAACAAACAAACAAACAAACAACCCCAAAAATGAGAGATTTATCTTCACACTATAATCAGGAAGGACTAGATGAAAGGCAAAGCTTTATGAACTGACTTTTCTTTGAAAGATACTATTATTTAACAAAGCAAGGTCAAGTTGACTTAGCACCAAATGCAATGAAATGTGGGGCAATATTCCAGTGAACTTGTGCTATGCTGACAACAGCCAAGGAATGCCAGGAATCACTGTATCTCTTGAAACTTTATACTCCAGTGGTCAGCAAAGGTGACAAGGTATACTTTCTAATACCCACAGGGTCTGGTTACCTAACTCCTGTTTTGTCATGTAATGATTCATAGAGCCTGAAACTTTATTGCACTTGCTCTAAAAATTTATTCTTATAACAGTACCTCACTCCTTTCCAAACACTATCTCATTAATTAAAAGCACATTCAATCATAGAACCTTCATATTTGGCAGTGAGCTTTTCCAAATAATCAACTGGTTTACCAAATGAGAGTTTGGAACTTTCCTTTTAAACACTGCCAGAATGTTTAAATGTAAAAAAAATAAAATAAAAAAATAAGCATGATGTCTCTCTTGGCCAGGAAGAAAAGACGAGGGGGGAAGAATTCTAACCTATTTAATCTAAGAAAATAAGCTTGGCCAATATCTTATTTATGTTTTATTGTTATTCAAATATTTAAGAGTCAGCTAAGAGAGTGTAACCTCATATTGCTAAAGTCTGGAATGCTGGTATGTGGGTGCCACAATGGCAGGATGTAAACAAACTTGGTTGCAGCCTCTGTTCAGAGGACAAGCAGTGAACAGTCAGATTCTGGAGCCGTTAGAGTAAGGTGGGGCCTTTGGTGGGTCTGCTGCCTGACAGCAGGGGCTGGCCTCCTACTGTCCCAGTTTGGGGTCCGGGCGCCCTGGTGGAGAGCAGTGCTGGAGCAGAGAGGTGGTGAATCGCTGCCTTTTGCTGATAAGCATTGTTGATGTAACTGGCGATCAAAAGAGTGATTTCAAGAATCTAAAATAAGAAAACCAGAGAAGTTTACCAATTTTAAGAGTGAAGGCTTGGCCTTGAGTCATCTCATTTGCAACTACCCAGTCACCAAGATTCCCTTTCTCTTCAAATCCAACAATGAAGTCCTTACTCTTCAGTACTATCAAGGTATCCGTACATTTTTCTATTACCTCAACTGGCAGAAAAAGTAAATCTCAAAATTTAGCCGGGGCTGGTGGGTCACACATTTAATCCTATCTACTCAAGAGGCTGAGGCTGAGATCTGAGGATGGCAGTTTGAAGCCTGATCTGGCAGTAAAGTCCCTGAGTCTCTCATCTCCAATTAATTTCCAAAAAGTTGATCCTGGAACTGTGGTTCAAGTGCTAGAGCACCAGCCTTGACAAAAGAGCTTAGGGACAGCACCCACACCCGGAGTTTAAGCCCTAGTACCAGCAGCAAGACAAACAAACAAGACCATCCAAATTAGTGACACTGTGAGGAAAAGTGCTGGTCAGTATACAACTCTTGTCAGTTGTCTTAAATTCACATTTGTAAATATTTGAGTTAGGAAAGTCAGTGTATCATATCAACTCTTTATTAAAACTAACAAAACAAAACAAAACTGAGTATGCCATAATCTTTTAAACTCCATGGCTAACTGATTTTACTTAAGTATAGACTTAATTAGGGAATACATCTGCCATTTTTTTTAAAGTTCCAGATGCTAAAGACATTGTCTTTTCAGGGAACAATTTTAAGATAAAGTTTTAGGAAAATAATTTTTTATCCTTCATTAAAATCAGAATTACATGTTAGAAAATAGCTCTTATACTACTTAGAAATGTTAAAAAAAAACTACATGATTTGTTGAAAACAGCAAACAAACAAGTATGTTTTAATTATAAAACTCCTCTTTTGTGTGTTAGGAAAATGTCACTTAAACATATTTTTAATAGAAAACTGATTTATAAATCAATTTATAGAAGATAACAAAATCAATATTCAATGCCACCTTTAACTATTAATAACTAAAATACTTTGGCATCTAAGTTTCTGCTCCTTGCCTTTTGTAGCAAACACTGCATTCTAATAAGGCTGTTGTCTTTTTTTTTTTTAACAGGGACAGAAATTAGCATCTTCCTTAATGTAATCTCTTTCTATTGCAAGTCTAAGTGGAAAAAAAAATCATTTTCCAGAAATTCTCTGGAGTTTTGGGTGGAATACAGCAAAATCAATGTTTTGAGCAGGAAGCCAACTTCTCTTCTTTCTTCTGCAGGCATATCTACATAATACATTTCACATTCCTACATGTCTGCCCAAGCAATTTTCTTCTCTTTTTTTCCAAACCATCTCAATATGAGGAAAAATTTGCAAGCTAATCTCTCTCTCCCTTCTCTTTCTCTTTCTCTCATTGTCTTTAAAATATGGCTCCACAAAGCTTTCTAGTTGACTCTATCTTGTTTATCACCATGTGTGTTGAGTTCCTTGGTAGACACTGCCAATTCCTTCTCTTCATGTGTTACCTGAGAGCAGCTGTCAAACAGAATCCAAACTCTTCATGTGATGTCCAATTAAACACACCTTCCAAGCTATCATTCATTTTTCTTTCTCCACTTGGGCTTTTCTGTCTCACTTTTTCTTTGCTTCCTCATTTTCAAAAGCATGGCTTCACTCAGCAATGTACAATCCATGTCTACAATCTCTCCTGCTAATCTTGACTGACTGCCATCCTTCATATTTATTACAGTAAAATCCATTTTATACCGAGAAAGATCCACCACAGGGCCTACACTACACTGGATATTTTCAATGGACACATCTGGGTTGCCTTGCAGAGCATTCTTTTGAGCAATTCCATAGGGATTTAAATGAAGAACTGAGGCAATTTCACATCTGCACGGACTGATCTGGTTTCCATTTTATTGACTCAGGAGAACCAGAGCCCTTCATGTCATCAAAACAGATTCTCTTGGCTCCAAACTTTCATATGGACATAATGGGATTTTGAAGATGGAATTTTCTTCTTTTATTTCTAATAGTGTTTTATGGTTTGGATAGGATTAACTCACAGACTGCAAGATGTACTCTTGCAAATAGAGCTCTTCTGGGGAATCTCTGGTTAATATGCAGTTCTCACTCAAGGGCTTATGGCTGGAGGAAGAGCCCTTTGAAATGGGCTTCTAAGTCTCCTAAATAATCACTTGCTTGATTTTTTTTTGACATCTCACTTCTTTGGCTTTTCTTTCCTTTTTTTTTTTTTTGGGGTCTAGTCGTGGGGCCTGAACTCTGGGCCTGGGCGCTGTCCCTCAGCTCTTCAGCTCAAGGCTAGCGCTCTACCACTTCAGCTACAGCGCCACTTCCGGCTTTTTTCTTTTTGCATATGTGGGGCTGAGGAATCGAACCCAGGGCCTCATGCATGCAAGGCAAGCGCTCTACCACTGAGCCACCTTCCCAGCCCATTTTTTTTTTTTTGGGTCCGGTCATGGGGCCTGAACTCTGGGCCTGAGCGCTGTCCCTCAGCTCTTCAGCTCAAGCTCAAAGATAGTGCTCTACCACTTGAGCCACAGTGCCACTTCTGGCTTTTTTCTTTTTGCTTATGTGGTGCTGAGGAATCAAACCCAGGGCCTCAAGCATGTCCTTCCTTCCTTCCTTCCTTCCTTCCTTCCTCCCCTTCTTTGTTTTTTTTTTTTTTTTTTTTTGAGATAGGGTCTATGCCACCCAGACTGAGCTTGAACTTGTACTCTCCTACTTCAGTCTTCAAAATGCTAAGAAATGACTATATGTTTTGAATCTTTCTTTTTTTTAAAATTGTGAAAATACCATATAGAGGGGTTACATTATATGCACTTGGCTATCTACTTTATAAACTTCCTTCATGTAATTCACAAGCAAAAAGAAGTAGGTAGTATTATATCATTTTTAGTGTCAGTACTGAGGTCTGACCTCAGGGCCTGGTGCTTACTTGGTTCACTTGCTCAGTTAATCCTCTACTACTTGAGACATATGCTGCTTTTGCTGGTTCTTTTGGAGATGGAGTCTCATGAACTTTCCTGCTTGGCTGGCCTCCAACATAACTCTCCAGATCTCAGCCTCTTGAGTAGTTAGGATTACAGACATAAGCCACCATACTTGGTATATACCATTTTATTAGACAAGAAAGACTAAGACTTAAAGTAAGCCAGGATTTTGACCTCTAGTTATTTAATATTAAGAAACATCTCAATGAAATATCCCTCTGTATAACAAGTACAAGCCAGCAAATTGTTTAAAGTGACATCTGTTTTCTTACCTGGAACAGTCTTTGCTCAATCACTGCCTTAGTATGAACAAAAAATAATGTAAAGAAGTTGGCAAAAGGATTCCACTCACCTTGGGTTTTGCCATGGCGAACAGTAATTTCTCCGTTGGCTTGTCTTTTGAATTTGTATTAATGACTATCATAAAATCATCTTGATAACCTCCAAAGGTCATCAGACTTTTGTATAAATAGCTGACTATTAATCTCTTCAAAGAAAGGAAAAATAAATGTTATATACTATTTACATTCAAAGAAAAATGAGAAATGATAAATATATTTCCATTAATCCCCAGCACCACAAGAAAACAAGAATCTCTGTTGAAAAGCTGATATTGACGGGCACTGGTGGCTCATGCCTGTAATCCTAGCTACTCAGGATGCTGAGATCTGAAGCTCACGGTTCACAGCCAGGAAAGTCCGTGAGACTCTTATCTCCAATAAACCACTAGAAAAATCAGAAGTGGCTCTAGCAGTAAAGTGCTTGCCTTGAGCTGAAGAGCGCAAGGACAGCACCCAAGCCCAGAGTTCAAGCCCCACAACTGATCAAAAAAAAAAAGCTGACATTAATTATGGGCAAGATGTAAAAAAATTTTTTCTAACATCAAATATATTATCATCTAAAACTGATAGTAAGGGTACTAATGTTCTATAGGCATCATCTATCTACCTTTATGATTAAAATATTTGGGAAAAACTCCAATAGAAAAAAATGCTAATATATTTTCATATGGTCTTTCAGCTATCTCTCTATGTTAGGTTGAGTTATATGAAACTGATTCTTTTTATGGTCTAAAAATAGTCAAACAGTATATTGGCAAGCTTAAAAGGTTCACCCTTTTAGATGGATTATATATATAATACACAATAATAATAAACAGTATACATAATACAATTTCTTTGTATAAATACATATAAATTATGTGTGTAAATACATATAAATTATGTTTGTTTTTTTTAAACTGTATTTTTTTTTTGTCTTTTCTTTTTTGGTACTGGGGATCGAACCCAGGGCATTGCACTTGCTAGGCAAGCGCTTTGCCACTGAGCTACGTCCCAGCCCATAAATTATGTATACTGTTTAACACTGGGCTTTATTTTAAGCTGACAACTTATCATCCACATCTTATGATAACAACTGTAGTTGTGCAACATCATTTTCAATGGCGGTAGGCAATCCTTTATTTAATCAATCTTCTATACCAGGATATGTGAATCATTTTAGTATTACTAAGTTAATTACTATTTTTGGGCGAACTTCATAATGCAAATACCAACAATTTTTTTGTTATAAAACAAGCAAGAATTGCTGGCTTTAAAAAGTGAGGACAATTTGGAGGAATTTTCCCCAATTCTCTTCTAAAGAGCTTATGCCCATTAACATTCTCAGCACAATAGTCACTCCAGCACCATATATTACATTTTTCTTAAATCTCTACACAGTAATTTGTGAAAAGTAGACTCTTACTGTTTGAAGCTGCATTTATTTAATTACTAGTGAAATTAATATGCAAAAATTACCGAATATTTGAATTTCATAAATGGCTTTAGACCATTTATCTATTAGTATGTTCATAACTTTTTCTTTCTTTTTCAGGGGAGATAGTTGGGGATCCAACCTAGGACATTGCACATGCTCTACACTGAGCAACACTCTCAGCCCCATGATTTTCTTAATGTTTTATAAGACGTATGTTTAGCCAGGTGCCAGTGGCTCATGTCTGTAATCCTAGCTACTCAGGTGGCTGAAACCTGAGGATCAAAGTTCACAGCCAATCCAGACAGGAAAGTCCATGAGAATCTTATCTCCAATTAACCATCAAAAAGTCAGAAGTAAAGCTGTGGCTCGAGTGGTAGAGCTTAGCCTTGAGCACAAAAGCTAAGGACAGCACCAGGCCTGGGGTTCAAGCCCCAGGATGGGCATGAATGCATACACACACACACACACACACACACACACACACACACACACACACAAACACGCATACAATACATGTTTATATTAAAATATCTATTCTTTGTCATATATGTAACTAATATTTTTGCCACTAAGTTTCTAAAACAACTTAAACTATATAATTCAAAGACACACAGCCTGAAAACATACTAATAGCTTGCAAGCTTGAGAAGACCATTCCAGCTCTGAATCCTAAGAGTTATAGCCCTAAGACTCTATTTCCTGTCTCCAAGATCTACTGGGATCTAAGGAACTTCTTTACTTAACTGAGGAACTTGATACTGGTGTGCAATTGTTTGTTGACTTTAAGTCAGTGCTTTTATTATGTCTTCAAGTGGTCCCTGCAAAAACTAAACTGTACTCTGAGAACATAATAAACTTCTACAAAAGAATTTAAGAATTCACAAGGGGAAACTGACTATAATACTAATGGGATATAGTGGTTTCCAAAATTCTTTAGTGACCTCTTACTATTGCCAGAAGTAAAGAGAGCCTAATACATTTTTGAAAGTAAGAATTCTAGGAAGTAGAGGTCTAGCTCAAGTGGTAGAATACCAGCCTAGAGTAAAAAAGCTGAGGGTCAGCACCCAGACCCTGAATTCAAGCTTCAATACCAGCATAAAACAACAACAAAAAAGAATTCTACTCACCAGATTTTAAAAAGTAAAAGTTTATAAAATTACCTGACACATGAAATGATGCTAATTTCAGGTAAATAATGAACATAAAAAAGAATAGTTTTTAAATTAATTTCAATTTTAATCATGTGAAAAGCTCGAAGTTTTTGTATATATTTCGTATATGAACTGGTAAGTTATATTGTGGTAAGTTATAGAAATTATGATATAGAAACCAAGGTAAAACAATGGAACAACTTAAAATGTTGGTAATTCAAATTTGTACTTTTATGATAAGTAAGTTTTTATTTTACACAGGAAACAATTGTCCTAACATGTTAAAAAAAAATCTCAGGCTGGGAAGGTGGCTCAGTGGTAGAGTGCTTGCCTTGCATGCATGAGACCCTGGGTTCGATTCATCAGCACCACATAAGCAGAAAAAGCCAGAAGTGGCACTGTGGCTCAAGTGGTAGAATGCTAGCCTTGAACTGAGTTGCTGAGGGACAGCGCCCAGGCCCAGAGTTCAGGCCCCATGACTGGCCAAAAAAAAAAAAAAATCTCATCAATACAACTGGCTGTAATTTAGTCACTGGATATTAATATTTCCTCATATGCAATAGATCTCTCTGTCTCTGTGTGTATACGTGTTATTTGTACACACACATATATACTTATATATACACATATGTAGTTGGTATATTAGTTTGAACTCAGTGCCTTATGTTTGATAGGTAGATGTTCTACTGTTGAGCCATGCCTTGAACATTTTCTTGTGCTGAATTTTGTTTTGTTTTTTGGCAGTGCTGGTGTTTGAATTCAAGGCTTTACATGTGCTTGGCTTTTTGCTTAGTTGGTGCTCTACCACTTCTGCATCTTGCCCTGCTTATTTTGGAGACAGAAATCCCATAGATTTTTCTGCTTGGGCTGGCTTTGAACATCAGTTTTCTGGATCTCAGCCTTCTGAGTTGATAGGAGTATAGGCATGAGTCGCTGGTGCCTCGCTTACACTGGTTATGTTTGAGAGGATCTCCTGCTCTGGTTTCCTTTGTAGTTAGGATAACTGACCTGTGCTATAGTATCCAGCTCACAGTTAAGAAGGGCTCTCATGAACTTTCTGATGAGGCTGGTCTTGAATCATGATCTTCTCAGTCTTGGCCTCCAAAGTAGCTAGGCGACTACTCTTATTTAAAAGATAATATTGTACTCATGGTTGTATTTGTAAAATGAGTCCTCACTAGATAGTATTAGAGTGTTTTCTGATTATGAGAAAAATCAGGGTAAAGTATCATTCCTTTCTGTTTGCAATATACTACCAATGGAAATAGTGGTTTTCACATAGAACTTTAGGGTTTTATCTTACCATGGAGTTATGTTCTAAAATGCTTAAACCATTCTCGTTTATAGCCAGCCATATGACAGTATTTCCAAGGGTTGATGATGAAGTTAAGGGCTGTTGAAGAAGAAAAATCATTGTATTAAAAATGCTAAACAAAATGACAGAAATATTCCTCAGTCTAAATGCCATCTTATATTTGCCATTATATGACAACAACAAAAAGTATTATTCAAAACTTTCTTGGGGAGGAGGCAGTGTGGCACACTGAAAAGAGCAGTTGGTTTGATGTGGGGAGACCTGACTTTGAGATCCTGCTCTGCCATTTAATAGTAATGCTTGCATTGGGACAAGCTACCCACTCCCTCTGAGTTTTGACTTTTTATCTTTAACATAGAAACAATAACTTTTATATCTTATTTTTACTCCATGAGGTCAAGAAGATTTTAGAGTTTCCAGAATGGCTATCAACCTAAACTTAAGTCTTACAAAAATTAGGATGGATCATTTGTTATTTGTACATAGTAAAATTTAACACACACACATACACACACACACACACACACACACACACACACACACACACACACATCACGCCCAAGTCTTTTCCCTATCTACTAAGGTCTGTTTACAACAGTAAGAAAGCATTAAAAAGGAAGCCACTCAACTCAAGTGTCCATGGATAGACAAAGGAACAAATAAAATCTTTGTGTATATGATATTACTCAATCTTAAAGAAGGGCATTTTGACACAACTATATTATGAATGAACTCTGAAGACATCTTAAGTAAAACACGTGACAAAATATTTTTATAGAGTAGGTTAATTTGTAGAGACTAGCAGTGAGAGGGTGAGGAAAGGAAAACCTGGAGAGTTCATGTTTAATACGTATAAAGTTGGGAAGACTGACAAAAAAAGTTCTGATAATGGATGGTAGTGGTGATTGGAAAAGATTTTGAATGCACTAAATTCCACAAAGCCATCTACTGAAAAAGGGGGTAAAGTGGTAGATTTTATGTGCATTTTACCACAAACACTGAGAAGGGAGAACCCTAAAAAAAGAAGTACCTCCTCGTTTTGAAGAAAAAAAACTGCTAGTTATTCAACATGAAGCACAACATCATCATGTAAATAATATTTTCTGCCAGCAAACATAGCACATATTGTCAGGAAGATGTTTAATAGCCTTTCTGATTCTAACTTGATAAGTAAAAGATTCACACTTCAAAGCTCATAAGTTGTTTAGGCTGGTCTCTCAAACTCCTGGATTCAGCTTCCTGAGTAACTGGGGCAAGAGGCATATGCTAATGTTCCTGGCTTACTCCTTATATTTAGAAATATGCACATATATATATATATATATTCACACATATACATTCACCTTTTTGAAAATATATTAGTTTTCTAGATGTTTAAAAATATTAACAGAATTATTATCTTTCTGTTACCTTAGTACATAGCTTCCAAAAACTAGCAAAAATAGTTTCTTAACAATTATAGTTACTCCTAGACTAACAGTTAGAAGATACCCTTAGATTTTATGTGTGTTTATTTCCATTTCCTGTTCTTTGAAAATTAATTAATTAATTAATTAATTTTTTTTTTTTTTTTGGGTCCGGTTGTGGGCCTGAACTCTGGGCCTGGGCGCTGTCCCTCAGCTCTTCAGCTCATGGCTAGCGCTCTACCACTTGAGCCACAGCGCCACTTCCGGCTTTTTTCTTTTTTTGCTTATGTGGTGCTGAGGAATTGAACCCAGGGCCTCATGCATCCCAAGGCAAGCGCTCTACCACTGAGCCATCTTCCCAGCCCCAAAATTTATTTATTTTTAATGCTGATACTAGGGCTTGAACTCAGGGTCTAGAGGCCATCCCTTAGCTTTCTTTACTCAAGGTTAATGCTTTATTACTTGAGCCACACCACCACTTCTGGCTTTTTGCTACCTAAGTGGAGATAAGAATCTCACAGACTTTTCTGTCTTGGCTGGCTTCTAATGGTAAGCCTAAGATCTCAGCCTTCTGAATAGCTAGGATTACTGGTGTGAATCACCAGCGCCCAGGAAATATATCTTAGATTCTGACTTTGTTATATCTAGTCAACAAATACTTAATAAATGAAAATTATATGCAAAGAATTATACTGGACACAAGAAGGACTTTAAGATCCTTCTCAAGGAGTGTGCGAGTCATTAATGAGGGTAAAAAATACACAGAAAAATATGACACAAGGTAGGATGTATCTTAGGATCTGAGATAGTCTAAAGTGATATAGTTCACTAGAAAGAAGAGGAATTAGTAGGCATAATTTGGTTCTGGTGGTATTGCTCAAAGTAGAATATGCTTAGATATAGTCTACCTTGGAGAGTTTGGTAGTTGAAAAATCCAGGGAGTTTGGTTGAACTCATCCAATATCATGTGTTTATGGGTTTTTAAAGCTGAGCTAGAGGCTTGCCAACCAGGATTTGGTAAATACTAACAAACTTGTTAAATAAGTCAATGAATGAAAGAGTAAGTAAGTAAACAGATGAATGAATGGAGAAAAAGGAGACTAGCTTCTGTTTACAATCATTTGATTAGCCTAACAAGTCTGGGAAATGATTCAGAGTGGATGGACAGCAGAGAAAATAGGGAGAAACTTTTCTCCCCTTTTCCTAGAATCCCTTGGTTGTTTACTTGAAATTGCTGGGAATTGCCTCAATTTTGATAAAGCTGAATGTACTACACATCAAGGGTGAATCTGGTTGGCCATGTACACAAGGTTATTGTTTTTCTAATAGGTCTCCCCTCCCATTCTTTCTTACTTTAGCAAAAAACAACTTGGCACCAAAGAATGGCCACTTCCTGGCGACTGTCAAATAAATTCGCACACAGTCGGCAGCACTGTGTCCCCGGAGGGCCATCCATCTGGTTGATAGTCTCTGGTAAAGTTGCCTAAAAAAAAAAAAAGAGCAAAACCAAAACTTCTGAAACAATAACATAAGCAGTGTATCATCCTCCCAAGATAAACTCTCTTTGAGCCAATACGAGGATCAACTATGCCTCTCTATCTCATCCCTGCCCACTACTTGTTCTTTCTAGAGATTCCCGCTACCCCCATCAAATTCTCCTATTATTTGACTTCTCAACCAGACTTGAGTATGCCCAGAAAGAATTTTTTTTGGGGGGGTGGAGTTGGTTTGAACTCAGGTCCATGCTCTTGCTAGGCAGATGCTCTTAACATCGAGTCATGCCTCCAGCCCTAATTTTTTCTATTTTTGAGACAGGGTCTTGCTTCCTGCTCAGGAGTACACCTAGGCTATATCTGCCTATACTAGAATCCTGTTGTGGTTAGGTTAACAGGCACCCAACACATCAGCCCAATCTGGGATCTAACTGCAATCCTCCCAATCTCAGCTTCCCAAGTAGCTGGAATTACAGGTATGAGCTATTGATGCCTGGCTCCAGCAGGTAAAATTTAAACCTCTGAAGAGCTAACACAAAACCTTAGTATGAATTAATTTGTTAAGTAATTTCTTTGGGGGAATATTTTCTTTTTCTTTTTTCCTTTTTTTTCCTTTTTTGCTTATGTGGTGCTGAGGAATCGAACCCAGGGCCTCATGCATGCAAGGCAAGCACTCTACCACTGAGCCACCTTTCCAGCCCCTGGGGGAATATTTTCATTCTGAAAGAAAAGTACAAGAACTAGAGCCCAATTGGTAGAATTTTAGGAAATATTATTTCTGGCTTGAAGAAATGTAAGCTGCAGTGACAAACTTCTCAATCAGAGAAGCAACTGCTTATAATACATAGAAGACTGACCTTCAATGATTCACTTTTGGAAAATTAGCAGTCAGTACATTGAATTTGCCTCTATTTTTAAATTTTACAATGGAATTACTTTATATACTCTAAAACAGAAACTCTCCGTTAGTTTAGTTTTAATCACAAACTTGATATTAAAATGTCTTTGATGACAGTTGCATAATTTTGTAAATATACTAAATGTCATTGGTTCTTACTCTGTGACATGAATTATATATCAATAAATCTATTTGTTTTGTTAAAATATTTTGGGCTGGAGGTGTGGCTTACATGGGAGAGCATCTGCCTAGGAAGCACAAGGTCCTTAGTTCAAACCTCAGTGCTTGAGTTTTTAAAAAGATAAAAAGAGTCTTGTGCAAAAAGGCAGTTTATCTGATGCTCTGCTGTGCCTGGTGGAGGCACAGAAGCCAAAAGAGGGCAGCGAATCCTGCCAGGGTTTAAGTAGGGAAGGAGTGAAGCTGCGGCCAGGTAAGGGAAGGTGTGGCCACACTGGATGTGCATGTGACCTCAGGGCTTGGGGCCCTCCCCTGTCCCCATGGGAGGTGTGAGGCGGAGGTGGGAAGGGGATGGTGGCTCAAGAAGTGACCTCTGAGGAGGGAGAGGTTACTGCGTTCAGGTGTGCCAGTTACCTAGGTAATGCAGGAACTGGGCAGAGACTTATGCAGGAGGTGGGGAGACCCAGGGCCTGTGTGGCCCAAGGCAGACCTTACAGTTATCCTGTTAGATAAGGTTTGGGGGGTAAATACTTCATAAACTTAAATATCTCCTATGCAATGTTTCTTCTTTAAGATTCATCTGTATCCCAAATGAAAAGTGGATCTGAGTCAAGGTCAGGTCTTCAGCTAACAACTTTTTTTTTTTTTTTTGTCATTCTACAATGTGTCTCTCTTTCAAAAAACCATGTGGTTATAATAAATAGATTTGAAAGTTTCCCAGTATATCTGTAGCTTTTGAGGGTCACCAGCATTAAAAAATCTTGACAAAATTGTCACCATTTTTTATTAATGAAGAATCAGTGTGGCCCCACCCTTAAACAATTCAAAACAGTTCCTTACCTCGACTGCTCTTCAGAGCAGCCATCTCTATACCTTTTAGGATAAAATTTCTCTAGGACTTGTTTGAGAGTCTGATTTGATTTGCACTGATTGGTAACAGGCCCTGCTGGAGTTGAGAAAGGTCTTTCAAAATCTCCAATCTCCACCTGATTGGAATCAAGAATGGAAAAAAAAAAATCTTTAAACACTTCAGTGTCATTTCTACATCAACATTTCTAGGTTACTATTAACATTTGGAAATATTTGCTATAGGGAACTGCTGTTATTGCTGATAACATAGGATAAATTTTCATTTAAAGATACTATTTTAATTGCTAGTGTTAAGGTTAAAATGGAAGTTAAAAACAGAATGATGTGAATAAAGTTATTATAAGAACTCTTGAAATAGTATTACATGGATCTACAACATGCACTAAGAGTATGAATAATATTCTCCTTAATCTCTTCCCAGATTTTTTTCCTCCATAAATGTTGCTGTGTTTGGTCTCTATAATCAGTCACTAATGAATAGAGTCCTTCCTTCCCTCCTCTATCTCTTAAAAAATGTCCAGCTCTCATTTCTACTTACAGATCATACAGAGGCCACCTCTCCTAATCCATCCATCCTCCTACCCATCAGTCCCTCTCTCTTCCAACTCATCTGCCTAACCTTTTATACAACCCTGTGCCCAGTTTATATTGTAAGTCAGGCACTATGCTAAATGATGTGAGAGAGGAAAAATGAGAGCAAGACCTCACCTTCAATGTCTAATCAAAGAGATTGGTGTATAAGCAAACTCTTGTGATAAACTGTACTAAGTGCCATGTAGAGGGTACCAAAAGGAGTTCAAGGAGGAAGATGGGATGAGGATATTCAGGAGAATGTTCTGCTAAGTATTCACCTATATTGCTTCCTAGCAGAAAGTCAAATGGTCTTGTAGGAAGCCCCAGATCTTCAACTGAAAGGGCCTCTTGCTCATCTTAGAAGATTCTTTTCTTCTTTAGCTCATCAGTTACTGTCTACAATCTTCAGCTGAGCTTTGCCCTTAAAGCCTATACTTCTAATTTCCTATGTTCTTCGATCTTTTTCATTATTCGACTTGGTTTTGCTGCTCAGTTCCCATTCTCATCTTATTTCTATTCTTCTACCAATCCTTACCTTCCTCCTACCCAAGTATCCTTTTTAACGTCCTCATAAAAATAAAAGCTTTCTACCCAACCTCACCCAAGTGAGCTTGCTCCTAGAGCAAGCAACTGCATTGTCCCCATCTACCATTATAACTACCTGTAGAACCTAGACCAGGCCATTAACCTTGAAGACTATAGCAGGTAGATAATCAGTTACAAAACAGCACATTCAAGGCAACCTGACTCTTAGGGAAGCCTTTAATAATATGTCCAGTGTCAGTGTCTCCCCTCCTTGGTGCCTGATATACAGTATGGGATAGGACAAACATGTAGTAATTGAGAATAGTCAGCTAATTCCCAGCATACCCCACGTGAACATAGATGCCTTACCAGACACTGCCTACAACAATTAGGGACCAGCTCAAAGAATTTCCTTAAGACAAAGAACATCAACAAGGAACTATAGATATTCAAAATATAATAGAAATAACTCTTTAAAAAGCTTGATTTCTTTAGTGTATCTCATTTATCTTCATAAAAACTGCTCTGGGAACAGAAGAGCAGAAGCATTATTCAAATTTCTTATATAGAGAAAATCTATTTTTTAATGTTAGTCATGTACTCAATTTTCTTAATGTGTGGTCCTACCTCTCTGTCCCCTCTTCATATTTACCTAAAAAATTAAAACATATATCCTTGGAGTAGATTGTTAGAGAAAGTTTTCTTGAAAAAAATTACAGGTTAAAGCAAGAAGAGAAACTTAAATGTTAGTAAAAGCCAGAGAATCTCACAGAAAACCTGTATCTAGAGGACCAAACCCTAGAATGACATGTGAGGAAATTATCTCAACCCTCTCACCAAGAAAATATGAGCCCAGTTTATCTTTTCTACAACTTTTTATCACCTAACCAAGCATGGTGGTTCACATCTGTAATTCTAGCACTTAGCAGGTGGTGGCAGGCAGATTGCAAGTCCAATGCCAGCCTGGGCTACAGGTAAGTTCCAGGTCAGCCTGAGCTTCATAGCAAGACTTTGTCTCAAAACAACAATAACAACAAAACCGCAAACAACAATAACAACAAACCCCCAAATAACAAAGAAAGGAAGAGAAAAGGAGGAGAGGAAGAGAGGGAAACAAGGAGGGAAGGTAAGCAATGGTTACTCATGTTTATAATGCTAGCTACTCAGGAGGCAGTGACCTAGAGTATCATTTGAAGACAGAGCAGGCAGAAACATTTGTGAGATTTCATTTCCAATTAGCCAGCATAAAGCTGGACTGGAGGCATGTCTCAAGTAGTAGAGCACCAGCTGTGAGCAAAAAAGATGAGGAAGAGTTTCAGTCCCTAAGTTCAAGTCCTGGTACTAGAGCAAAGGAAAAGAAAAGAGACAACAATTAGTATAGCTATGATGCTTTAAAGTCCATATGATCTTAAAATTATCCTAAAAGCTAATTATCAACTATGTCTTTCTCTGAAAATATTCTCTTAGAAAGAATGGCTTAGTTGTAATGCTATGCTAGACACAAAGAGGGATAGGTATAGGCATGCTCTTCAGGAAGACCACAGTGAGTGGTGCAAAGCAGAAATGTGAACAAGAGATTCTAAACCACTGAAGTCAGGACAACAATACATTTGTATAGATCATAACAGAAATGCTTAGACAATCAAATCCACCAGGACAGGATTAAGGAAGACTTTCTAGAATAACTGACATCTATGAGGAAAATGAAAGGATAAGACCAAGTCAACAGGGGTAAAGATGTTCCAGACACAAGAGACAAGCTTGTAAATTATACAGAGTAAAGTAAGGTCACCAAATGCAAGTCAGGGGATTGTGCATGGCCATACTATTTATACTTTACTGGGCATGAAGTTGAGGGCAGGGGATGTTGAGGGAGTGTTGAGGTTAGAGTAGCAGCTAACATTCAGATCATGAGTGTCCTTGAATGTAAGGGAAGTAATAACATCACTTAGGAGTACTTGGAGAAGGAAGATCTTGAATTCAAGGCCACTTTGGGTTACGTGAGACTCTGTCTCAAATTCTCCTCTTCCCCAGAACAGAATGAATGAGATGTTGTGGAATGGTGTACAATGTAAGAGGCAGCTGGCTGATGTCTAAGTATATTTTGGGGGTGCTATAAGCAACCACAGAGCTGCTTTCAAACTTCATTTTAATTATCCTACGTGGAGACCCTCGTGTGATAGAGGTTGTTGTTAGTTGTCTCTTAGGATCATTCTCTTCTTGAGTTGCAAAATGCCTTAAATTCAGTTGAATCTACTGCTAACACTACATTCCCCAACTGCCTTCTAAGTCGGGCAAGGCTATGTGACTAAATTCTGAACAGACAGGAATACACGGAGATGCTCTGTAAAATAAGCACTGAGAAGTTTTTCCAAAGGCAGAAGGGCATGCACTTTCCCGATCCCAATGCTTGGAGCACTGACAGACACTTGGAGATCTGGGAGACCTCCAGGATCATGCTCCCTCCAAAGCACTCCCCAAGGTGGCAGAAGGGAGAGAAGAACAAAGCCTCCACCCCTGGACCTGTGTATAAGGGTTAGGATGACCCCGCCCCCCACAAGAGAGACAAACATAGTTCTATTGATTAAGTCACTAGAAATTTCATAATTGATACAAGAGGTAAATAAAAGAAAGTGCTTTAGATTTTCCAAAACTCATTCCTATTGGATTATAGAATGACGTTGGCCTGGCACCCTCAGCCCCACAGGCTCAACACTCAAGTTCCTTTATTAAGTGTAAAGCCATGCTTTTAAGGAATTAAGAAACAAGGTTTCCTTGATAGAATATGGTCTCATTCTCTGTCCCTACAATTGTCAGTGGGTTCTGAGTCAAATTGTAATTACAATGTCTGAAAATTTTAAGGTCTTAGTGACAGCAAAATGAATTTAAAGACTTACTAAAGGCATACTGTTTTACAGCACTTAATTGAGTAAAGAAATTAGTATCTTATCATTTCCATTCTTTATTCTGCACAACATGGAAGTTACCTGAGCTAAAAGAGCTGCCATTTCTAATGCCAGATCCTTGCTCAGAGGGAAAAGGCCGTTCATTACTTGATCATTTGTCTGATACGTTAACAGCAACTTTTCTCTATCAGTCTCTCCATGAGCTTGCACTGAGAAATATAGTCTGTTAAAAACAAAAGAAAAAGAAAAATTCTTATAAAATGGCATTTTTTTTTACTATGATAAGGATCAAATCTAGAGCTTGTGCAAGCTTGGCAAGCATTAGCACTAAACTACAACACTAGCCCCCAACCATGTTCTCACAAACGAAGAAAGAAAAAATGACTGTGGACCCAGATGGGTCCTCTATGTGATATGACCTCTGGTTCTGGTCTAAGAAAAAAACTTTAATGAAGTGGAGGAACCTGTCCATTTTTTTAATGCCCTGAAGTACAAAATCGTTACGTGTTACTAAGAAAGGACCTACAACACTGAGTAAAATTGTTTGCCATTTCTTCTAAACAATGCAGGATATAACGTCATTCAACATATAAGCTCAATTTTCTTTCCAGAACAACTCAGATACACTAAACAATGGCAAATGAAGGGTTCTATTCAAAATCAACCCTTTAAGTAAGCAGGGAAAAGGAGTAAGGTTTTATCTGGGCACTGAAAAGATAGTATTAATACATTTAAATATATTTTCATTGCTTAGGCACTTGCTGATATATGGCATTAGGAGCTCAAAAAATAGTTTACTTGCTTTCATTTTTACTTATTGAAACATAGTATGACTTTGTTGGTTGGTTTTAAGATACTATATTGCCCAAATTGCTCTTTGGGCTCAAGCAATCCTCCTACCTCTGTCTCTTGAGTAGCTGGGGCTACAGGCACACACTACTGTGCTTGGTTCATAATAGCATGGCTCTTGTTTGCCTAGAAGTGCATTAATTTAGTGGCTCTATTTATCTCTGCTCTGTTTATTTATATGTGAGCTTCAGATCAGACACAGGTGTTGTGCTCAAAGTGCTATGACAACGAGGCAGGTAAGCAACATTTCTTCCCTCTCCTCTCCTCCCCCTCTCCCCTCTCCAACCCAGCACACAGATTACTGTCATGACAGCACAGTGGCTGGAGGAGATACACCTGGATCCAGCTAGTTGGCTACTCTGTAGATTTCTGGGCACATTCTCTCCACATACTTGAGGAAGAAGACATACTCCATTATTTGGAGTATCTTTGAGAAGTTATCTAGATTAGCAGTTATCTTGGAAAACAAAAACAAAAAACCAAACCACCCAAGCCCCATTTTTTTTTATTTATTTATTTTTTTTGTCGGTCGTGGGACTTGAACTCTGGGCCTGGGCGCTGTCCCTCAGCTCTTCAGCTCAAGGCGAGCGCTCTACCACTTGAGCTACAGTGCCACTTCCCGTTTTCTGGTGGTTTATTGCAGATAGAGTCTCACGGTCTCTCCTGCCCGGGCTGGCTTTGAACCATGATCCTCAGATCTCAGCCTCCTGAGTAGCTAGGATTACAGGTGTGAGCCACCGGCGCCCGGCCCAAGCCTCATTTTTAGATCAATGGCTGCATGAAGATAAACAATGCAGAATTGTTATCTTGTAGGTGAGCTGGACAACAGAAATAGGTAAGAAATTCAAAATGATACCAGCAATGTGATATAAAACAAAGAATGAAGTTTAAGATGAAAGCCTTCTATTTTGGCCATGCTTACATTTTTATATGTACTTATTTTTCCCATTTGAAGGAGGAACTATATTTTGTTGAGTCCTATAATCCAACACAGTCTAGCTGTTCCCACTGGAAGGACTTTCTTTCCAGGCAGACACGCTACCACTGAGCCCCGAGGATTCTCTTGCTTTCCCTTCCTCTCCCCTCCCTTCCCCTCCCCTCCCCTCCCCTTACCTCCCTTTTCCTGCTCTCCCCTCTTCTTGTTTCCCTTTTCTTTCTCTCCCCTCTTCCCCCTCCCCTCCCCTTCCTTTTCAGTAACTAGAATTTGAACTTAGGGTCTTGTACTTGCCAGGCAGGTGCTCTACTGTTTGAACTATACACCCAAATCTGTTTTTCTTTTAGTTATTTTTTTTAGGTAGGGTCTCTTTTTTGTAGGTGAGGGGGCCTGTCCCGGGGGCTGGAACCCAGGGCCTAGGCTCTGTCCCTGAGCTTTTGTGCCCAAGGCTAACACTCTATCATTTGAGCCACAGCTCCATTTCTTCACTTAATTAAGGATAAGAGTCTTACAGACTTTGCTTCCCAGGCTGGATTCAAGTTGAAATCCTCAGATCTCAGCCTCCTTAGTAGTTAGGATTACAGGCATGAACCATCAACACATGGTGTGTCTCTGTTTCCAAACAGCGCCAGTCTCTGACCAGGAATCTCTTACTTATTATGGCTTCCCATGTCACTGGGGTTACAATTGTGTAAAACTATGTCTATCTTATTGATTAGAAGTTTCTTTTCTTTTCTTTTTCCTTTTCCCTCCCTCCCTCCTTTCCTTTCCTTCCTTCTTTCCTTTCTTCTTTCTTTCCTTTCTCTTTCCTTCCTTCCTTTCTTCTTTCTTTTCTTTTTATTTCTCTTTCCTTCCTTCCATTCTTTCCTTCCTTTCTTCCTTCTTTCTTTCTTTCCTCCCCTCTCCCCCCTCTCTCTTTCTTTTTTTTCCTTCCCAGTCTTGGAGCTTGAACTCAGGGCCTTAGTAGTGTCCCTGAGCTTTTTTGCTCAAGACTAGCACTCTACCACTTGAACCACAGCTCTATTTCCAGATTTTTTGGTGATTAACTGGAGAGAAGAGTCTCTCACTTCCTGGGCTGGCTTCACACCACTATCCTAAGATCTCAGCCTTTTGAGTAACTTAGGACTATGGTATGAAAGGCTTGGAAGGTTTTTTAATAAAATTCTGAGTTATAATACAACTAAAGAGAGAGAAAGAAGCAAACATACAAATGACTACATGAAAGAAAAGGGTATTTTTCTATCATTTTCAGCAGACCCACAAGACTGATTCCAAAGAAGGGAAAAGAATCCCAGATACATTCAGTTCAGGAATGCAATGTGTAAAAACTAGGAGCTCAGGCCTCTAAGTAGCTCAGGCTCTAACAGCTAGAAGGAGATGGCCTAACAGGGCTTTGGAGTGAACAGGAAAAAGAACAAAACTACCACACAAATGACCAAGTTTGAAAATCAGCTCTGGAACCTAACTAGAAGAATGCGATCTCCATCTCTCAGAGCTGCTCTGGAATCCTGAGGCAGAGAAGGAAGACCTGGATTACAGTGGCTGGATTTGGGCTGAGTGGTGGGTGTGGTAGTGGTAGGGTGGTAGTGGTGGATCCCGAAGGCCTGCCTCCTCACTACATGCCCAGGAAGCTCCAGGCTGTGGGGTGGAACCCACCTCTACATATCGACATGGATCCCGAGCTCACAAGGCTTACCTGGGTTCTTCTTTTTATTCCCCTCAAGTGGCTCCATATTCATTCCTCATAACTTTTTTTTTGTCAGTCATGGGGCTTGAACTCTGGTCCCAGGCACTTTCACTGAGCTTTTTTTCTCACCACTTTGAGCTAGAGCACCACTTCTGGTTTTCTGGTGGTTAACTGGAGATACGAGTCTCACGGACTTTCCTGCCTAGGCTGGCTTTGAACTTTCAATCCTCAGATCTCAGCCTCCTGAGTAGCTAGGATTATAGGTATGAGGCACTAGTGCCTGTTTCATTCTTCATAATTTTTATGTCCCCTTTCTCTTCCTCTTATCAATTTGAATAGAGAATAGCCTGTAATCCTTTTCTATCTACAATCCCTTCACTCCTTGGTTACTACAGCCTACTTAATACCCTCCCCTAAAACTGCAGTATGAGCTGGGTGTCAGCAGCTCATGCCTGTCATCCTAGCTACTCAGGAGGTTGAGATCTGAGAATTGCTATTTGGAGCCAGCCCAGGCAGGAAAGTCCATGACACGCTCATCTTCAATTCCAGAAAAAATTCCAGAAAAAGCTGGAAGTGGAGCTATGACTTAAGTGGTAGAGGGCTAGCCTTGAGCAAAAAGGAGCTCAGGACAGCACCCAGGGCCAGCAAAAAGCCCACACACACACACACACACACACACACACACACACACACACACACACACACACACACACACACACACACACACACACACCCCTGCAGTATGAGTCAGGTGGTGCATGCCTGTAACCCCAGCTACTTGGGTGGTGGAAGCAGAAGGATCATGAGCTTCACGCAGGAAAACTTAGTGAGACCCTATCTCAAAGACAAAGTAACAAAATGGCTGAGAGCATAACCTAAGCGGCAGAGTGCTTGCTTAGAAAGCACAAGGTCTTAAAGTTCAATTCTCAGTACAGCAAAGGAAACAAAAAGAAACAAAAATTCTGCAGTGTGATCTCCTCACCCCTTCCTGTCTCTGTGGCTATAACCTCAGTCACTTGCTTACAGGTCACTACTCTGAGAAGCCTCTAAGTTCCACATCTTGAACATACACATTACATGCATGGTAATATCAAATGTTGGTAGACAGGCTTTGAACTTAGTGCTTCACATTTTGTCTTCAGAAAACCCTAGCATAGGAACCATTTGAATGTCCATGTTATGCAGAGGTTATTGAGACACGGAGATGATAAATGACCTGCTCAGAGGCACATAGCAAGAGGCAGGTAGTCCAGGATTTTAATCCAGAAGTCTGTCTCCAGTGTCACCATCTCTCAGCACTCTCAGCACTGTGACACAGTTCTTCATCATCCTAGGATCTGCAAAGTTGTAAAGGGAAGGGGAATCCTATTGCCAGGCTGTGGCAGAGGGAGTGGGAAGCTGTGGTAGGCTGAATGAATAAATGACCAAATGGTAGTGAGCATTAATACAGGAATTATTTGCAAAAAAAAAAAAAGCCAAACCAAAACAAACCCCCAGATGTCCCTTTTTCTGTTGTTTTGGATAAGTGATTTAACTTTTTTCTTTATTTCTTTATTGAGATTATGTGACTACATTAATTTCATAATACTGTGGCATAGTTATAGGACCCTAAAACAAACTCCTTTTGTGATTGAACTCTTAAGCTTCAGTTGCTTTATCTACAAGATAGTTATAAAAGCAATCCCTTCAGGATTGTCTATGAAGCTCAGCTCAGGCCTAGGGTATGATAAATCATCAAAAGATGATTAGGTAGGTAATTTCTATTAGCAATGGTATTCTTCTTAGAAGCCTTGAGAATCACAATACAATCTATTCTGGTACCCAGTATGGTAGTGCATGCATATAACCCTAGCACTCTAGGTAGAAGGAGAAGGATCTCAAGTTTGAGGCCAGCTTTAACTGCATAGCAACTCTTGAGGTCAGCCTGAGATACAATGTAAGGCTGTGACTCAAAAATAGAAAGAGAGAGAAAGAAAGGGAAAAAGTATGGAAGTGGTGCTGTGGCTCAAGAGTGCTGGCCTTGAGCTGAAGAGCTGAAGGACAGCGCCCAGGCCAAGAGTCCAAGCCCCACGACCGAGCACAAAAAGGGGGAAAGAGTAAGAGAGGGAAAGGTAGAGAGGGGGGAAGTGGAGAGAGGGAGGGAAAGGAGGAAAGAAAGAGGCAGAGAAGAGAAATATATTTTGTTCAAGAATCTTAGATGTGGACACTGCCAGAAGAAATGAAATTGACTTTAGGAGCCAATAGGTGCAAGTGCTCTTGCAGTCAGCTAATGGTAGCAGAGACAGGAATGTTAACTATGTTCCAGAAAATGACAACTACAAAGCATTACTGAAAATACTCTTTGATTTTCAAGGAGGGGGAAGGAAGAGTTGTTCCCTGCAGGGAAGGCTCCTTGCCAGATTTGTTTTGTTAAAAACATTCCTTAACTTTGGTAATTTCAAACACACAGTAAGAAGTCAAATGAAATAAGAAGCTTTAATAATGAATAGAATTTAAGCAATCCGAGACCAAAGCCTATTAATTAGATCTTTAACCCCTGAATCTGAATAATTAAAATCCCATAACTTGCTAAATATAAATTACAAATTCCACAATAAAGAGAATTGGTATTTTAGTTGGGTTTATTACAGTGCTTCTTGGCAGATGAAGAATCAAATCCCTGGCTGCATGACAGATCACAGCAGTTCCTCTCTTGACTGTGTCACTGGAAATTAGTACTCATTGTCTAAGCTATTTATACACATATGCAAAACATGGCCATATTTAGAAATGCACTTTCTCATAACTGTGCTCTCCAGCCATTTCAGGCTCCTGTTTAACATTACACTTCTTAGTTGAGTTGCTTTTTTCAGATGTGTGTGTGTGTGTGTGTGTGTGTGTGATGGTCCCTGGGCTTGAACTCAAGATCTGGGCAATGCCCTTGAGGTTTTTTTTTTTTTTTTTTTGCTCAAGACTAGCACTCTTCAACCACAGCTCTACTTGTGTGTGTGTGTGTGTGTGTGTGTGTGTGTGTTGGTCCCTGGGCTTGAACTCAAGACCTGGGCAATGCCCTTGAGGTTTTTTTTTTTTTGCTCAAGACTAGCACTCTTCAACCACAGCTCTACTTCCAGCTTTTTGGTAGTTAATTGGAAGTAAGAGTCTCATGGATTTTCCTTCTGTAGGCTAGCTTCCAACCTCCATCCTCAGAACTCATCCTCCTAAGTAACTAGGATTATAAGTAAAGCCACTTGGTACGAGATGTCATAGACTTTTTTTTTTTTTTTTGCCAGTTCTGGGACTTGAACTTAGGGCCTGAGCTTCTTTTTGCTCAGTGCCAGCACTCTACCACACTTGAGCCACAGCACCATTTCCAGCTTTTTCTGTATATGCAGTACTGAGGAATCAAACCCAGAGCTTCATGATGCTAGGCAAGCACTCTACCACTGAACCATATTCCCAGCCCTCATGAGGCTTTTGAAAATAAACAATCAACAATGAAAACAAGGCAATTTTCATCATACATTATCCATTCCTCTCTTGATCCTTTGCAGTGAGGTAGACTTCTAGCATTATAGTGCCTTTTGGAGACGTCTTTGTCATTTCATCCAAATTTAATTTGAATTCCAATCACAGTCATCATAACCAGATCTACTATATATTAAATATTCATAAGGCATGTATTATTAGGAATGGTCTTAAACATGTCTGAGAGTATGAGAGGCAAAGTCCAAAATATGAATGTACTATTTTATTCATGTTTTGAATGTTATTAATTCTAATTTATTACAGGAATTACTTCCCAAAAGTGTTCATCATCTGGATTGAAGGAGTATTTGTGAAATGTGGCAATGTTGTTTACGTAAGTATACCACATTAGAAGTCTACTGGAGATCCAAAAAGATTTGTCTTTATGGAATTTGAAACAAACGAACAGGCAGCAAAAGCTATTGATGTTGGTCCAGGCTCCAAAGAGCAGTTCTCTTCTTCAAAGGTCTACCATTTTAATTTTATATTTTTCTACTTATGAGTGTGTCAGTCTTCCCTGTATAAAAAATTTGACAGGGGGCTGGGAAGGTGGCTCAGTGGTAGAGCACTTGCCTTGCATGCATGAGGCCCTGGGTTCAATTCCTCAGCACCACACAAGCAGAAAAAAAAAGCCAGAAGTGGCACTGTGGCTCAAGTGGTAGAGTGCTAGCCTTGAGCTGAAGAGCTGAGGGACAGCGCCCAGGCCCAGAGTTCAGGCCCCACGACTGGACCCTCCCAAAAACAATTGAGAGTTGGGTGCTGATGGCTCATGTCTGTAATCCTAGTTACTCAGGAAGTTGAGATCTGAGGATCATGGTTCAAAGACAGCTCAGGCAGGAAAGTCTGTAAGACTAAAATTAACCACCAGAAAACCAGAAGTGGAACTGTGGCTCAAAGTGGTCAAGTACTACCCTTGAGCAGAACAGCTCACCCTGGACCTGAGTTTAAGACCCATGACCAATAACAACAACAAAAAAAGACAAAAGTTGCTACTTGGACCGTATGGGAGTCCTCTGCCAACTTACACTCATATTTTTTTTCTCTTTCTTTCTTTCTTTTTTTTTTTTTGTCCAGGGCTGAGGATCGAACCCAGGGCCTTGCGTGCCGGGTGGGCACCCTTCCACTGTGTTAAACCCCCAGCCCCTCTTTTTTTTTTTTTTTTTTTTGGTCAATTGTAGAACTTGAACTCTGGGCCTGGGCGCTGTCCCTGTGCTCTTCAGCTCAAGGCAAGCACTCTATGGCTAGAGCCACAGCACCACTTCCGGTTTTCTAGTGGTTTATTGGAGGTAAGAGTCTCATGGCCTTTCCTGCTTGGACTGGCTTTGAACCGTGATTCTCAGATCTCAGCTCTTGAGTAGCTAGGATTTACAGGCATGAGCCACCAGCGCCCGGCTTACACTCATATTTCTGTGGGAGAGATTATTAGAAAAATAAATCTAAACTGGGTCAGTATTTATATTCTTTGTATTACACAATACCTTGACTTTTTACATTCCAATTGTAAATTATAAATATCTTCCAAAAATAGTTATCTTCAAGAATTCAACACTATACAAATACTTCCACTAGGCTTGTAGGTTGACATTTTATCAATTAATTTTTGCATTATAATATATAAAAAGCTGGGAAAATGTATTTTGGTACAGTTAATGTGAGCTGGGCAAAAGTATTTCTTAAGGACCACTAATATATAGAAGGAAAATATGAAAAAAAAGAAGGGAATTCTGTCTTTTTTAAATTACATGCCAAAAGTGTGTTATAATTTTATGTTGAGAAGCTGTGTACTCCAGTTGCACTGGCATTTTCTTAATTCTTGAAATGGGCTGTGGGGCCCTCCCCTCCCCGTCCCACAATGGCCCTTAAATGACCTCTTTGACCTATTTTGAAGTTCCCACTTCCAGACCCTCTCTGATCTTGGTCTCAAAGAAGCCTCAAAAAAGCCTCCTGATTCTCAGCTAGGTCAGGATCTACATTATATGCTCTCTAAGTACCACATTCTCCCTCAGGAAACTTTTATTAGGGGGAATATATGTTTATTAGGGGGAGTATATGATTAACAATCCTCCTCCTCTTCCCTAACCTATAGATCAGGGACTTGATTTATCATGCCAGCTTTTATCACCTCTTTATCTTCTGGCTAAGTGACTGGCTTATAGTTGGAGCTCAACAAATATCAAGAGAAAGAGAAAGAATATGAAAGAATGAGAATCAAAATTTTTTATGATCAGATAGGTGCTGGTGGCTCATGCCTGTAATCCTAGCTACTCAGAAGGCTGAGATCTGAGGATCATGGTTCAAAGCCAGCCCAGGCAGGAAAGTCTATGAGACTCTTATCTCCAATAAACTACTCAGAAAACCAGAAGTGCTGCTGTGGCTCAAGTGGTAGAGCACTAGCTGAAGAGCTTAGGGACAGCACCCAGGCCCAGAGTTCAAGCCCCACAACTGACCAAAAAAATTTTATAATCAAAGTTTTAGAGTTATCATTTAAAGGAAAAATAAATCTCCAAATATACATGGTAACTTACAAGGCAATTCAATAGTAAACTAAATAGTAGGTGAATGGTTTGAACACCACTATGTACTCAGGCTGTGGCAGTTAGTAGAGTATTTACACACCTGTTTTTGTAAGTAAGACGAACAGTTCTTGTGCCTTCACATTTCCCAGGCTGCTGTTCTTTGGATGCCTGTTCCCATTTAGAAATAATGTCACAAATCTAGAAGGGAAGCAGAAAATTGAAATTCATGACTTTAAAAAAAATCAATATTTTTTGAATATTGTAGCTGTAGATTGAAAATTTTCAATTGATATGCTCAAACCAAATGTGTTCTGGCTTTTTGTTTTCAACTTATGTGGAGTTCTGATCTTGGGATTTAACCAGTTGGGCACAAATTAACTTGGGACTGTGGCCATGAAATTTTTACTCAAAAAGGAATCTCAGTGCATGACTAAAAGAGAGTGGACATAAGAAGATTCCAGGAATTTTTTTCATGATTTGGTCATGAAGAAGCAATTTTTCCACCTTCTAAGTTTATGAAGATTGGAATAACTGAAGTTATACCAAGGAAATCTGAGGCATAATACAAGAAAGCTCCAGACCCAGTTCCAGCTGCTTGATTTAAGGGAAATCTTTTCTTTCTCTGGCCTCTGTTTCCTCATTTGTAAAGTAAATTGCCTATTTCTTACTATAGTTCCTTGTGGTTCTCTAACTGTATGTTTCTAATTGTTGTCATCATTCCATGGAAACTTCATTAAATACACTTTACTATGATTTGGAAAAGATTTTTTAAAATTTCTTCTTTATTTCGAATTGGTCCATTTTCTACCCATCCTTCAAACTGCAATTCAGACCTCTAATTCCCAATACTGAGCTTAATTTTCTCTTGCACAAAGTTCAAAGCCTTCTTAAAGCATTTATTACTTTCAATTCTAGTTTAAAGTCATCAGTGTGTAAGTCTGCTCTTCTCTATATAAATCCTAAGTTCATTGTAGGCAGAAGCCATTTCATACTGTGTTTTTCACATGCACTAAACTAGTACATAGGACACTGAAAACGGCTTAGCAATACTGCTGAATAAATGAAAAGCTATTATTTTTGATGCTACTGGGATGTGAACTCATAACCTTGAGTTTTCTCAGCAACTGCTCTATCACTTGAGCCATGCCCCTACCTTGTCAGAGCATTCACGCCTCTATTCTTATCACTCTAAAATTTAGAATATTATTTCCGTCATTTTAACTATTTTTCTCTTTCACATGATCTATATGTGTGCAGACTGAATGTTGACAATTCTATGGCCTCTCCAAAGTCCTGCAATTTTTTTAATTGTGAAGATTAGGTTGCTTAAATGGGAGGAAATCTCCTGAACTATGCTTGCAAAGACTAAACAGTAGCTAGCTTCTATGCTGTTTACTGGGGATGGCTCCTTCAAAGGTCTTAATTTTACCTTGATGTTTCCTTGAAGACAGTGCTCTAGGTCTTTGCCAGATGGATCATCAGTGAACAACGCGAATCCAGACTGTACAGGTTTCCTCATTCCTGTATCTTGGTTCAAAGTGTTCAAAAATTCTTCCACTGTGGTGGATGCATCAAACCCAACTACCTAGACAAAAACAGCAAAACTGTCTTTTAATAAAAAAGTACATACATTTCAAACAGAGATTCTAGGAGAAAATGGGGACATACTTGATGGATGACTAATGATAATATATATTTCTCTATGGTTTTAACTTTTTGTTCTCAACCCTCACTGGAGAAAATTAGCAAAATTCCTTGAAGCTGTCAAGAATTCAGAGATCTCAGCTTTAGTGAACATGAATTCAAAACAAAAAGCTCATTCTACCACCATAAATATCTGTCAGACTTAAAAAAATACATCTGGCAGAGATATTAATGATCACTTACCCATTAAAAGTTAACCAAGAATGATAGTACAGTATGCAATCATTAAGTAAATTTAAAAAATAAACAAGAAATACATTTGAATAAACACTGTTATGTATTTAATGTTTGTTTAATGAGTAAAGTCTCTGAATTCTGTGATGAAAGGCTTATGGCCACAAAGACTAATTGCTAGTTTTGGAACATGTTTCCTTCAGTTAATAGGGGAGCATCCAAATCTGAGAGCTGTAAGAATCTAAGCAAATGTTCTCAAATAAGTGCTGAGATGGCAGATTTTAAAAGAGACTAAAACTGTACATACCCAATGTTAAGCAATGATTTCCTAACCTAACAAGTGGATTAGTGGGGGAAAAGTCTGATCAAAATGTTTTTGTTTTTGTCCATCAGAATCATAATATCAGTGAAGCCCATTCCCTTTTTTTGGTCTAATATAGATTTGCTTTTAAACAGCAAAACTGTTTATAGGTGAGTTTAATCAGGGTTCATTGTATGCATGTATAGAAATGTCACAATGAAATCCCTTCCTTGTATAACTAATGTATGCTAATAAAAAAATCTGTTCTGCTTGTATGTTTATCTCAGCAAGTTGCTAACTAAGCCATGCAGTCAGCCACTCTTCTTTATTACATAAAGGTTAAACGTAGGAGCTATGGCTAAATGGATTTTACCCACCTGATATATCCCATTCATGAAGTGCACCGGTATGCTAAAGGGCAAAGAATGATGATAAGGGTTTCGAAGAAGTGTTGAAAGAATTTCCATTCTAGAGGGTCTTGCTTCACGATCACCATTTTGTTGAGTTCTTTCTACACATCGCTGACAGTAAATAGCGTATTTCCCAAATTCTGTCCTGTTATATAAAATGTAAGATAAAAATCTCAGGATATATTTAATTAAGACAATCTAATTTATGCAATCATTTAGGAAGTTTCCCTTAGACATGGTTATAATCTTAGTAGTCAGGAGACTGAGGAAAGAGGCTTCTGTTTTGAGGATAGCCTGGACTACCTACATAATTCTTGTCCAGTATGAATGACTTTATGAGAATCTGCTCAACAAAAAGTAAAAGCTTCCCTTCCTGTTTATAATGTTAGGATAATTTTCCCAGTTTTTCTTTTCTTTTCCATTTTAATTAAGTAGTTTCACCAAGAGGTTTCAATTCTATAGGTCAGGTTATGAGTACAATGCATTTTGATCAATTACCCTTTCTATCATTCTCCCTCCAGTTATTTCTCTTTTTGAATGCTAGAATTAAGCTCCTTTCTTTTCCCTCCCTCCCTCCCTTTCTTTCTCTTTCTTTCTTTCTTTCCTTCCTTCATTCCTTCCCTTCCTTCTTTCCTTTCCTTCCCCTCCCTTCTTTCCTTTCCTTCTTTCCCTTCCTTCCTTCCTTCCATCCTTCCTTCCTTCCTTCCTTCCTTCCTTCCTTCCTTCCTTCCTTCCTTCCTTCCTTTCTTTCTTTCTTTCTCATTTTCCTCTTTCTTTCCTTTCTTTCTTCTTTCTCTCTTCTTTCCTTTCTTTCTTTCTTTCTTTTCTTTCTTCCTTCTTTCTTTCTTTCTCATTTTCCTCTTTCTTTCCTTTCTTTCTTCTTTCTCTCTTCTTTCTTTTCTTTCTCTCTTCTTTCTTTCCTGTCTTTCTTTCCTTTCTTTCTTCCTTCTTTCTTTCTTTCTTTCTCATCATGGGGCTTGAACTCAGAGCCCATGTGCTGGCCCTGCTCTTTTTTCTCAAAGCTAGCACTACCACTTGGAGCTCTTCCTAAACTTCTTTATTTTTGTAACAAACATCCCTACAAAACTTTTTTTCATTATGTTATAATGTAGCAATATGTCGTATGTAGTTATATAAATATTAACCATAGTAATAAACAATGTCACGCACAGATCTATTTCCCTTTCCATCCTCCAAAACATGCACATGTTAAAAATGATAAGATGTATATACAATTTGTTTTGTTTATAAAAGCTGATTGATAACACTTGTACATATATTTTCATGTGAAAGTCTTCTAGACTAACCAAAGCTTGCCACCCCTGGTCTGAGGACTCCACAGTGACTGCAACTATAATTACTTGACCTTGATCATAGCATCCCCAGAATGAATTATGAGCTGCAGGACATTTTCCTATTGTTCCAAGTTGTTTTTTGTTGTATTCATCCCAAAGCCTGTTTTAGCAACCTAACGAACCTTTGGGGCCAGCGCTCCGTTGGTAAAGTGCATGGGGAGCATGGACAAAGCCCTGGGCTCCATCTTCAGCAGTACAGAGACATGCAAACAATCACCTAACAGGAATCCTTTGATGGAAAAATATAAACTCGCATAAGTCTTGTTAAAGGACTCTGGGTCCCATTCTAAGTAAACCTTCCAATAGCTAGATTTGAAATATCTTTTTCATAGAAATACATTTTGAAGTAATTAAAATGCATACAATTTTATAAAAGGATGAAGACAGGGAGAGTCTTCCACATGAAAGAATTCAATGTGGTTTTAAAAAAACCAATAAAATGGAAAACTAAGGAAACAAAATAGGTTCTTTTATTGAATGAGTGCCTGTTAATGCTGTCATCTTACTTGAAATGCAATAGACTTTTCACTTGAGAATGATCTTTGTCAGATTTCAAGCTTTTACTGTAATCTTCCATAAGAGATTTAACAGAACAAAGAAATTTATTTTCCAAGTGCCCCATAAATGGTAACAAAAGGCTTCTTGTCCCAATATTTGTTTTACACATTCTTCTGAAAATGTACCTGGCAGGTTATTAAATACTTATGATTTATTGTAGACTTTCAGAGGTTACATAAACAGTTCGGTTGGCTAGTTTTCTGCACACCTGCAATCTGCGTTCTTCTTTAGATGGAGCCTGAGGAGCCACAGGAAAGGATGAAGGGGAAGGAAGAGGCCAACACACAGTGCCAAGAGCTGCCAGCCCTGGGCAAAGAGAAGCACTATGGGTTAGATACCATGCACAATAGACAGCCAAGTGGGGGAGGGTGCCTAACAGAGGTTGTGAGAGCAATGGGTTGATGGATTGTGTCTCTTAATTAATCCAAATAGTTGCTTCTTCCACATGTACATTTATGCATCATAAAAAGCATAAAATGATTCACTTATTCAAATCCATGATCTATATAGCTACGTATTGAGGTACCAAAGCACTAGTAGATTTAGTACTTCTTTTTAATATCACACTTAACGATTAGGGACATTACTCTTTTCCTTTATGTGTTTATCTCATTCACCAAATTATAAATAAATTTGAGAAAGACATATATAACCCAAATGCATATGCATGCACACACACGTGCGTGCACGCGCATGCACACACACACGCACACACACACGCGCGCGCACACACACACACACACACACATATACACACACACACATATACAAGGGCCAAGTTCTTAAAAGTATTCACAGAGGTTAACTTTAAGTTGCAGGATTATATATGATCTTTATTTTTCTTTTTTTTTTTTTTTTTTGGTCGGTTGTGGGGCTTGAACTCTGGGCCTGGGTGCTGTCCCTCAGCTCAAGGCAAGTGCTCTACCACTTGAGCTACAGTGCCACTTCTGGTTTTCTGGTGGTTTATTGGAGATAGGAGTCTCAGGGTCTTTCCTGCCCGGGCTGGCTTTGAACCGTGATCCTCAGATCTCAGCCTCCTGAGTAGCTAGGATTACAGGCGTGAGCCACCAGCGCCCGGCTATTGATCTTTATTTTTCTTTTGGTCTGTTTTACATTCTTTTCTATTTTTTTAAAAAATGTGTTATTATAAACATGATGTACTAGAAGGACTACTGTTTCTTTTTTCCATTAAGCAAATATCATTTCAGTAATTCTTAAATTGCCATATAGAAAAGGAAGGGGAACAGGCTTTGTCCCTGCCCTTAAGAAGCCTATGGTCTAGTAGGAAACATTTAAATATTTGAACAGTAAATTATAGTAAAACAATAATACTCTATATTCATTTCTAAAAGTTTAACCAGTGGATGGAATGGCTAACTACAGTGGAGACAAGGAAAGACCTACTGGCAAGATGATGCTTAGGCTGGGCTGTGAAGTCTAAAAGCAGGAAGTAGCTGGGTACTGGTGGCTCATGCTTGTAATCCTAGCTATGCAGGAGGCTGAGATCTGAGGTCTAAGATCTGCCCAAGCAGAAAAGTCTGTGAGACTTTTTTTTTTAAGTTTTAAAAATTGTTTTTATTGTAAAGGTAATGTACAGAAGGGTTATAGTTACAACTCCTATTCTCAACAAACTACTCAGAAAAAGCCAGAAGTGGCGTGGTGGCTCAAGTGGTAGAGTGCTAGCCTTAAGCACAGTGAGGCTCAGGGATAGCACCCATGCCCTGAGTTCAAACCCCAGGACTGGCAAGGAAATAAACAAAAATAAAAGTAGGAAGGAAAAAGAGGGAATCTAAGTGACAGGAATAATGCCATGACAAGACAGAGAATATTGCAAAGGCCTGTATAAAGAAGGTGGACAGTCCGTTCATTCATCGTTAAACAGGGAGAGTCCATTCATTTATTGTGTCCTAGATGCAAAAAGTGGAGAAAGAGGAGCCAGTGGATTGGCTCCACTGAGTTTGGCCTCAGAACCACTGTCTTGCATAGCCCCATTCCAAGGCATGGTGAAGGGCCCTATCAACTGTGCTCATATGGTTATACATTTTTAAATACACATCAAAGTAATGTATTCTGTGCTCCTTTTCTTATAGAGGATTTCCCAAATGGAATAAGCTTTAAGTACCACAAATCTTAGATCCAACTGAGAGTCTTAATCACTAGCATAAGAAATTTCCATTTTATTCTATGGTTAACAGGGAGTCACACCATGCAGACAGAAGAAACCATTCACTACAAAGCAAACACAAATTACTACCGGTGTAAAATATATGCAATTACACTAATAATTAAAGAAATGAATCCCATAACATAGTGAAATACTACTGGATGGAACTTAAAATACTGTGTCTTGTTGAAGATATAAGAGAATTCTAGAATAGGATGAGAGGAATTCAGTAGATAAGACACAAGATGTCCAAGTTTGAAAGATGTCTAATGTAGAGATATTTATTACAGGACAAACAAATGGAAGAATCTAAATGTATAGTAATTGATATTAATGTCACCATTGATATTTAAAGATATGGAGTAGTGTTTAAGTCCTATAGTTTAAAACTACAGTTTATAATGAAATCCCATAATATGAAAAACTATGAGTTTTCATAAGTCCATAAACATGTATACATTTATATATAAACTTGTATATATACATATACACAAAAGGATATACATCAGAATATTAATAGCTATTTTTCCTTTCACTTTTTTTCTAAATGTCTGTACTGAATGTATATTATTCTTACAACCAAGAAAACAACATCACTTTAAACTGCATACAGCAATACATACCTGCAATGGTCCTGGTTGATTCTGTGGCTGCCTCCGTCTTGTCTGTTTAATAAGTTGACAGCAAATTTCATTCTGTAGCTCAGGATGTGTGAGACAGACTTGCAAAGCACTCTGGGCTAGAGATATATGGTAATCAATTGCAGGAGAATCAACTGCTGCATTTATAAAAAGCTGGCAGGTCTGAATGGAACAAGAAAAGACATACTCAAGGTGAGAAATGATGCCACTTATTCCATATGAATTATATTGGTTCTCTTTTTAGTGATAGTTTTTGTTTAAAATGAAATAAAAAGAAATGCTATGATAACACAAAATGTAAGTATGAAGTAGTTATAAGTATGAAGTAGTTATGGTAATAGCAGATTGAAGTAGATTTCAGAGCAAGGAATTTGATCAGATATAAAAGGGTCAGGTTACCTAGAAGACATGACAGTCTGAAATAGTAATGTACTTAATAGCAGAGCTTTAAAATGCATGTTAATTTCAGCTAGTATGTGAGTCATTTTTGCCAATGCATTTTCATCCCAAAAGTTCAGTTTGGGTCTTTAAATTTTTTTTTTTTTTTTGATCATGGGCTTGATCTCTGGGCCTGAGCACTGTCCCTCAGTTCTTCAGCTCAAGGAGAGCACTCTACCACTTGAGCCACAGTGCCACTTCCAATTTTCTGGTGGTTATTTGGAGATAAGAGTCTCATGGATGCTGGGTGCTGGTGACTCACGCCTGTAATTCTAGCTACTCAGGAGGCTGACATCTGAGGATTCTGCAGATCTGCAATTCTAGCTACTCAGGAGGCTGAGATCTGAGGATCATGGTTCAAAGCCAGCCCGGGCAGGAGAGACCGTGAGACCCCTATCTCCAATAAACCACCAGAAAACTGGAAGTGGCGCTGTAGCTCAAGTGGTAGAGCGCTCGCTTTGAGCTGAAGAGCTGAGGGACAGCACCCAGGCCCAGAGTTCAAGCCCCACGACCAACCAAAAAAAAAAAAAAGAGTCTCATGGAGTTTCCTGCCCGGGCTGGCTTTGAACCATGATCCTCAGATCTCAGCCTCCTGAGTAGCTAGAATTGCAGGCAAGAGCCACCAGCGCCTGGCTTGGGTTTTTAAATTCCTTACACTGAACTCCTCAAAATGTACATTCTTCCCTGTACTTTATTAAATTAAAAAATGTGGTGGTACCGATTCTATAAGTTATTAAATTATAAAATGTGGTGGTATCAATTCTGTAAGTTAGTCTTAAGTGGCTTCCACCTCTAGATTCTCATGCTCTCAGACAAAAACTTCTCATGTTGTACCAGTGTTGTACATGTGACCAGTAGCCACTTAGCATAACTTTTCTGGGGTTAATTTACAAAAAAAAAAAAAAATACCCCATAGCTTCCATCTTGGTTGTTCTTGCCTTCTTAGTTCAAACCTTGCACACTGGGGCTGAGAAGGTGGCTCAGGCCTTGCATGCCTGAGGCCCTGGGTTCGATTCCTCAGCACCACATCAGCAGAAAAAAAAACCCGGAAGTGTCATTGTAGCTCAAGTGGTAGAGCGCTAGCCTTGAGCTGAAGAGCTGAGGGACAGTGCCCAGGCCCAGAGTTCAGACCCACGACCGGACCCAAAACAAAAACAAAAACAAAAAATCCTTGCACAATGTATTTCAATTCCAAATTTAGAAAGCATAGTAAGTTCACCTAATTTAACTTCCATGGATTTTCTTAATAATCATCTTCATCACAGTTTGATTATTTTTGGAAAGAGATAGCAATTTTACCTTAAATAACTTAATAGCTTCTGTCTGTAGAGCTTCAGAAGGCAATGTGGTAAGAGGGGACAGGATTCCTTCTTTGCTGTGACACAAAGTGGGGTGTCGCCATATCTGGGAAGCTAACCACAGAAGAACATATATATGAACAGAAAACAATGCACATGTTTTGGCCTCCCACTAGACTGACCCTTGGGAAATAATCTCTTTCACTTTTGGCTCACAACTGTCATCACATAGGCCAGGAAAAAACATTGGCAACTTTATTTTTCTTCAGTTTTCAGTCCACTGAAATTTCTCCTTTTCTATATTCTACATGAAGTAAACAAAGAACCGAATCTCAGATTTTTAGGTTCCAACAAGTCTCCTGGGGCAAAGTCATATTTATTGATTAAATGTGCTAATGAGTGGTAACCTATGATCATATTTATTGATTAAATGTGCCAATGAGTGATGTTTTTACATGAAAAGGAGCTAGGGGAATGGCTTAGGGAGAAGCAAAATAGAAAGAAATATAAAGATAAAGAAGAATGCCAAGTCATTCCTAAAACCCACTTCTATAGGTTGGGGGTATAGCTCAGTGGTAGAGTAATTGCACAATATGTATGAGGCCCTGGGTTCCATCCCCAATACTATTAAACAAATTCTATACTGGACACTGCAAATAAGATGTGGCCTCTGTAAGTATGTAAGACAAAGGATAAAAATCTAAACTGTTAATGGAAAACCTTAGCCACAAAATAATTTTATCCAGATGCTGACTGCTCATGCCTGTAACCTTGCTGATAGAAAATAGAGATTGAGAGGATTGTGGTTTGAGGCCGACTTCAATAAGACGGTGTCAACAAGACACCATTCCAACAGAAAAGGCTAGGTATGGTAACGTGTACCCATCATCTCATTTAAAGCAGGAAGCATAAATAAATAGTTCAGTCTTGCCCTAGGTAAATATAAATCTCTATCTCAAAAATAACCAGAGCAAAAAGGGCTGAAGGCATGGCTCGAATGGTAGAGAGCCTTCTTAGGAAGTAATAAGTCCTGGGTTCTAATCCCAGTACTGCCAAAGAAAGAAGGGAGGAAAGAAAGAAAAGATTAATTTCAAATGCATAGCTACAACAGTTATAAAAGAGTTAAAAGGCAAAGTACATTGGGGTCTAATTTTGACACTGATTAAATTCCTTTTGTACAGCCAGCTGCAGAGCTGGAGTGGGCTGGCTGAGGTTTCGTCATGTGATGAGGACTGCCAAGGAAGGGGGCACTCCCAGCACAGGGAACAATATGAGCAGGAGTGGAGGAGTGTGACAGGACATAGCACAGTCAGTGAAGATGGTGCTCCTAGAGCCTGAGAACCCCGACCAATTGCAAGTAAAGCCCATGACAAGGAGGTATACTGCAAAGAAACAGGAATCCACAGTAAAAACTCCCTCACAGCCTAATGGGGTCAGGTCCCACAGCATAAACTGTAAGGCTGCAGATGCTTGTGAACTTACAAGGTTCCCCTTCTACGTTAAGCAATTTGCAAACCAGTTGTTCAAATTCAGATCCAACATTTATATTGTTACTTCCAGCTGCAACAGTCAGATGATAAAGCCAAGTGTCCTTAAAAATTAGAATATATTGATCAAAATGTTAGCCAACATATATTTTTAAATAAGTTTTTTTATTGTGAAAATACTGTACAGAGGGGTTACAGTTACATGAGCAAGGTAATGAGTACATTCTTATCAAGCATTGTTGAGAACAACTTAAAAAATAGTTAAAGAAAACTTTTGTGTTTTACATTTAGCAAGGATTTATCTAGTAAAGTAGGATAAAGGAGAAATTTAAAAAAAAAAAAAAAAGGAAAAGGAAAAGGAAAGCACTTCCTGATTCACAGGCAGAAAGGAGCAGAGAGGATGAAAATGGCAGCTCTGACCCAGGGTACAATATCTGAACTAGGAGATTAGAGCTTGAACTCAGTAAAAGAAAACCTTGAGACAGAAAAGAAACAACATTCTGTAATTTTTAAATAATAATTAAAAGCTATTTTATCAAACATCTGAGTTGAATTGAAACCTATGTTTACTACTACGTAAAGATTAAAGATTAAAAAGATTTGTAATACATTTTGAAATTGTATGTGCGTGTGTGTGTAATACATTTTGAAATTGTGTGTGTGTGTGTGTGTGTGTGTGTGTGTGTGTATGTGTGTGTGTTTAGAACATTTAAGGAGGTCTTGTGTTCCCTTTCTCAAGTAGCCACATTTAAATAAACCTCATTTCAAGGTAAGTATAGAATCTCTGAAAACAGCTAAGAATCTTTGGTAAAAATCTTGTTTCTATAAAAGTAATTTTACAACTATTACCATACTTGAGTAGTATTAGTCTGCATCATTTAGAATCATCCAGGAAGTCTCTAAATACCTTTTCATGTTTGGATCCAATTAGGAGGTAAGTAGGACCTAGGTCTTTGGGGTGGATAACGATGGTGTAATGAGTGGATAACAAACTACGTCCACTGGCTTCATAATCTTCATCTGAATCACAGGACCTGTCCACCTCTTCAACTTTCGCCTCCCAGAGTTTGATCTGACCTAAAGGAAACTGAAGTATAGGTTAGTAATTGTAAGGGAGGCACTTTCTAGGTATTTTCCTATTGAAAAAATTTCATGGTCCTTCACATCTTTATCCTTAAAAAGCATAACTCTTAAAAAATTGAGTATCTAGAGGTTATCCTTATTAGATTATCTATTTGTTACAAATGTAAATGCAATAGTAAAAGGCCTGATTGTAATATGAAAGAATAATATAAATCCTAGACCTTTAATCTTTTAAGGATAAAGACACCAGTGGTTCAGATTATTCACATTATGGACTAAAATGACCCATTTGTTAAACAAGTAACTAGCAATAATTCAGTTAAAACATTCAGTTGACTTGTTATTGTTCTCATAGAATTGATTGATAATTTGACTGAGCTAGTGATCAAAAGGAAAAGTAAAGACATGGTCTCAATAATGTCAGTAAAGCAATAATAAGAGTAGACAGCTGGTACAAACACTATTACCCAGGCTCCAGTTAATAAGTAGTGTTTTAAGGATATTTTAAAAAACCTAACACAACCTAATACAATGTATTATAATGTGATGGATTTCTCCCATCTTAATTTAACGGTGGAAAACCTAAACTGATTTACATTAAATTTTAACCTTTTACTGACAAAACAAATATATCTTCCATGCTAGGTATTTTGCATATCTGTTTTAAGACTTTGTCTTTAATAAAGTATATTTATTTCAGGAAAATACACAGTATGCTTCAGATTTAGAACCTGTAAAAATATCTGGTCAGATTTGCAACTGCAACTCTTTGAAAAAGTCCATTCTGACCACAAAGACATTTACCATGACAGATTTCATATTGGGCTCCAGGAGACAGTGCTTAGACTATTTCCACTTACACTCTGTCTGGGTGATCTCAATTCAACGAATGGCTTTAGCTACACCCAAATACCAAACTCCAGTATCATGATCTGTATGTAGATATATAATAGCATCTCAAGCTTACATTGGCAAATCTACCTTGACAACCTGCTCTGATCAAAGTTGTCAATAACTTGAGGTTTTCAAGTGTGTAAGTCAAAAACTTTGTCATCATCCCTGACCTTTTGCTTTCACTCATATGCTACCTTGAATGGTTAAAGTCTTGAGGCAGTAACCATTTGTTGCTTATTTCAGCTAACAGAGCAACACATGGTGGTAATCCAAACACCTGGTTGTTTGCCTTTATAAGCCCTGCAAATCCTTAGCTCCTGGCTCTCCTGTTAGGCTCCGCTGTGTCAGAGTGTAGGATGAGGCCCAAGCTGCAGCCCGTCTAAATAAAACCTTGCTTTTGCATTTCGGAACGTCTGACTCTCGGTGGTCTTGTTGGTGGGCTCCTGCGACTTGTGCACAACAACCTTTGTAGCTGGTAATCCCTGACATCCCAGAGTCTAAGACTACCTCCAGAGTCTCATCCCTTCTTTTGACTCCATTGCCACCACCGAGTCACAACCATCTCTTCCCTGGATGACTATCATAGCCTTTTGCCTACTCTCTTCCTTGTCCCCTCCAGTCTATTCTAAATGGAAACTGTGGAATTACTGTTAGACATGTTAAAATCATTTCCCTGTTCTTCTCAAAACCCTCCAATGGCTTTCCATCTCATCATAAAAGCTTGGGGGCAGGCAGGGGGGAGAAACACGCTTAAGATACCTAAAAGGATTGTTTTGAACTAAATGCTTTAAAAAATAAAAAGGGGCACTCTGACCCTCCACTTTTTTCTTCTCCAAAGCAAGAAATAAATTCCCATATGGAAGTTATCTTCACTATAACAGAAGGAAAACAACATTCTTATCATCAAGGTCAGGAACTTGAAGCCAAGGGAAGCTTATAAAAACATTTCTTGTTAAACTATCTCTTGCCTTGCTAGTCTCTTCTCCCCCTAGCTAGCTTTCTAGTCTGTTTGTTTGCCTTGCCATGTTTTTCCAATTAACTACTCTTTGTTCAAATCCTAGTGCTGCCAAGGAAGGAAGGAAAGAAGGAAAGGAAGGAAAGGAAGGAAGGAAGGAAGGGAGGGAGGGAGGAGGAGGGAGAAGGAAGGAAGGAAGGAAAGAAGGGAGGGAGGGAGGGAAGGGAAGGGGGAAGAGAGGAAGGGAGGGAGGGAGGGAAGGGGAGGGGGAAGAGAGGAAGAGAGGGAGGGAGGGAAAGACAAAGAAAGAAAATAGAAAAATGAAAATCTATCCTTCTGAAGCTTTTGTGTTCATATTAATGTGTTTCTCGTAAAGATACTTATTTTGTTCATCTTCAAAACCAATCAGAAAGTTTTGAAATAAGAAAAAAGACACCAATCTAGGTTCCAAGATTGTTTTAGAAATGTTTACATACCAAGTGTTTTATGTGTACATATACATGTGTGTATATGTATGTAGACCTATACCGACTTACATGTATTCTCAATAACACCCGTAATTATAATTGGTTCCTATTATTATTCTAGATCCTGTCTTGTTTTTTTCTATAATCAACACTATTCATTTTTCTGGTGAATGTTCGTAATTCCAGCACTCAGGATCACCTGTGGCAGGAAGATCACCTAGCCTAGGATATTATTTTTTTAAGGTTATAATAGGACAATTGATAGACAGGGTAAGATTGGATTCTTCTAATACACAATTTTTTGCTCCCCAGGACTTTTTAACTAGTTTGCCAAGCACTTCTTTCAACCTCATCTAGTCTGCCAGAACATGGGAAAACAATAAAAAGTGATAGCTGGGAGAGAGGTATAAGATGTTTAGGTTTTAGAAGGTGCAACAATTAAAAGTTACTAAGGCTTCTAGATACAGTAATTAGAAGTTACCAACCAAATTCTGTTATCATCCTTGCCTAAAATTAAGAATCAAGACCCTTGGAGATGATAGGTATGCAAGTTACCTTACTAATAAATTTAACACTACATTTCATCCTCATCAAATATTCTAAAGTTTTACTTAGCAATAGAAGAGTAAAAGAGAGAACTTTAAAGCAAAAAATCCTCCAAAGAGCATATTAAAAATATATACATACCTTTTCCTCTTGACTACGAAAATAATATAATGTCTTTCCAACAAGTGTACACCAGACTCTCTTGGAGTAGCCATGTTTTACCTGAAATCATATTTCAGTGAATCACAAAGTATCCCAGAGCTCTGTAAACTTACAGCAGAACTTAAGACATTCCATTTGAGCTTCTATTGGGTATCCAATTTGCCCAGATAAGCATATTCCTAGTGGATTATCCAAATGTTATGTGAAATTTGTTTGCACGCTATTTATTTTAGAGCTCGCCATTCAACATTTAACAGAGCTTCTTAGGTGTCAAGTACTATGCCTAGGACTATGATTTAAAGATGGTTTTAAGAAAAGGTAATGATTCCATAATTGAGACTACTCCTTAAATTTTCACAGATGTCCAGTAACCCAGTGGCTCCCTTGGTTAGCAGCCTGTTGTTAAAACTAAGATTAAAGCTAAAAGGATTCCCGTGAGTTCCCAAGTGTGAAAGCTTCATTCATTTGAGACATTTGATACCTTCTCCAGAAGGAATCGTACAAAATAATACAATACTATTAAAAGCTGGAGTACTTGTTCTAGATCAGACACTATGTACTAAGTGTCCGAGACAATTTAAAACATAGCTGTTGGTTTTGAATGGCCAGCAGTTGATCTAAGTCCTGGGAAAACAACCATGGGCTAGCCACCCCCTTTCTAGTTGGCTGTGGTGGTACACCTGGAAAAGGAGGGAGGAAGGAAAGGTACAGGCCTCTTCTGATGGGGCTCAGCCTTGTAAGGATGATAGATAATTAAGTCAGTAGAATGCTATATAACTTTGTCAAGAAACACACAGTATTTCCTTATAATGCTTTTTCTGGGAGATATTTTCCAAAAATGTATCTGAGTATTACAGGCTTATTACCATTTGGTGGCTTTATAAAGTCCCTTACTGCAAGTTCATTAACCAATCTGCTCTAATCACTGCCCTTGTACAGGCATCAGAGATCTTTACCAGGCAGTCCCTACCATATTCTCCATCCTACAGAACCATCAAAACCTCTAATTCCTACCAATGGTAAGACACCCCTGCCCTAGCACGTAATATTCATGCTTGAGTTTGCTTTGTATCCCACTTCCCTGGGAGTGGTTCTGCCAACAAAGCTCTGCCAACTTCTGCCTCAATCCTCTGCTGCGGTGTAAGACTAGTTCTGTCCAACAGTCCTGTAAACCAAGACACTGCCCAGTAAAACCAATTCTGTTGACATACTTGCCTGCAATGATAAGAAGTAAGGAGAAACAACAAGTAGGAAAGAAGATGAAGTTTGGGAGAGATGGAGAGGTTGTTACCATTTAAAATGTGGTGGTCCCTGGTGGGTACTGGTGGCTCGTGCATGTAATCTTAGCTACTCAAGAGGCTGAGATCTGAAGATCGCGGTTTGAAGCCAGTATGGGCAGAAAAACCCCCATGAGACTCTTATCTCAAATTAACTACTCAAAAACTGGAAGTAGTGTTATGGTTTAAGTGGTAGAGTGCTAGCCTTGAGCACAAAGAGGCTCAGGGACAGTGCCCAGGCCCTGAGTTCAAGCACCACAACCGACAAAGATAAAATAAAATATATGGTAGTCCCAATGGACAGGAAGAACAGAGCATGATTTGAGGGAAAAGCAGGTGTGTCTGGGATCTGAGAGATGATGCCTGAAGAATCTCAGGAACAGTGAGTGCAGCTGAGTATCTGAGGCTGAAGGAGGGAGGGGAGAGGTGTTGGGCAAGGGATGAAGATCTGTAGGATCTCAGAGGGCCTTGTAATGGCTTACATTTAAATGAACTATTCTTATAGTCATTCAATGAAGAATGCAAATGATTGCTTCCAAAGATTTTACATCAAGCAAGTCACTACAGTAGAAAAGTACAGGACCGAGGCTTAAGTTCAAGTTCCACCACATGTATGGACATCTTCTGGGAACTGACTTTTCTTTTGGGAGCTTTTTCTTTTGGGAGACATGGAGTTTGAACTCTGGGCCTGGGTGCTGTCCCAAGGTGAGTACTCTACCACTTGAGCCACAGCGCCACTTTTGGTTCTCTGGTGGTTTATTGGAGATAAGAGTCTCCTTCCCCAGGTTGGCTTTGAACCGTGATCAGATCTCAGCCTCCTAAGCAGCTAGGATTACAGGAGTAAGCCACCTGGCCCAGCCCTGACTTAACTTTTCACTGTCTTTAACATAACATGGGACTATTGGCCACTTCACTGGGCTGTTGTGATGATCAAACAAAACAATGTAAATAAAGGGTAATAGAATTTAGACAATAAATATTTTCTTCTTTACTATGCATAAGAAGTAAAACACATGTTTTCCTTTAAACCCACAAACCCAGGCTGCCTTTGGGCTTTCTAAGCTATGGTTTAAACAAATAACTCCACTACTAATAGTTTGATGGATTTTCCTCCTTGAGGAAAACAAAATAAAACAAAACAAAAAATTTGTTTCACTTGGCAAGAGTTGTTTCAACTTAATTAAATTTGGAAACATATATTTATAGGCAAATATCCTGGCACTTTTAAATAGAGTTATGCAAGGGGTTTTGTTTTATTTTCTTCCTTCTTTAAACAACTCCAGAAAGAGTCTCCTAAGAATTAGAATTCAATGCATCTAGCTAAAAGATTGTGTACTTTTGCAATTCTTTATTTTGAAAATAGAACAATGACTACTTTTAAAGCACTGTAAATAAATGAAGACTTTTGCCATGAACTCACTGAAAAAGCTGTGTTTTACAAATACAGTCTGTAGGATTTCTCTGACTTTAATGTGAAAACATTTTATAATAAGACATTTTATTATAATAATATATAATATTCTAATCCCTATGAAGAGTTAAAAAACAATCTCAACAAAGACACATGCCTGTGTACATCTGATCATGTATAATAAAATTGATCAAAATGAACTCCAAGAAATGAAAATGAAAAAAGACAATCTCAAGGCTTTAATAAACTAAGTTACTGAATGAATCTTTATTTATGTTCTTCCAAAAAATGATACTTCATACCAGTACTGTTTAAATTTTCAAGAACAACAGCCTATTACACCCCAGTGAGCCTTTTTCTACACATGGAACACAATTCCCAAGTCCTTTCCTTCCCTGAATTCTCCATCACAAATCACCAGTCTTGCTGACTCCACTATCAAGTAGTAGATGTGCCAGGTATTCTTCAAACAAAATTACCTAATTAAGAAAAATTCACTTAAGTGCTCTCAATACCCTGTAAGGTTGGCACTATTATCCCCATTTCACAACTAAGGACATTAAGGTACAAAAAGCCTGTAAATGATCTACTCAAGGTCACATAAGTGGCAAGTCAAGAGCCAGGACTTGGGCCCAACTAGTCTGGCTCCCAAGCTCCTGGCCTGTCCTCTTTGCCATATCCTTTTTAATATTCTCTCTCTTCCTTTCTAGTAACCTTTGCTTCCCTTCATTTCCGCCAGGCATCCTCATGGTCAAACCCTTTCTTTCTATTCCCTCTGGGAACTGCTCCACTCCAGCTCATTACATTCTACTTACTTCTCCTCCCACTTGCCTTTCTCTTATTCACACCATTGCTATTCTTTGATCTCATTAAGTCCCCATATCCTCCCATTTTATTGTAGTTTTTGCAAATCTTGCTTCAGGGCCCAGGATTAATTTGCATTCCTGTAACTGACAGGCCTAATAGTTGAGATAATTTGAAACTAATAACCTTTATAAAAGGAAAAGAAGGGGTTGGTAAAGCGCCAGCCAATAAGTAAAAGCATCAGATACTGAGTTCAAGTCCTAGTCTTGAACAAAAAAGGGAAAAGATACTTATGTTCAATAAATGTCTACAAAATAATAGTCTTAAATATGTCAATTTTCATTCTAAAATATCAGAAGAAATGAAGCAAAAATATAATAAAAACACATAAAATAACTAATCTACCTTGGCATATATTCCATTCAGACACTTTTCTATGAATACATATGACAAAAAGGAATAATAATGTACTGCTACACTGTACTTATTAACAACACAGCATAATACATAGCATGAAATATTCTTATAACATTCAATAGACAAAACAAAGTATGAAATCATTACAGAAACATATATTTAAGCTATTCCCTACCCTATACATAAGTTGTCAGGGAGGATGTGGCTATGACAATTTTTCTTTATTATAAACCATGGTCTTTCTAGGATAATAAAAATTTACTATATCTTAACATAGTGTCAAGTGAATATTTTCCAAAATTTATTAAGTTCTACACTTTAAATCTGTGTTTTTCAGAGTATATTGATTATGGTTCATTTATAAAGACAGAAAAAAAATTAAAAATAAATATCATTATTACTTCTTAAATCTTTTGCAAATTAAGCCACTTTCTAAGGATTTATTTCTTAAACTGAGATTGCCTGATCAAATCATATATGTCTTAATTATTTAATATTCCTTCCATTTAAGGACCTTGCCAAACTGTTTTCCAAAGTATTATTCTCACCAGCAGCTATATCTTAGTGTTTGTCAATATTGGGTTTCAACATTTTAAAAAATGTTTTTATGTTCACTGCATTAAAAAAAATGATCTTCACCACTTCAGTTTGTGCTCTAAAAATGATTCGTGATACTATTCACAGTCGCAAAAACATTGAAACAACCCAGATAACCCATAATAGATGAGTGGATCCAAAAACTGTGATACTTATATGCAAAGGAATTTTACACAGTCATTAGAATAAAATAATGTCATTTGCAGGGAAATGGAGGGAACTAGAACAAATCATGTTAAGTGAAATAAGCCAAGATCAGAGAGACACATAGCACATGTTCTCCCTGATATGCAGAAGTTAGATCTACGCACTGGGATATGACAATTACACAGGAGTCTAGATACTCACATACAGTGAGACCAAAAGAGGATAATCTTAAAGAGAATCACAAAGGTGCAATGCCCAAACACCTCTCTTCATATGTATATAAAATAATATACATACTGAAATGAACTCCAAAAATATGGAAGCAAAGGGCTTTTTTTCTTAATTTGTTTTTTGTTTTTCTGATGACTCTGTATTCTTTACCTTATATATGGTGTATTCACCTGCTCATCTGTGGGAGGCTAGGGGAGGACACAGAAGCAGAGGGAAAAGGGTGAAAAAGTGCAGCAGTGGCGTGCATTGGCTGCAAGGACACCATGCAAAAGTGAGCAGATGACATTATGCAACATGAAATGCACTTAGGACCTGATGTATGTAAATGTGTATCACCTCTAAAACAATAATAAAGTAAATTAGAAAAAATTATTAAAGATAGTAAAATCTTTTCCCTTACACTTACTGTTCTTCTGTGCTTCTTCTTATTGCTACCTACTTCTTTCCTACTATGTCATGGGTCTTTCCTCCCTTCTGGTACTCATCCTTCTTTCTTTTTTACCAAAAAAAATTACGTATCATGGATATTAACTGTTTTTCATACTTTTCGTCTGTGTAGTTTTTGTCTTGAGTATCTTATTTGAACATCTTTCCCTACATTTCCCTATATTTCCTGACATCCACTTTTCTAATGGCTGTGTAAAATTCCTTTGCATATAAGTATCACAGTTTTTGGATCCACTCATCTATTGTGGGTTATCTGGGTTGTTTCCATGTTTTTGCTACTGTGAATAGTATCACACATCATTTTTAGAGCACAAACTGAAGTGGTGAAGATCATTTTTTAAAATGCAGTGAATGTAAAAACATTTTTTAAAATGTCGAAACCCAATATTGACAAACACTAAGACATCCACTTTTCAGGTTACCAATGATGCAGTTGCTATACACACAAGTTCCTACCTTAGTAAGCAATCCCTTCATTGTTGGTTTTCCCTCAGGCTGCAGGCAAAGTGGGTTAGCAGCTTGTACTCGAAGAACATTCTGTAACACTTTAATCCATTCATCCAATATATTGGGAGAATCAGCAGTCAGATAGTATGTGTGTTTTTCAGTGGTCAGCTAGAATGTAATAAGAAAGCAAGAGGAAAAGCAATTGTGAACATGTACTGCTGTGTCCATTCTTTAACCAACACTGCTTAACATGGATACAAATATGCATCCATGTTAATATTGAATTCTAGTTCTAAATAAATCAGTCCCTAATAATTTATAATACTTGAGTAACTTTGTGAGAATTGTATTTTTTTGTTTCAGTTTACTTTTCACATTTGTCATAATATAAATTTGGGGTAGTGATTTTACAACTTGAATCATCACATTTTTTTTTCACCCTTTAATGTGCCATTAAGTAGTTGTTGAATTGAAGAGTAGAATGACTGGAGGATACAATGAAATAGTACAATTTTAGCAAATGAAGAGGAGTTTCTTTATAGAAATGAGGAAATGAACTATAAACAAAATGAGGAGACCTTGCACAAAGATGAATAATTCTTGGAACTAACATGTGACCAGCTATTGTGAACCCAAATATTTCTAGTCTCAAATTAATCACACGGCTAATTTCTCAAATACATGAGAAGCATACAAATAATTCTTAAGAGCCATGCTCTAAGACAAAGTTTTCCGATTCCCGCTTTGAGTTCTCAGTCTACTAAAAACATTGATCATGTACCTTTCTGGCAAATGTTGTCTTCCACCCTCCAAAGAAGCAAGATGATAAGAAAATGATGGTTATTAGAACATTTCAGAAATAAAGTGAATTTACATGAAATATATCAGAATATCTCTCAACAACTTGCTTTAAATGAACAGGTTTCAGGCAAAACTAGCCTTATGGGCAAATTGGGCAGCTACTATTTCTCTGCTGTGATTTGGCAGGACAACCTCTCTGCTCACCAATAGCTCTTCCACTTAGGTATAAACACTTACAGTTCATAGAAGAACTGCCATTTAGCTGGGTACACCTATAATGGTAGCTACTCAGGAAGCTGAGATCTGAGGATTGAGGTTTGAAGCCAGACTAGAACAGTCTATGAGATTCTTATCTCAAGGTAACCAGGAAAATATCCAAAGTGGTGCATGGCTCAATTGGTAAAACATCAGTGTTAAGTGAAAAAGCCAAGTGAGAGTAGAAGGCCCTGAGTTCAAGCCCCAGTACTGGCACACTCACACTTGTGCATGCACACACACACACATACACACACACACACACACACAGAGCTGTCATTTGTTGGATTCTGTATTAAAATACAAATAATCTTGAATTTAGTTATATATTGCTAACATCTTACTGGGAATTTATTTATTAGATAATTCTCTAAAATGGTCTGTCATTTTGAGAGCTCAGATTATATTCGGGGAAAGAAAAGTATAAGGGTTTTAGAAAAGGTAAAGAAAGTTAATGGAATTATCCAACATAAACTTACTTTATTTTATAGTTTTAACTAAATAGTCTTGGAATGTTTCATTTGAGGATCAGATTCATTACAAACTGAAGAAAGAAATATGGAGTCATTCAGTCTCCTTCCATTAGCTTAGATAATAAAATATAACTGATTGGGGGGGAAAGAAGGGTAGGGGATAAAGAAGGGGTAACAATGCTCAATAGGAAATGTACTCATTACCTTACTCATGTAACTGTCACCCCTCTGTATGGTATCTTTACAATAATATATATGTGTATATATATATATATATATATATTAAATAATTAATTAATTAATTAATTGGGATTTTTCCCCCTTTGGTGCCAGTCCTGGTCCTCGAACTCAGGATCTGGGCACTGTCCCTGAGCTTTGTGGCTCAAGGTTAGCCACAGGTCCACTTCTGAATTTTGGGTGGTTACTTGGAGATAAGAGTCTCACAAACTTTCCTGCCCAGGCTGGTTTCAAACTACAATCCTCAAATTTCAGCATCTTGAGTAGCTAGGATTATAGTCATGAGCCACTGACGCCTGGCATGAGATGTTTTTAATGATAACAAAAAAATAAAAACAGTAACAACAATAGCAATAATTAAAAAAATAAGTACCTGCACAGTTTGTTTATTATCTCCTCTTAAAATACTGCAGGATGCATTGAGTTCAATATGGCCCTGAGGTTTCCTAATTACATCGCTCTACATGAAAAAGAGAAAATCAAATGGAAAAAAAATCAAATGTAAAGAGATTAAATGTAATAGTAATAACAAATGCTTTTACCATTAATACATAATTAATTTTGCATTACAAGAAAGAAAATCAGTAAGGAGTTTTATTTGTATTTGGAGAAATTCAAGCTTAAAGAGCAAGAACTTTATACTCACTGGAGATTTGTAGTACAGTAATTCGCCACCTTTAAGAACAAACCATCTCCGCTTCCAAGTCTTTACTTTACCACTCATTTTTAGTAGATAGCCAGATTTTTCCAGTGGCTCCTAATTAAAAAGGAAATACTATAAAAAATACTGTAAGTCTCCTTTTGGAGGCTCAAATTAACTAAGTAATTTTTTTATGATAAAGCTGATTTTATTACAATGATACAAAGAAAGTTTACCATATAAAAATTAATAAATGTAGCACAGCAAATTAAGAAAAAACAGGAGAAATCAGATAATCATTTCAATAGATGTACAAATTAGTCCTTGACAAAATTTAGTATCCCGACCCGATGCAACTATGAGAAGTACAAGTTGTCATGTCAAAAACGAACTTTACAACTTTGGTGTTGGGGGGGGGGAGGGGAGGGCTTAGGTGGGAGGGTGGGGGGGAGGCTGGGAAGGGATGTGAAGGGTAAACAAAGGAGGAGGCTGCAATGTTTAATAAGAAATGTACTCATTATCTTGCCCATGTAATTGTAACCCCTCTGTACAGTATGTTCACAAAAAATAAAAATAATAAAAAAAGGAAAAAAATATTTAGTATCCCTTCATGACAATGGACCTAAAAAAGCTAAGAGTAGAAGAAACCATTGTAATAGTTATATATACACGAAGATTATAACATCACACTAAGTAGACAAACCAAAAACATTCCTTAATATTAGGAATGAGGTAAGGGTATCATTTCTCTTCATTCTTACTCAAGATAGGGCTTGAATTCTTTATTTTTTTATTTATTTTTATTTTTTGGGGGGGTCCGGTCGTGGGGCCTGAACTCTGGGCCTGGGCACTGTCCCTCAGCTCTTCAGCTCAAGGCTAGCGCTCTACCACTTGAGCCAAGCGCCACTTCCAGCTTTTTTCTTTTTGCTGATGTGATGCTGAGGAATCGAACCCAGGGCCTCAGGCATACAAGGCAAGCGCTCTACTACTGAGCCACCTTCCCAGCCCCAGGGCTTGAATTCTTAACCAGAGCAATAATCCAAGAGAAAGAAACAAAGCACTAGAAATAAACTTTACCAAAGCAGTGAAAGACCACAAAGATGAAAACTATAAAATCCCAAAGAAAGAAACTGAAGAAGATCCTTGAAAATAAAAGACCTCCTGTGTCCATGGACAAGCAGAATTGATACTACGGGAATGGCCTACCAAAAGTGTAATCTACAGATTCAATAAAATATCCATTAAAATTTCTTCAGAATTTAATCCCTTCAGTCATGTATTCTGTTCTTTGAAAGAGTAATTCTACACAAGGTAAAATTGCCTTTAGTTGAATAAAAATATTGGTAGTGGTTATCTAGGGAAGGAAAATTTCTTACTGTTATCTAAGTAATTTTAAAAAAGCTGATAGATACTAAGCTGAGTGCCTATGGCTCATGCCTATAATCCTAGGAAATCAGGGGGCTGAGCTCTGAGGATCAAGGTTTGAAGCTAGTCTGGGCAGATAAATCTGATAGACTCTTATCTCCCATTAACGAGAAAAAAGCTAGAACTGGACCCGAATACATATAAAAAACTTAATATAAGTAAACAAACATCTAGTATTTACATTTTTCCCACTGTCACTGGAAGATGAGCAGGTTTTAGGAAGCTTCTGCTCTGGCTGTAAGCATTCTGTGTCTGTGGCATAGGCATCAGGAGGGATAGCATAATCACTTTCAGAAGCCACAGAACAAACAGACACCCCTAAGAACAGAAATAAATCAAGTCAATATTAATAAGGGCTCTCCAAATGACATCTGTGAGTTCTCCTACAGAATATAAACATTCCTAAGTCAGAAACCACCATAGACTAGATTTATTTTCATTTTTGGCCATGAAGAACTTTAAAAGAAGAAAACAAAACTAATGAGTTAGGAATGCTATGCTAATCTCCAAGGAAGTCAAAGAAACATAAATAATATTATGGCTTCATTACAACCACGGCTGGGGTTATATATATAAAGGATATATAATAGTCTACGTGCATCTTATTAAAAATTAAAAATACTGTATTCACATATTGGTATATAGGCAAACAAATATTCAACTTTCATTTACCAAGACTTTCACAATCATATTATAAACCACTTAAGTTCTATAATCACTTTTAAAGTAACTCCACACTAAAAATCAACCTATGTCTGGCACAGTGGCTCATGCCTACAATCGTAATGACTTGGGAGTTGGAGGTAGGAATTCATCAGTTTGAGACCATCACAAACAAAGCAAGACCCTATCTCAAAAACAAAATGAAAAAAGAAAAAAAAGAGCTGGGGTATATATAACTCAAGTGGTAGGATATTTGCTTAGCAAGCCTGAGGCCCTAAGTTCAATTCCTAGTAATGCTCTAAAAATGCATGGTTTCAATAGTTTTTGGGTTTTTTTGGTCAGGGGTGGGGCTTGAACTCTGGGCTAGGGCACTGTCCCTGAGCTCAATAGCTCACAGCGAGCGCTCTACCGCTTAAGCTACAGTGCCACTTCTGGTTTTCTAGTGGTTTATTGGAGATAAGAGTCTGAGGGACTTTCCTGGCTGGGCTGGCTTTGAACCGTGATCCTCAGATCTCAGTCTCCTGAGTAGCTAGATTACAGGTGTGAGCCACCAGCGCCCGGCTCAATAGTATTTTTAATGGAAGTAGAATAAGCTACTAGTTGTCATTAAAAAAAAAAAAGTATGCCAGCAGCCTAAAGTAAAATTCATTGGAACTTTCACAATATTTCAGTTGTTTAATTACTTATGACTTGTAAACTACATTTTCAAAATCACAATTGCAGATTTGAAATAAGAAATGAAATCAAGGACTTACATCATTTTTCATAGTATCTAGCAATTTAACAAAATGCTAACACCTAATGGCACATTAGAATGATATAATTCTTGTAATACTTATTAGACTCAGAGAAGTAATCATTATGATTATATCTTTATTTTTCATAGGAAAACAAAGACTAGGGCCCTCAGAGATCATCCACGCTAAGGGCCCATTCTCTATGTTGTCTAAAACCTAGAGATGACAGGATTTGTCCACAAATAGTTAATGAGGGGCAATGTGGCAGGGAAACATCTCAGGCTACTATCCCCAGGACCAGTGTGTCGGTACTGTCTGATGTGCTAGTGTTAGAACAGACAACAAAACAGAAATATGTCAGTCCTCAGGGAACCTAGATTTGGGGGGTGAGGGGAGTTAGATGACAAGTATGCAGTAAGTGCTCTGAAGAACAGAACATAAAAGTCAGGGTCTGAACGTACTGAGACCTACTCCTGGGAACTGTCGCCTGGATTGTGTTCGCTGATAGTCAGGACTGAAGACAAGTCCAGACCCTCTGAACCATGAAACTCCCACAACCTCTTCCCCTACATAAACTACTGCACAGGATTGTAAGTATTGAAAACAGCAGGCAAAACAAATATATCCTTTGGTTCTCCTCCAGCCAGTGCAGAGCTTAGTACTCTTCCCAAACCACCACTCTCTGATACATTTGGGGTCACCCAAGGGCTTATGCTTGTTTATTCCTGGGGACACAAACTGGGGGAAAAGGGACTGTGGAACAAACTGGAATCTTCTGAGTTCTCAGGCTGTAAAGCTCCCTACAGCCAACAATGGCTTCCAAGGTAGAACGAAGGGAAGCCTCTACAGTGCAAACAGCTCAGAAGCAGAGGACTGACCCTTCTATAAGAGACCTTGATCTGAGCAGTACTGGGGATCAGGCCGTGGTGAATGCTTGGCTACTGAGTCATACACATATCCCCAAGTTCATGATATCCCTTTATTTCCATAGAAAAGTGATCTCTTTCCTCTGCAGACAATAAGACAATTAATAATATAACGATAATAATGAAACTTAATGATAATAATGAAACTATATGGCTTGGAATGAAGTAGAAAATTAGGACTAGAATATAAACATTTTAGTCCAAGGGTAATTATTTGAAGCCCTATAGTTTGAAGCAGGTACTTTGATTCTTTTTTTAAAGCCAATTATGGGGATAATGTTCCAAATAAATATTCCACATGCACCCAAACTTTTCCCTTACCTCGTTTCATGGCTCTGGGGCTGCCGGGCCCACTGCGGCTGCGCGAGTCTGATTCTGATGTCCGTGAGCTGGACCTGGAGCTGTCCTCTTCCTCGGAGCCAGAAGACTCATCCAGGAAAGGGCTGCTGCTTATTTGGGTTGCCTTCTAAAGAAAAGCAGTATAGCCTTCCTCTATCTATCCCTAAATTTACCTCTGTCTCTTTAGACATGAAATGGTTTACAGAAAGTTAAGTCATGGAATAAATTTTTAAAAAGAAATACAAGACTATATTATGCCTATGAAAGTCATGTTGTCAAACCTCAGATTCTAATTAGTGAGGAATTTGTCAATTAGGAAAGATTCCTGAACACATAAGGTTGTCAGTATTTGCCAGTCCTCATTTTAATTAACATCTGGCAAGGAAGGGGACCCTGGCATTGATACAAAGATTTTTGTAAATTAGAAGTCCCCATTATATTAATAGTATGTTGCCTTTAAACAAGTAACAGCCTGGGGCAGAGGTGAGGAGAAACCACATGAAAATATATGCAGATCTCTACAGTTTTGAGAAGAATAATTATCTTTTCCAGACCATTCCAATTCTTTTTTTTTTATGATATATTAATGTGAACTTCTAAAACTCTCTACAAAGGGAGAGTGTGCAAAATGTTAAGAATGGAATCTGGAGCTTTGAAAATAGTTTTTTTTTTTCCAGGAAGAGAGCCACATGTTTAAAGAAACACTGCTGAGTTACCCCCTTCAACGTTGTATAGACCGGAGTGGTCAGATTCTTGTATATCAGAGATGTATAAAGTCCTGATGTGGTGCAGGAAAGCATGGTAGCAGCATCTGAAACAGAAAGACATTCTAAAAAGCCAAACAACGATCTTTCTAACTAGCATATTGGCCTATTTCTGATTACTATGAATTATCATTGTTTCTAATTAAAGGGAAATTGTGTGAACATTCCATCTGCTTTCTGGCATTTATAGGTTGATATACACACTTTTTTTATACAGCTCATTATTTCTTCAAATTCTTTCCTTATAACATTTCCAAACTAAGCTGCAACTCTCAGCAAGAATCACAGCTTTTATTTCTTTAGTATCTTCATGCACATTTATCTCAGGCTATGCAGATTCAGTAATTCATTGAGAATGACTAACACCTGTTGGAATGTTCTTTGGCCTAAAGTCCTGTTACATGTTTTTTATTTTTCTTTGTGCTAATACTGGGGCTTGAACTCCGGGCCTTCGTACTCTTACTTGGCTTTTTCACTCAAGGCTGGTGCTCTACCAGTTGAGCCACACTTCCGGTCCACCATCTTAATCATTTTCAAGGATACAATTCATTGCTTGTAATTACAATGCTGTAAAATAGATGTCTGGACTTTTTTATCCTGTAAATGTCCCTTTCTCCTCTCTCCTCAGCCCCAGTAATTAGCATTCTATATTCTGTTTCTATGAATTATTTGGCTACTTTGTTTAAGTGGAATAATAAGTTACTTGTCTTCTATAGTATATTACCCTATCATGTGCATTATGTTGACACTTAGCAGAACTTCCTCAACTATGGTGCAGCATGCAAAAGCACTTACTTTTATTAGTGTTTTCCATAGTGAAGGCCTCAGACATTCGAATTCCTGATTTGGCTACAGCATAAATTCTGCTTTCCTAATTAATGTAAAAAAGAGATTTTTAAAGGAAAGTTAAGGAAAAAAACTCAAAAGATTATTTTCAGTACATATTTTTTCCATTTGTGTTTCACTTAGCAGTCACTAGATACAGCATTATTATTAAATTCATCAAGGCCAGTAAAACACCATAGTGAATAATATTATAGAGATTCCCTCTCCCTCATTTATCAGTCATTTAAGATTCTTTTGACGATGTAGAAAACCAGTAAGTGGAAGCTTATTCAGTGTCTATGGATAAATCCCATCTTTAATATTCTTCCATTTTACACTGTGGTTTATGGGGGGAAAGAAAGATATACCTTTAATGGCTATAACAGTAACCTAGAAACCATTCACAGTTACTAATCATATATGTATATATATACATATATATATCTTCTTTAATATTTTGGAACATGATTAAAAAAAAAAGAAAGACCTTGAAGTCAGAAATCACACAGCATACTCTATCTGGCATTCAATGCTATCACTTTTGTATTTCAATTATATTTCAAAACAACAGAAAAATACCTGAGGTCAAATGATAAATGATTTTGAAAATTATAATAAATGTATAATATCATCTGATCCTAAAAGTTATTTAATTTTCCCTTCTTCTCTGACAATGATCTCTGAAATGAGTATTAGCTCTGTCCATGAGAAAAGGGACTCTACGTGGTTTCCAATACACAGCATAGATCATCATTTGTACCTTCTGTAATGGGTCTAACCTAGACCGAGCAGGCTGAATTAGGACACAGTAGGCAACCAACACCATCATCTTTTCAAAATGGTCAGGTGCCAGAGAAGAAACTGAAATAAACTGCTGATGACTGGCAGCCTTTTTGAGTGAGGAATGGCTGAATGAATCATATGTACCTTCCCTGTGCAGGTGATTGTGAGAGACATACAAAGAGACTAAGAAGCAAAGTGGTTAGATCAGAAGAGGGCAGTAAACAGATAGGAGGCAGTTAGAGGCCATGACTGTGTGGGTCTGGAGAGTAGGTAGTAATAAGAGATGTCATAAGAACCAATGGAGGGGGGGCTGGGAAGGTGGCTCAGTGGTAGAGCGCTTGCCTTGTATGCCTGAGGCCCTGGGTTCAATTCCTCAGCACCACATAAGCAGAAAGGAAAAAGCCAGAAGTGGTGCTGTGGCTCAAGTGGTAGAGTGCTAGCCTTGAGCTGAAGAGCTGAGGGACAGCGCCCAGGCCCAGAGTTCAGGCCCCCCAACCGGACCCCCCCCCCAAAAAAAAGAAACACAGAGATAAATTTTCTACTTGGATAGCCAGCTTTTGAAAAGCAACACTACTGAATAGTTTCAGAAGAAGAAGAGAAGTGAGAAAGACAAAAAAACGAAAACAAAACAAAAAAAAAGTACAATGGTTGGCCAAGTGAAACAAACTTGAAAGCCTAACCTAAATCTCTGAAAATCTGAACATAATAAAAAAGGCAAAATCTGAACTTCTCACTGCCTAAAGAGTAACATGGTTAGAATTACAGAGAATCACATGCCATTAATTTCCATATTTCTTGGGGAGGGGGGGTCCGGTCATGGGGCCTGAACTCTGAGCCTGGGCACTGTCCCTCAGCTCTTCAACTCAAGGCTAGTGCTCTACCACTTGAGCCACAGCACCACTTCTGGCTTTTTCCTTTTTGCTTATGTGGTGCTGAGGAATCGAACCCAGGGCCTCATGCATGCAAGGCAAGCGCTCTACCACTGAGCCACCTTCCCAGCCCAATTTCCCAATTTTTGAACCATCCAGAATTTCATGATAAACTGTAGATTTCATATGAACACTGAAATAGTCTCTGAAAACAAACAATAGCAGTTATATCTCAAAGTCTGACTTTATACTAGGAAAATATAGCTAGTCCTAGTTTGTTTAAAATTAGGGCAATTACTAAATTAAAAAGTATTAGTAGAAGAACATGAATCCAAAAAAATTTAAAATCCTGCTAATCAGACGTTTCTCTAAAGGCCTAAAGTTAAGTCATGCCAAAATGTGCAGGAAAACTTAAATCCACAAGACAGACCAATTCACTTTGTTTATAATACAGTTAAGAAGGGAGACAGGACAAGGCAATGGATTTAAAGTATTTACCATTTTCACTCTGAGAATGAGAAGAATCTGATGACACAGAAGTAACTAGATGCTGAAGAAGGAAAGAGTAAAAAAAAAAAGGTGAAACCACAGTTTTTCAGGATCCAGAAAACTGTAGAGAAGCAATCACATAAAAATTAAAGTAGCAAAGAGTTTGGAGCCAGTACCCAGCTATCCCTGCTGGAAGCAGAGGAACCAAAGACAGCACTACCAGGTACAATCAGATGGTCCTGCCAAGGGATTGCCAAATTTAGCTGCAGGAAAGGCACACAATCTGTAAGCCTTATTGCCAGCACCAGCCAAAGGGGTGGCAGCAATTAATCCACTGCAAGAGGCTGCAATGGAAGAACTAAGATATTCTATTCTCCCTCATATTCCAGAGAGCAACAAAGGATTTCCATCTTGGAAACTTTTCTCTGGGAGCTGCCATAGCAGTTTAACAACCCACAGGACACTTTAAAATAGAATTTGTATATAAAGCCAGGTGATGGTGGCTCACACTTGTAATCCTGGCTACTCATGAGGCTGAGAGCTGATGATCACAGTTCAAAGCCAACCTAGGCATGAATGAACATCCATGAGACTCTTACCTCCAGTTACCCACCAGAAAACCAGAAGTGGCACTGTGCCTCAAAGTGGTAGAGTGCTAGCCTTTTGAAAAAGAATCTCAGGATGGAACCCAGGCCCTGAGTTCATGCCCCAGGACCATTACCAAAAAAAAACCAAAAAAAAAAAAAACCCAAAAAAAACTTGTATATATAAATCAGTTATAAGAGGCAAGAGAAGGGAGGGAGTGTCCAATAGGGACCGGCACAAAATGTTAGCTTCAGGAAGCTATGCTGCAGCTTAGAAGCCAGATGCTGCAGAAGTCCAGCAGGTGGCAGTACCAGGGAAAAGACCTGGGGGTTCCTGTTGAAGCAGATAATAGAGGTACCTGAGATGCAGCTGTAGTTGGCACCATAGAAGAGCTGCAGCCTTCCAGGAAGCCAGCCTATGCCTAGAACTTGCTATCAAAAGCTAGAGTAGCTCAGGAAATATCCAGCACAGGTCACTGTGCAGACACTTAGCAACAAAGCAGCTTTAGAACTCCCTGCTGTAACATATTGGGGGGGGGCAGGGATAGCCATCAGCAAGGAATCTGAAGGCCTTTCCCCCCCGTGTAAAATCTTCTGAGAAGTCCTCACACACAGATATTAAGCAGCCTCTTAAATCTTGTAGAGAGGTCTATATAGAGAGACATATTTATCACAATGTATTGTACATAAATTAGTTTGCCTTTGTTCTTACTTTGGTTTGTTTGAGTGTTATAGTTGTTTAACTGTATGCTTTTTCTTCTCTGTAAATTGAAATAAAAATGATTTGCCTTTAACTTCTACATTCTAGCAAAAACTTAATTCCTCCCATTTAATTTTACATTTGTTTCTCCCTTTCTTTTCTCTGAATCCCAATACCAGCCTTCTGGTGCTCTTTTTCAAATCACAACATCACCCCTCTTCCTATATTTCCTTTCCATTTATACCTTCCTTTTATCTACAATTGGAACACTGCTCTTACTCATACTCTCTTCTACAGTTGTTCCTCCATTGCTAATTATTTCTCACTACCTAAACTCGTATCTTGTAACTAGATTTCTTGAACATCATTTGTTTGCGTTTTGGTTTTAGTTTTGTCTGTTTTTCTCTCATTTTTCTCCCTCTTTTCTCCTTCTTAATAACTGGTGGTGTCTTTTTGTTTTATATACACACAGAAGAACAAACCAAATCCCCAAATAGCAGATGGAAATAGTGAATATTATAACAGAAATTAATGAACTAGAGACTAAACAAACTATACAAATAAACCATGAAACAAAAAAGGTTCTGGGCTGGGAAGGTGGCTCAGTGGTAGAGTGCTTGCCTTGCATGCATGAGGCCCTGGGTTCGATTCCTCAGCACCACATAAGCAGAAAAAAAAAGCCGGAAGTGGCGCTATCGCTCAAGTCGTAGAGTGCTAGCCTTGAGCTGAAGAGCTGAGGGACAGAGCTCAGGCCCAGAGTTCAGGCCCCACGACCGGACCCCCCCCCCAAAAAAAAAGTTCTTTAAATAACTAAATAAGATTGATAAACCTGTAGCTAATTTAATCAAAAGACTGGATTCAAATCAATAAAACTAGACATGAAAAAGTGATTTTCACAACAAATGCTAAAGAAATTAAAAGGATCTTGAGGGAATACGGAAAACCTATACACAAATAAGTTGGAAACCAATAAGAAATGGATACACTTTTACATACAAGTTTACATACAAGTTCAATGAAATTGAACCAACAGTATTTATAAACTATTTCAATAGAGCTATAACAACCAATGAGACTGATGCATTAATTTTAAAAAAAAATCTTCCAACAAAGTTAAGTCCATGGTAGATGGATTCATAGAAGAATTCTCCTAGACTGTCAAAGAAGAACTAAGTCCTCCATGAAATAGAAAAGGAAAGACCTCTACAAAACTCATTCTATAAAGCAAGTATTACACTCATTCTAAAACCAGGCAGATATTAAAAGAAAAGAGGGAGAGACAGAGAACTATAGACCAATCTCAGTGAACACTGATGCAAAAATTCTCAATAAAATCTTTGCAAACCAAGTTCAACAACATATCAAAAATCATATAATGTGATCAAACTGGCTTTACCCCAGGGATTCAAAGACAGTTCAACATACATATATCAATAAATACATGAACAGGACCAAAAATGAAAATCATCTAATCTCAATGCAGAATAAAAAGCCTCTGACAAAATTCAACATTATTTATGGTAAAAGCTCTGAAGAAACTAGGAGTAGAAGGGACATATCTAGCCAGGCATTGGTGGCTCACACCTGTAATCCTAGCAAGGCTTAGATCTGAGGATAGAGGTTCAAAGCTAGCCCAGGCAGGAAAGTCTGACACTCTTATCTCCAATTAACCACCAGAAAACCGGAAGTGGTGCTGTGGCTCAAATGGTAGAACAGCTCAGAGACAGTGTCCAGGCCCAGAGATCAAGCCCCATGACTGACTAAAAAAAGTGGGGTGGAGGATGGGTGGGTGGGGGAACATCTCTAAACTTAATAAAGACAATATATGACAAACCTATAGCCAACTTTAACTGGAGAAAAGCTGGAATCATTTTCCCTAAAGTCAGGAGTGAGACAAAGATGTCTACTCTCCCTACTCTTATTCAGTATGGTACTAGAATTTCTAGCTAACACGATAAAGATGGAGACATAAATTCAAATAGGGAAGGAAGATGTCCTATTTGTCGCTGGTATAATCCTATACTTACAAGTCCCTAAAAAACTATCTTTGGAAAGGTATCAGAATATGAAAACAATTCTCAAAAACCAGTAGCTTTTCTACATACTAAGTGAGCAAGCATGCAGAGTCATTCAATTTCCTCTTGTCTTTCTCTTGAAAAGTTGTTCCCCTAGGAAACAAGATGTTCTGTTTCTTCAGATGTTTGTTTTAGTGGAACACCAGCTCACAGGAGGAAGCCTAGAATGGTCTAGCACAGCTTGGACAGTGGGGTAACTCACTCTAGTTAAAGTCCAGAAATGGAAAGCTCATTTCCCCACCAATTTATCATAAAAAATGGCAATAGTCCCCCAACAACAAACCCTCAAAGAAACAACTGCCCAATTAATAAGTGGGCTAATGACTTAAAGAGACTTCTCTGAAGAGCAAATAAGAATGGCCAATAGACACATAAAGAAATGCTCAATTCTCTAGCCATAAAAGAAATGCAAATCAAAACACATTGAGATTCCACCTCACCCCAGTTAGAATGGCTATAATCAAGAACTCTAATAACAACAAATGCTGGAGGGGATGTGATCAAAAGGGAACCCTACTGAATTGTTGGTGAGAGTGTAAACTTATTCAACCACTTTGGAAAGCAGTATGGAAGTTCCTCAAAAGACTACACAGAGAGCTCCCCTATGACCCAGCAATCTCACTTTTGTGCATTTACCCAAACGATCACAAACAAGACCATACTAAAGCTACCAGCACAACTATGTTTATTGCAGCATTCACCATAGCTAAGATATGGAACCAACCCTGATGCCCCTCAGTAGATGAATGGATCAAGAAAATGTGAGATACACACACACACACACACACACACACACACACACACACACACACACAGAGGAATTCTACGCCATCAGAAAGAATGATACCGCCCCATTTGTTAGGAAACAGAAAGATTTGGAAAAAACTATATTAAGTGGAGTAAGCCAGACCCAAAGAAATATAGGTCCCATGGTTTGCCTTATTTGCAATAACTAGTATACATCTTGGACAATCTTACCAGACATGCAGAAAAGGTCATATATAAGATGATGCTATGCAAACTGAACCTCAAGATAGGGACACAAGAGGTTTTTATCTTTGTTGCTGTTGTTTTTAATGTATTTATAATGTACTATGTGGTTTTTTTGTTTCTTTTCTTTGTTCCTCCCCCATGGTATAACCCCTGTTTTCACTGTATTTAATTCCTGTGTCCTGCAGCTTGTATATACATTTTTCTAATATGTGGAGGGGTAAGGAAATAACAAAATGCAGAAATAAGGATATAGGTTGACTCATTGTAACAACTTGATTTACAAGACACGTTGAAAACCAACTTTACAACTTGGGAGAGGGTGAGAGTATGGAAGGGAGGAGTTGGGGAGGCGGAGAGGGAATGATGGTAGGCAAAAACAAAGGAGGAGGTAACAATGCCCGGTAGGAAATGGACTCATTACCTTACTCATGTAACTGTAACCCCTACGTACAGTATCTTTACAATAAAAAAAGTTAAAAAAAAAAAAAAAAGAAGGTCTGTGAAGGTGGCTCCGTGGTAGAGTGCTTGTCTCACATGCATGAGGCTCTGGGTTTAATTCCTCAGCACCACATAAGCAGAAAAAGCCAGAAGTGGCGCTGTGACTCAAGTGGTAGAACACTAGCCTTGAGCTAAAGAGCTGAGAGACAGTGCCCAGGCCCAGAGTTTAGGCCCCACAACTGGCAGAAAAATAAAAAGAAAAGAAAATAATATTAAAAAAGAAAATAGACCTCCAAAAAATGGCAATAGATCTCCCATGTGTTGTATGTCTCAAGACAGAGAACTGTATGGGAAAAGAGATAGAGAAATTGAATTCTAACCTGGCAATTTCCAGAATCAAGTTGGATTTTAAAAGAAATAGGAGAAAAAATAAAAGCTGAAAAGCACTGAGAAAAGAAACCACAGTGTATGTTTTATACAGAGGAATATATAATTACCCAAGAGGGAAACCGGTGCAGGGGAGGAGTGGGAGGTTTGTTGCATGCGGCCTTCTTTGCCAAGTCGCTGACTTCCTGGTGGTCTAAATATGGAGATTCCGGAGAGTCCTGAGTAAATAATCCATCATCACAGCTTGTATCCATATTCTCTACATGTTCTGCACTGTCGCCATCAAGTAGATCAAGATCAGTTTCCTGAGGTCTCAGTGGTCGTATCATGCTTATGGCATTTCTGTTTGTACCAAACATCCTGTCAGAACTTAACTGTGGCTGGCTTAAGTGCCTTTTGGTGAGTGCTACACTTATACTGAAAACATTAGGAATCCTTAACTTAGGCGACAGCACGTGTGATGAAGGTGCTACTTGTGCTCCTTTTCCAGGGAGTGAGTTAGCATACTTTGGAGTTAAAGCTGGGGTCAAAATAGGACTTGGAGTGTTGGCCTCACTTGATGAGGATGAATAATCCAGTCTTTGGGATTGAAACTTTTTATTCAGTTCATCTGAGGAACTATCTTGCTCCTTCTTACTTGTTTCAGAATTTCCCTTTTCAAGAAGTCTATTCTGAGCCTTCCACTGTGCCTCCTGTTGCCAAGAATAAAGCTTCTTGTGTTCTGGTCTCTTTATGCCAAAAGTCTCTTCTTCAAATATAGAACTACTGTCATCAGATGCTGTCAAATATGCTTCACTTCCCATCCGGCCACATTGGGCACCTTCCTCTGACGTGTGACTGGAAAGGGTGGATGTAGGTCTGGACTTGGATCTTCCTTTGCTCCCATCTTCCTCCTCAGAACTCCAGTCACTCACTGGAGCACCAGAATTCTGGGACAGACTGCCATCTGTCGCAAAGCTTGCTCTTGATTTCCGGTTCTGCTCTAAGCTGCAAGGGGTTTCATGCAATGTTCTTTGGTTTCTGTTGATTTCTTGGACTTGATTATCAGCTGATTTCTCTACAATGTCTGCTTCTAGAAAATATATCAGCACAGTATTTTTAATAAATCTTTGCTATATATTAGCTTTATGTAACTACACTGTAGGAACTAGATATTTCATATAAGGTTAACTTATATTATCCCTCATCTCATGACTTAAACAAGTTTTAAAAAAAATTTAAGTAAAACCATGAGCTTTATACAAAACACAAAACTTTAATAGTTCAATATAATTGTATCAAAACTGAAAGGCTTTCTACAAACAAATACATTGACATAACAAGAGTCTAAAAATACATAAGGAAAGAAACAATATGTAAAGTAGGTAATTTGACTATCAGAAGCAGCTACTGCTTTCCGCAGTACTATGGAAGTGCTCTACCATTTGAGCCACACCCCTAGTCATTTTACTTGTAGTTTGTTTTTCACATAGAGCCACAGAATAAATAGCTTTCCCCAGGCTGCTCTCAAACTGTGATCCTCATATCTCACTTCCCTGGGAGTATCTAGGAATATAGGATGTACAATGATACCTGGTTCCTTAATTCCTTTTTCCATTAAATTTCTAATTTATCATAAAATAAACATAAATATAATAAACACAAAGCTTTAATTTAAGAAACAAACATGTGTCCAAGCTTTAACATATGACATAAGTAAAATTATGAAGAAAATATAAATAAAAATGCTTCTTTGGCTCTATTTTTGGTTTAATCACAATTACAAGGTTTTTTTATTATAAGAATAATACTTTGTGTGTGTGTGTATACAGTCCAGGGACTTGAACTTAGGATCTGGGCACTGAGCTTTTGTGTTCAAAGCTAGCACTCTACCACTTGAGACATAGCTCTGTTTCTGGGTTTTTGGTGGTTAATTGGAGATAAGATGGACTTTCCTTTCTGGACCAGCTTTGAACTGTGAACTGTGAACCTCAGATTTCAGCCTCCTAAATAGATAGGATTATAAGCATGAGTCATGGATGCCTGGCTAGAACAATACTCACTTAAATGCCTTTATATATGGCTTATTTATATTAATGGAATAAGTAACAGAATACACAATCATCTTAATAAACAGTGAATTAAAACTGTAGACTAAAGCTAGGTGTGGTGGAGCATGTTTGTAATCCCAGCACTAGGAAGACTCAGGCAGGTGGACTGAGTTCAAGGTCAGCATAGAATACATGGTGAGACCCTATCTCATAAAAGAAAAAAAGATTAAGATTAAGATTATAGAACAGAAAAGGAACTCTGAAAACATAAATATGCCTCAGAGTTAAGCAACCAGAGGCTAAACAAAATCACTTGAAAGTTTCCTATCAGGCTGTTTGTTGAACTTGTGAGTGAGCTAAAGCTGCAGTACCAGCCACTGTAACCCTATCTAAGATAGAATGAGCATCTTGAAAAAGAAAAAAAAATAGCAAGTAATGGCAAGAAGCAAGTAACACAGCCACCTTCTGATGGAAAAATCATTATATAGTCTTCAGGACAGCATAACTAAGCTACAAACAGCTGTCAGAACTATAATTTTTCTCCTGTGGATGAAGAAAACTTTCAAGACTTTAAAATATTTGGGAAAAGTCAACAAGAGAGGAGCTTGCACAAGGACAAGAGCAGCCAGCAGCCACACAACACAGAGGTATAACAGCTAGCAGATGTACAACATAGTAGTAACAGCTGTCAGTGGCTGCACGAGAGCACTGAATTCAGAGTCTATGAATCAGGAAAGGAATAAAAATCTGCACAAACAAGCCAGGAGCCAGTAGCTCAAGCTTGTAATCCTATCTACTTAGGAGGCTGAGATCTGAGGATTGTAGTTCAGGATCAACCAAGGCAGAAAAGCCTGTGAGATTCTTACCTCCAATAAACTACTCAGAAAAAGATGGAAGTGGTACTGTGGTTCAAGTAGTAGAACATTATCCTTGATCACAAAGAGGCTTAGGGACAGCAGCCAGGCTTTGAGTTCAAACCCCTAGACTGGCAAAAAAAAAAAAAAATCTGCACAAAGGACAGGAGTCTAAACAACTAAGCAAATATTTTCCACTTAGAAGCAACAAACGGAAAAATCAAAGCAGTTACTAAACTGTACCCTAAGGTTCATTTCTTTACAAGTTTGCTAGACCAGAATTAATTTCATATTTAACATATGAAATTAATTTTAATATTCTCAATGAATAATGGATAAAACATAGTTATAATCTGAATCTCAGTTAAAATAAGTAGCTTGTAATATCACTTCTATCTGCTGTGGAATAATTACTAAGACAAAGTCAGGCACTGGTGACTGATGCCGGTAGTCCTAGCTATTCAGGAGTTTGAGACCGGAGGATCATAGTTCAAATCCAGATACAGCAAGAAAGTCTGTGAAATCCTATCTCTAAAGCCTAAAAAGCCAGAAGTGGAACTGTGGCTCAATAGTGGAGCACTAGCTTTGAGCAAAAAAGGTCAGCAACATCACCCAGGTCCTGAGTTTAAGTCCAAAGACTGGCATCAAAAAAAAAGTACTAAGCCAGAAAAATCAGTTTCTCTGTACTTATTACTTTACTTATGTAACTGTAACCTCTCTGTACATGACCTTAACAATAAAAAAGAGAAAGAAAAAAGTTTATTCTGTGTAACACTGGCAAAACCCCCAAGAAGGCACAAAAGAGTGAGATCTACAAAGTTCAGTGTGGTGTCAGTCTAGAAATTCTCCCATTAAACTTCAAGTTGTCAGTAAAACATTGGAGAATTGAGATATATGTAGAGTAATCAATTAATCATAGCAAATGATTTGTCCTTTAAAAAACATACCAGCAAGGGCTGGGAATTTGGCTCAGTGGAAGAGTGCTTGCCTTGCATGCATGAGGCCCTGGGTTTGATTCCTTAGCACCACATAAGCAGAAAAAGCCAGAAGTGGCGCTGTGGCTCAATGATAGAGCCCTAGCCTTGAGCTGAAGAGCTGAGGGACAGTGCCCAGGCCCAGAGTTTAGGCCTCATGACTGACAAGAAAACAAACAAACAAAAAACCATACCAGCAAATGCTGGAAGTAGAGAGTATCTAGCAAGTGGAGGGCCTGAGTTCAAATCCCAACACTATAAAAAGAAAGCAAAACAAAACAAAAAAAGGGTAAAAATGCTATAATCCATAAATACCTGCTGAGTCCTTTCCTTCCAGAAACTCAGGCTCTTTAGATGATATTTTGCCCATTTCCTCAGCTTTTACTGCTTGAGGAGGACTCTTTGCTCGGGAAGAAAAGCACCCAAATGTCAAACTGCTCAGGCGTTGTCCTTCTGAAGACTTAGTTGTAGTGACAGTGGACGACTTCTTCCCTTGAACTTCTGCAAGGTCATTAATCAAAGTTCAGGTCTGAATTATTACAACAGTTTGTTAAACACAGAGACAAAGCACATAAAAATGTGCAGAAGTCATTCTTTATACCAGGAAAAGGCCTGAAGTTCATCTTTATTGATATATACTAACACAGGAGCCTGAAGGTTGATCATCTCAAATATATTTTTTAAATATATCTGTAGGAAGTAGAGGTGTGGCTCAAGTGGTAAAGTACCAACTTTGAGAGAAAAAAAACCTGAGAGCATAGGTCCTGAGTTCGAGCCCAATATACCAGAATACCCACACATACACACCCTACAAGTCTATTTTATATATTTAAATGTTCAAAATATTTTAACTGCAGTTATTTTAACTGGAGAGAGAGAAAAAACTTAATATAGTTAAAATACTTAATAAGTACTTTGAAAGCAGTAAGTCCTCAAAACCAAAATATAAATAAGAGGTAGAATTTTTTAAAAGTTAATATTGGAAAGCAATGTGATATTATCCAAAAACATGAAATGGTAACCCCTCCGTACAGCACCTTAATAATAATAAAAATTATATTTTAAAAGAGTTAATATTAGTATAGGTACAGATTATTTCCTTCATCACAGAAACTTCCAGAAAAAAAGTGTTTATCCACAGTTCAAAGACTAAAGGTGTACCCTGCCTATATAATTGTAACCCCTCTGTACAGTATGTTCACAAAAAAAATAAAATTAAATTAAAAAAAAAAGACTAAAGGTGTGGTCTAAAAATACTACCTAGCAATAACTGTACATCATGGAAAGTGATCTGAAAGCTTGTAAAATATCCTTCTGAATTATCTCAAGAGTAGCAAATATTCCTTTGGATTTAATATTTGCAAGCAGCCAAAAGTTATAAAGAAATCTGTTAATAAACATAAATATGTGTGTGTGTGTGTGTGTGTGTGTGTGTATTGCTGGGATCAAACTTGAGTTTCCTGCATAACAGGAAAACATTCTACCACTGAGCTACAACCTTGGCCATAAATACCATTTTATTTAGTTTTTTTTTTTTCAAACTTGGGGTTTGAACTCAGAGTACCATGCTTATTAGGCAAGCACTCTAACATTTGATTTTGCTTTATTTTATTTATTTATTCATTTATTTATTTATTTATTTATTTTCCAAGTATTATTTTCACCCAAGCTCAGTGTAAGATGTTGATTCTCCTACCTATCTATACCTCCCAGTATCTAAGATGACACAGGTTCCTACCATCATGCCCAGGTTACTGGTTGAGATATAGTCTTGCTAACTATTTGTCGAGGCTGACCTCCAAGCTTAATCTCTGTCTCCTAAGAGGTTGGAATTACATATGTGAGCCAATGTACCCACCTAAATGTGTTTTTTAATAGGCTAATGTCACTACTGATATTATGGAGTTATCATCAGATGGCCAGGATGAAAATCCTCATTCAGAAGACTTAAATAGAGAATGGTTTAGCATCCTGGTGATCCATGAGTGTGCTAAGCTATAACATTTGCATCCAGCTAACTACCAGCTCAGTCATGTAAGAATCCATAGAAGTATCCTGTAGCTCCCCCTTCAAAGAAAGCCAAGTTCAGAGACACATTCAAAAGGTGTGAAGCCAGGGATCCCTCATGAAAGTGTTCAATGCCGCTACCATTGCAATGACTACATTCAATGCAGCCACTGAATCTGTGACTCCCTGATTCCTACTATAAAAGTTAATTCTCTTTCTAAGGCCAAATTCATGTCTTCTGGGGCTTTTGAAGTATCTATTATTAATATAAATACTTCCACTATTTGGTTTCATAAGGTTCTCTGAATTTTTTCAAGGAAACAGGGATATGTAGCACTACCTTGCTTAAAAAGACCAAAATGGCCAGGTGCCAGTGGCTCACGCCTATAATCCTAGCTACTCAGGGACTGAGCTCTGAGGATCATGGTTCCAAGCCAGCCTAGGCAGGAAAGTCTGTGACACTCTTTTAAATCACAGCTGGAAGTGGCACTGTGGCTCAAGTAGTACCATGTTAAGCCTTGAACAAAAGAAGCTCAGGGACAGCACCCAGGCCCAGAGTTTAAGCCCCAAGACAAACAAAACAAAAAGACCAAAATGTCATCATTGTCAAGAGATTGGTACCTAAAGGGTATCAATAAGCAATGGTTTATAATCCTTGGACTCCTGGGCTAAATCAACACATAATACTTTGAAGTCATTACATAATAATTTTAGCAAGCTAAACTCTCTGGGACTCAGTATAGTCCTAAAAAGAGGATAAATGTAATCTGTTAGAATAGACAGAGGCAAAATTAATACCTAGCTTTGCTTTTCTGACCTGTGTATCAGCCACATTGATAAACCTGTACATCATCAGTCCAATTCTTTGTGCCTTCCCCTCTCATTCTCAACATTCACTTAGGTCTGGGACTTCCAGTTTGCTTATAAATTCTTTTGTTTAATGATGATGTCTTCTTATATGACATTCATATTTGGGTCTTTAAAACACCAGCAAAGTCTAAATAATAGAAGACTAAATAATAAAACTTTTTATATAGCCAAATAAATCCAACTAAGCCACCTTAGCAAAACTATTTGTACCTTGTAATCTTGACTGTATTAATTTTATCTCTTCAGTTTGGTTTTGGTTGATCAAACGAAGATTCTGATTCTCTAATTCTAGCTGAAAGAAAATAGTGATATTCTCTTATATGACAACATTTTAAAATGGACTAATAAATTATAAGTTTTAGAAAATGTTAATATGTAAATAGTTTCCATACCAGTAAGTTAAAAAGAAAATGACAATAATTAATTTATCAGCATAATTATGTTACCAATATTTACCGAAACTAAGAGTTTTAAGTGTTTGCACTCCCCTATTCTTTTTGCATTATAAAATTGTTTTAACCAAATTATAGAGCATTTAAATCTGTACTTCTCAGACACTAAACACATTAATTTTATGATATATACATGAAGCACTATAATTATTTAAGATAAATTAATTCAAACTGAAGCCAACTAATTAGAATGAAGCTGTTACTCTGATCACCATGAACCTATTGCTATTTTTAATTTCAGAAATACAATGGGTTTTAAACAAAACACAGTAACACCAATCAGAATTTTTTTCACTCAGTACGATCACATATTCTGATTATTTTATTCAAAAGCAGAAAATGGTAAAGAAAAAAAAACAGTAATAAATACCTCATTTAACTTAATGGTTACCCACTCTTTGATCTTAGCTGCTTTCTCTTCTATTATTTTAGCTTCTTGTGTTCGTATTTGTTTCTGAAATAACAGCAACAGTTTGTTTAGTTCAAACATAATCATGGTGGTCTGGAAACATTACATTAAAAAAAAATTCAAAATCCAGTGAAAACAGGGGTTATACCATGAGAGAAGAACATACAAAAGAAACAAAAGAATCACATAGTGCATTGTAAGTACATTAAAAACACTAGCAAGAAAGAAAAAAACCACTTGTGTCCCTGTCTTGGGGAACATTTTGCTTAACATTACTCATGAAACTGTAACCCCTCAGTACAACATTTTTTTTACTATATATATATATATATATATATATATATATATATATATATATATATTCAAACTAAATCCATTTAAAGCCTGTTTCCTACATCACCCCCAGGGTATGAAGGCAGAAAGATCATAAGTTTGAGGCCAAACTGGGCCTCAAACTGGTTTTGAGATTTTTTTTTCTTAACAAAACTGATGGGGCAGAGGGTGGAATGGCAAAAGATGGAGAGAGGAAGGTAAGAAGAGAGGTTGGGAGAGGAGAAGGAAGTACACACTATTAATTTTAACAACTGTCCTCTTATAGATCATGTGTTGAAATCAGCTCATTAAATATGCTTAAAAAATAATTTCTGGAATAGTAAAATCAGGTCAATCAGGTTGGGTAAAGAAACCTAACTATAATGTGCTCAGGAGCATGGCCGTTTTCTTCCTCAAACATTAGTTTTAAAAGCTTTAGGAAAAACAAACATTGAAATATTCTAACCTTATGGTTGTAGTTATAAATCTACTGAGAATGTGGCTATATTATCAGGGCAATGGTTGGGCTGGGGTGGTAGAAACTGAAAACCAGCTAAGTTTGTTTTAAATGCTGAAGGTGAATAATAATGTGATGTATTTCATCAAACATTTTCAGTGGTCAAATGTGAATACTGTCAAATGACTACTTAAGTTAAATAATTAAAATGCATGTTTTGTAATAAACACTTTAAAACAGTGGGTGCAGGGGCTGGGAATGTGGCTCAGTGGTAGAATGCTTGCCTGTCATGCATAAGACTCTGGGTTTGATTCCTTGGCACCACATAAACAGAAAAAGCCGGAAATGGCGCTGTGGCTCAAGTGGTAGAGTGCTAGCCTTGAGCAAAAGTAGCTCAGGGACAGTGCCCAGGCCTAGAGTTCAAGCACCAGGACTGGCAAATAAATAAATAAATTAAATAAAACAGTGGGTATAGGTAGCTCATGCCTGTAATCTTAGCCACTCAAGAAACTGAGATCTAAGGATCATGGTTTAAAGCCAGCCCAGGCAAACAAACCCAAGAGATTCTTTTCTCCAGTTAATCCCCCAAAAGCCAGAAGTAAAGCTGTGGCTCAAGTGGTAGAGTGCTAACCATAAGGAAAAAAAATGGGCAGCACCCAGGCCCTGAGTTCAAGCCCAGGACCAGCAGAAAAACAGCAACAACAAAAATACCCAACAATCCCCCACCCTGGCAAAACTAAATAATTTGTCTCAGTAAACTAGTTTAACCTACACATTTCTTAGTACAAAGATTAGCCTCAAGCATAAACTATTTTTTTCTTTTTTCTTGGCATACATTAGCTATACAAGGATTAACTATACAAGGGAGGAGGATTTCATTGTGTCCTTTCCATGCATGCTTATAATCAAACATAAATATTTGTAACATTTCCATAAACATTTCTATAACACCTTAACAAGCTAAAATAAAGACTGGCTACAAACATTTGTTTTCCTTTTTTCTCTTTTTTATTTCAGAATGTAGCCCATCCTTGCCTCTAATTTGCTATGTAACCAATGCTGGCCTCAAACTCATGATCCTCCTGTATCAGGATCCCTAGTGCAGAGATCACGGCATGAACCACCATATCCAAAGTGGTTGTAAACAAATATAAATACCTGCTGATAACTAAGTATTTCCAACTTCAATACTACAATTAAGCTGTAAAGTGAAGGAGAAGGAGCAAGATCACACTTAAAAAGTACCAGATGCAAGCCTTATACACAATGCAATTTTAGTTGTACTTTTTACCATGCTACAGTCTGACTAAATAAGGAAGATTTATCCTTCAGTAAGATTTTCTCTTTTTAACCTTTGTGATTTGTGACAAACGAGTAGACACATTTAGAAGTCTTTAATGATTATGTTTCCTAACCTGCTCTTCAAGTTGCAGTTCCAAGTTTTGAATGATGTCATCTTTTTCCTGGAGAAAAGACTCTAGATCTTGACACTTTTTATATAACTTCATCTCTGATTCACTGGTTTGAATATTCGCGGCATTTAATTTCTCTTCCATAACTTGTACCTGAATTCAGAAATAAAATATTAAAATCATGCCCAAACTTAATTTCTCATAGTATTAAACTTGGACTTTAACATTACATAGGTTCTTAGAAGCTATCATCAGAAAAGGACAATATTAATAAATGCAAGATTTAATGTATTTTTTAAATTATAAAGTTTGAAGATTTTTGTTAAATGCATTACTCTGAAGTTCTTAAGGACATAAGAGGTTATCAGAATACTACTATCATGTAAAGTAACAGTCATGTTTACTAAGCAAAGAGAAGCTGCAAAGTTTCTGTGTGGAAACAGAACATTTCTAGCCTCATTTCGTATATTTGAAACTATAAAGAAAGAAGATGCCCTGTATAGCACACTGTGAGCAGGGGGAACTGAACATGGATGGGGAAAAAGTACAATGGAAAGTAAAAAGTACAATGGAAAGTAAAAGTAAAATAAAATAATTTAAAGCCTTAAGTAGTTGGGTGCTGGTGGCTCACGCCTGTAATCCTAGTTACCAGGCAGGCTGAGATCTGAGGATCACGGTTCAAAGCAAGCCGGGGCAGGAAAGTCCATGAGACTCTTATCTCCAATAAACCACCAGAAAACTGGAAGTGGTGCTGTGGCTCAAGTGGTGGAGCACCAGCCTTGAGCTGAAGAGCTCAGGGACAGCACCCAGACCCAGAGTTCAAGCCCACCATAGACAATAAATAACTAAATAAATAAATACAAGAGACTAAACACATATAGGAGAATGTGTTCCATGAGGGCTCACTGATTGGCTGAAAATGTTGGATGAATATTTGACAAATGTAAAGCCTATTCCAGGCCCTGAGAAAGCATCAGTGAACAAAATAACCACTATGCACAGAAATTACATTCTAGTGGAAAGATAAAAAATACAATAAAAGGCTGGGTGCCAGTGGCTCATGTTTGTAATTCTAGCTACTCAGGAGGCTGAGAAACTGATGATTGTGGCTCAAAGCCTATCCAGGCAGGAAAGTCTATGAACTCATCTCCAATTAACCACCAGAAAACTAGAAGAAGAGCTGTGGCTCAAAGTAGTAGAGCACTAGCCTTGAGCAAAAAAGCTCAGGGACAGGCTCTAAGTTCAAGCCCCATGATGACTGGGGCGGGGGATAAATAAATATAAATAAATATAAAATACATACATTATATATAATATATACATAAAATACATACATTATATATAATATATATACATAATGTATATAATGTATACATATACATATATATCTATATAGAGAGAGAGAGAAAGTAAATAGTACAAGTTTATTTGAATAACAGGTGTATGCCTGAAGAGTGGGTGATGCTTCAATCTGCTTGAATCTTCTGCAAAACATCTTCTAGCATATTAAATCTCAAAAAAGTATATCTACAAATTGTGTTTGCTGACCTGCACTGGTTACATAAGTCTATTCAACTTACAGTGACGTTTATTTAGATTTCTCTATCACCATCTTTCAGTTGTCCCTTTTCACCATCTTTCTATGAACCACAAACTTGAGCCTTGGCTTGGAGGTAATGTCACCAGGGACTGTGAGCAGGTGTAAAGAAGGGAGGTGTTGGGGCTGGAAAGGTGGCTCAGTGGTAGAGTGCTTGCCTCCCATGCATGAGGCCCTGGGTTTGATTCCTCAGAACCACATAAACAGATAAAAGCCGAAAGTAGCACTGTGGCTCAAGTGATAGAGCGCTAGCCTTGAACTGAAGAGTTAAGGAACAGTGCCCAGGCCCAGAGTTCAAGCCCCACAACCAACCAAAAAAAAAAAAAGAAGGGAGGTGTTAATGAGAATAAAAAAGAAAAAGTATTTGGGACTATATACAATACAAAGATTTTTTCTATAGATTCGAAATAGATAAGAATGTAATTTTAGCAATGGATTAGGTTATAAATAAGAAAAATAATGTGAAAGTATTTGAGAAACTAAAGATAATAGTTAAGAGGAAAAACATCTTAACTATTAAAAATCTCTCTGAGGCCGGGTGCCGGTGGCTCATGCCTGTAATCCTAGCTACTCAAGAGGCTGAGATCTGAGGATCATGATTCAAAGCCAGCCTGGGCAGGAAAATCCGTGAGACTCTGATCTCCAATAAACCACCAGAAAACTGGAAGTGGCGCTGTGGCTCAAGTGGTAGAGCGCTAGCCTTGAGCTGAAGAGCTGAAGGATAGTGGTCAAGCCCAGAGTTCAAGTCCTATGACCGACAAAAAAAAAAAAAAAAAAAAATCTCTGAAACATGAAAATAAATCCTTTCTGCAGGTTGAAAGTTCTTGAGTAGTGAAAGTTTTCAGAAGGAAGATATCGAGGTTGTTTTGGCTTAATTTTTTAAATCATGAATATCAGTTTTATCTATGGGGTCACTGTACAAATGTAAATTCAATTCAGATGTCAAAACTGTTCTACCTAAATATTACTCACATGTCTGGAAAGCATTAATATAAAGAACAGATCAAAATGTATTTCATAATTCAAATGACAATGTAAGTTACCTTAGATTTAAATTCTTTAACATAATATAGAGAAATTTCAGCTTGGAGGACAAAGATTTGCATCAAAGACTGGGGTTTGGGTCACAAATTTGTCATTTGACCCAGGGACAGCAGAACAGTACATACCAAGGGCCAATCTTAAATCCTATTATCAGTTACACATAGGGTCTCCTGTAACTATAGAAGCAGCGAGAGCAAAGCAGAACTCAAGTTCAGAATGGCAGTTCTCCTCTGGAGTACAGAGTATCAGAAGATAAATCTCAAGGAAAAGAAAAGCTAACTGAATAAAAATAACATCATAAGCCAGGATAAGAACACCTGCACATCCATGTTTATTGCCACACTATTTACAATAGCCAAAATATGGAAACAGCCCAGCTGCCCCACAATAAATGAGTGGATACAAAAAACGTGGTTACTTATATACAATGGAATTTTACACAGTCAATAGAAAGAATAAAATAATGTCATTTGCAGGGAAATGGTTGGAACTAGAACAAATCATGAAGTAAGCTTGGCTTACTTCAGTTACTTACAAATGACACATTCTCTCTGATATCCAGAAATTAGATCTAAAATGCGCTGAGATATGACAAATTATACAGGATTGTGCTCACATACAGTGAAACCAAAAGGGGTACATTGTTAGGAGAAACTCACAAAGGCACCATGCCTAAGTGCCTCTTCATATTTATGTAAAATAATATATATACTGAAACAAATTCCAACATATGAAGACAAAAGACCTTTTCTTTTTTTTAGTTTTTAGTTTTTGATGAGTTTGTCTTCTTTACCTTATGTATAGTGTACTCATGAATTGTCCTCAGGAAGGGGGAAGGGTACGGAACTCAAGGGAAAAAGGATGACAACGTGCTGCAGTGGAGCTCCCTGGACACTGATGAAAGTGAACTATACAACTCATGGGTGGGGATGGGACCGAATGAAGGAAAAGATGCTACTATAGGAAAGGAAATGTACTCATTACCTGACTCATGTAATGTAACCCCTCTGTACAACACTACTATAATAACAGTAAAGTAAATTAAAAAAATATTACCAGCCCTTCACCTATAGCCTCTTTTTATTAAGTCAGAGCAGGCCACCCTATAGACATTAGGTTGCCATATAAACTTTCCCATCATTACACAGGAAAGGTCTATAGTCTTAGATGATTATGATTTGAAACTGTTCTTCTCCTATGAAGAATATATTTAACTTTAATGTTATTCTCATTTTATGAATGAATGATAAGAACTTTTGACTATTACTTTTACACAATTTTCTTAGGCGAGAAAAGTATTGCCAAATGTTCAAAATCTCCTCAGAAAGCAACCACAACATAATTCTAAGTAGCCTGCATGCCACCCAGTCCTATATGATCAAATCCCAGAGACACCAGTCTTCCTTGGTCATTAGTTGAATAAGATTTTGACTAAAAAGCTAAGAGGCTTACAAAAGAAACAAGTAATCTTTTAAAATACCCTACTACAGGCACATGGAAAATAGCCCAGTTCCTTTTCCACTCATTGAAGGGGAACCATTCAAGAATTTTAACTACTCAAACTGACCGCTAACAAATACATATAAATTTGAATTGGTTTAAATAAACCCTTGCAACTGTCTATGCCTGGATTCCCTTTGGTGTGGAATAGCTCATATGGCTTCTTTTCTCCTTTATTTCTAGACAAGTCTCTGTCTGTTTCTACTCAACACTTGCTGCAACTATCAAAGAAACCTGTTTAATCCTTAGATCTCTAAGCTCCAGTTCAGCAAAGGGTTAACTCAGCACATTCAGGGTAGTCAGATCCGTGAAAGATAATTTTTGAGCCCTTGGAATATCCTGGTGGATAGAACTATCTTTTATGTACCTGAGATTATCTCGAGTGGCATCAGAAAGTTAATGGTAACTATGTGCTTAATGGTGAATGCCTATTTTTGTTCAGTTGGAACTTTGGGTCACTCTGTACCTGTGTGACCACTAGAATGGGACAGGTAAGTAGATAGGCTAGAGAACAAGTAATGAAGATCAGTCACATGACCACTAGAATGGGACAGGTAAGTAGATAGGCTAGAGAACAAGGAATGAAGATCAGTCACATGATACTCAAGGCCTACCTGACATACCCCAGTAAAAATCCTGGTGACCAAAGCTCAGGTAAGTTTCCAGGTTGGCAATGTTTTGGCAATGTCCTGTGTGTGTCGTATATCATTGCCAAGAGGACTGAGTGCACCTTCTTGTAACTCCAGGGTGCTCCCAGCCACCCTGATGAGCCTTTTCCTTTTGTTGATTTTAATCCAGATATTTTTACTCTAATGAACCACAACATGAATATAAGGCTTTTCTGGGTTCTGCGAGTCCTTCCAGCAATTCTTTCAATCTGAGGAAAGTTTGGGGCATCCCAACAAAGCTCCTAGTGCTATTTTCCATTCCTGCTCACAACAGAAAAACAGGAACTACAAATATTACTCTTATAATTTTATCCATGTTGTTATTTCCATTCCTCACCTCATTG